CAGTATAGCGACGCCATGGTAGATTTGCGGAGAGCGATAGCCGGCTTGCTCGCTCCAGATGTTCACCGGCCGGGACGTGGGGGCCAAAAGGGAGCGTTTGAACTCTACGCAATAATAACTTAACTACTAGTGCTCTGTTTCATCCTGTCCCCTGATGCGTATCATCATGTAGCATTCTGGCTTGCGAAAGTAAGCACTGGCACTAAAAGACGGAAAAGCGGGCGGCTGGCCAAATGGATCGGGATATGACTGAAGACTGGTGGTATGGAGGAGATGGAGGTGTGTACTGAGTACGGAGTCTGGCTGGCTGTACGGAGCACCAGTTGTGTGTGATATGTCGTAGTGAGTCTGAACTATTAGCCCCAATTTAGCCTCACCCACGAGTGTCATCTGCCACCATTCCTTGCGGGTTCCTTCTCCCGCTGTCTCTGTTATTTTAAAGTTCAAGCGGATAGCTCCGCCCAGTAGTACTCCGTACATGTATGGATACATTCGTCGCCACGGTCCAGACCAGTGAGCCTACAACTATACTCGATACGTAGGGGTGTGCTTCATTAATCCGGTTGACTGGTCCGATTGGCCCCCAATGAGGAGGTCACGCTTTAGTGGCTAGATCGTGTGGATGCCCAAAAAACAAAGAGAGAAAGGAGAAGCAAAAAAGAAAAGATAATACGTACTAGGTGACATCTCGAGGCGCCGTGGGCCGTGTCCGTCGCTGCCGCAAAGGAGGCGGTGGGCGTCGCATGGTGTCTTGGGTGGGCTGTCAATTCTGATCCTCATCGACTCGACAAATTACTAACTAACTTGGTGGCTGCTCTGTTCGGGGCGTGATTCCCAGAAGGGGACGTTGTCGGGGCTGGAGCGAGAGCCGAGCAGTCGGTACTCCTGAGGTGGCGTACGGTGCTTGCATATTGGGCTTGCATGGGCGTCCTTGAAATTGTTTGTTTTTTTTTGTTTGTTTTTGTTTTTTTTGCTGTCAAATGATGGGTTCCGACGGGGGTTGGATCCATCATTGCGCACTGACAAGCGAAGCGAGGTCGAGGTCGATTATCAAAGCTCGAAATTGCATTTGACGCGCGGCTTGCGGCTTTCTCTCAGCATTGGTTGCCTGGTGAGCACAGGGCTACGTATTATGTAGGCGTTCGTATTTGAGAGTAGCCGTGACTCGCTCCGCCCGGAGTATGAGGTGGTAGCTGCTGCGTCAAGATGGTCTTGGCATTATATTTCATGTCGTCAAGGCGATGTGATTACTCTCAGCTGGGTAAATTGTCGACCGTCGTCAGTCAATGTTGTTGGTTCGGCTGTCGGTGTTGAAAGACAACCAGATGACCCCAACGATGTTTTGGCCTTCTTGGACGGGGAGGCGTAGCGCCCCGTGCTGGATTGGGATTTGGTTTTGTCAGACTTGTTTAGTTAGTTAGTGGTTCGCCGGAAGAGGATTGGGAGAAAGGGAAAGCCATCTCAGCCGTACACCAACTGCGGATATCCGAAGAGGCTAGAGTAGTCACGTGGACTTGCACGTGAAATTCTTATGGCAGGAGGAGCCTTGGTAGTTATCACGAGGCACGATTGCCTCTGCCTTTGGCAACTCGTGTCCTTTTCGAAGAAGCTACTGTCAAAGTCGTAGGGGCATGCTGCCATCAGCCTTCCGATCCAAATTCAACTTCACGAAAGCCCAGCCACTTTGATCAATTACATCCGTCGCGGTGACGACGCCTATCGCACCAGGCCACGCTCGTCTCTGGCCAAGTGGTGCGAACTGGGATGCTCGCGCTAGTTTTGCTTGTACAGCGATGGACGAGAACACGAGTGGGAGAAGGGCCAAAACGAGTCCTTGTTGCTGTCTCGCGTAGAAGCCCTTGGTGGTTTCAGGCGTGGGCTTCTAGCGAGGAGGTGATTACCGTCGCACTTGAGCTTATGCAGGAGAAGCACCTGATTTCATCTGACACGCTCGCAAAACGACCCTTGTGTAATTGAGTTCCTAGCGGCGGAGTGACCAGAGGCAAAGTGCAAGCAACACAGGCAGCGAACCGCCGTTTTTTTGTCGATGACGCCGACGGCAAAGTCCCGTTCTGCCCTGACCCTCGACCTGTTACACACAAAGTAATGTGTCGTAGACTGTGTGCGAACTGCGGCGAAGAACATCCGACTTGGTACTACGTATACGCACAAGAGCTCAGCATTCAAACTCATGGGGTGGAATATCTTGCTTGGGCGACTGCTGGCAGATGGATCGGATGGCATCACACAGGTAACGTACGTGACATATGGCGGCACAGACGTCTTTGGAAAACGCATCCGGGCGGACTGGCTCGGCTTCAAAGGGCAAAAGGTCGCGACCGGCATGGGCACCCACCAGACCCCGATGGCCCTGTTTTTTGCACAAACATACGGAGTAAAAATACCACTCATCCCTTACCTCGACCACGTTGACGTCGCGGCGGGGGGGGGGGGGGGGCAGACAGCCACAATTGATGCCACCAAAAGTGTGCCAAAGTTGTCGAGGTTCGACCCGACACGCTGGGTGCGTGTCCACCACCACTTGGAAAACTCAAGGAGTCAGGGACCAAGGTGTATAGTAAGGGTGCGGGTTCAGTTCCATCGCGGAGGACATGCCGTGTCGAGAAACTCGGCCGTGCTCCGTACTTGTGTGTTTAAGTTTTGAGAAGCAAAAAGTGACATCTCATCGGAGCATGTAGGTAGCCGTGTCATGGTCCTTGGCAATCTTGATGCGCGGCCTATGTCTGGCCTATGTCGAGTTACTTTCCCGTCATCTACTGTACAGAATCCATATCTGCCGTCTGCTGTCGCTCAGCCAGCAACCTTGTACAAACCTTGACATGGCGCGTGTGGCCTCGTATCGTCCTCTATCTTGCCGCTGTTTCGCTTCCCTTCATGTCTCGTTTCCTGCATGACCAGCAACATTGCGTGCCCCGTATGGACAAGAAGACGATAAAACGTGCCCGAAATTGTAGTTTGATAGTAGTAGTACCTGGCAAGTGGTTCTGTAGAGTGCCGACATATGCACGTAGTCTGGCTGGCCCCTTGATTAGACTCCAACAAAAGCCCAGGCAATCCAACGAGCCGTCTTGGATGATACCATTACGAGGTGCTAGCGATGCCACATCCATCAAGTCTCGTCTTGGAATGAGACCCAGGTGATTGACAGGCATAAATCTCACGTGGTCGGTGATGCATGGTGGGTTGCACCGAGCCTTGCCACGCACACTCCCGTAGTCGTAATACAAGTAAGTTAATAATTCTACCTATCATCTGCATACACAATAATACTACGTGGTGAATAACACCCCAACCCTGGCACGATCGGGATTCAGCAAGGGTCAGAACCCCGAGATGTCTTGGCGCTAACTGGCGCCCCCAGAAGCAGGCCTCCGGCATGTAGTAGTATGTACGGAGTATGTATGTACGTTAAATACTAATTCAGGGGAGGGCTAATTAATATGAGTTAGTATGTGCATGGTTCGTTTTTGCTTGCGCGGTGTCAAGATTTGAATGCCAGCCAAGTCAGCCATTCTCTTCTCTCCTCCTCGAGCTCTGGGTGAGATCCAGCATGGGCGATGAGGCGATGAGGCCCTGGGCATCACGAGGCTTATCCTGTTTATGTTTATTGCTGCTCGCCGTGCGCCGTAGTGTTGGAGACAGAAAGGGCTTTTGTTTCTTTGTTTTTGTTTTTTCCTTCATGCAAGACACCCATACCCAGCCAAAGAACTTGCTCACACACTTCGATTTGATGGTCTACTACTACTGTGACGTCGACTTTGACCGTGATTTGATATGCCCTTGTAAACAGGAGTAACTATAGCGGAGGGGAGACAATACGCCCATACGCCCGTCTTGGTGTTACCGGTGTATCAAAAGAGACGGGTTTCTGCCCAATCGCGCCAGATCCTCAGAAATACTGGTCCTGTTCGGCGACCACAATCCTCGGGGCATTCATTCTACCCTGTAGAAAACAAAGACTTGTGCTGGCACAACACTGTCTTGTCTCCTGCGATGAGACGCGGGCGATGTGGGCTGACGGCTACAGTTGCAACGGCCATTGCAGTAAGGGATCTCGACTACGTACCAGGAATTGGAGGAATAACTCGTCACATACCACGTTGAATGCAGGTTATACATGCGTACATACGTATTCGGTTTCAGGACCTGGGTGACGACGGGAGAATCAATAACGACGTACGTATTGGGTAAGTGTTGTTCTAAAGGTGGAAAAAGGAGCCCGTCGCAAACAGTGCCCGGCGCCACACACAGTCTCGCTTGGTTGAATGGTCTCGCATCTCAGCGCAGAGTCGCTTATTCGCGGAGCATGATGCCGCCAGGGAGACTTTGGAGTCTGGACTCATGCTGGTGACTTGGGGCCAAGTTTGCTGGACGGCCCTGTACGCTGGTCTGTACTGGCCACGTTAACGGCAGGCCCTGTATGTTTCCTTTTAATTCATACGCTCTCTGCGTGCCTCTGGCAGTTGTGTGAGTGGGAAGAGCAAGTCTCGCACCATGGCAATTCGCTTGGTGTTGAGGTCCACTCCAACAGACTTCGGGAACATCCCTGATAGTATCAGATCTGATTGAGGTTAAAGACGGGGGACTTTTCGACTGACCAGGAGATAGATAGTACAACTTGCCTTGGGCCGCAAAACGACGGGATGAGTGCCGGTTGCAAAAATGTATTTGTTTGGCTTTGGTCTGCTTTGTCTAGGGTAGCGCGTGAGCCGGCTAAGTGTCGGCTGCCGGCGCAAGGTTGACTTATCATGGCGTCACGTGCTGAACTCGATACTTGCTGCGTCATGGTGGATGACGGTCGAAGTGCTTAAGCATAACGTGGCATCAAACATTGTGCCTGCTATAATAGAAAGCTTCGTCCCTGGGGAGCACCCAAGCCGCGGCCGTTCGGGAACAAAGATGGAGCTGTAGAAGCACACGCATATTTTTTATTATTTGGTTTTTCCCTTTCCCCTACAGAGATAGTCCCGATGCCCAAGATGCGCCTGGGGTGGTACGCAGGGGTAAGTTCGGCGACGCCATCGTGGACCGTTGCGAAGCTCGAGACGCTCGATATCTGCATCGGAACTAACTCGTCTCTTCAGGTCTCCACGGTCCTTGCTGGTGCTGTTGTCATATCAGCCTTTCAGCAGCGTGCCAACTTCTACTCGGCCATGGTGTATCTTGCCCAAAGCAACTTCTGTCTTCTGGTAATTCCCAGCCTTGCACCCACTGCAGCGACGCACGATCCCCACGCAAACGCTAACCAATGCTTGACAAAGGTGCTGGTGAACTTCAGCCTCTTACTGTATAGCAGCTTTGTGTATGCTCTCACGAGACTTTGTTACGGCACTCTCCGAGCCGTCGAAGTCGAACAACTCACCGAGAGAGCTTGGTTTGCCATCACCGAAACATGCCTGGCAATGACAATATTTCGTGAGGAGATCGGCGCCTGGTTTCTGGTCATGTTCACTTCTTTGGTTACCGGAAAGGTATGGGGTTGGATCGGCGACGGCAGGGTGGAATTTCTAGAACAACAGCCACCAGCAAATCCCCGACTATTCCACGCCAGACTAAGCATTTCACTCGCCATGAGCTTCATATACGACATCTGGATCCTCAAATACACGGTTGACACTGTGATTCAGCAGGCAAGACCGAATATGATGGTCATGTTTTTGTTCGAGTTCGCTGTGTTGGCTACGAGCTCCTGGCGAACCGCGGTTCGTTATATCCTGTCAATCGCAGAACAAAAGATTGTCAAAGCACAAACAAGAAAGCGTCTCCTTGAGCGGAGGCAAGAGATTCGACAACAGCGAGAGGCTTTGATTCGTGATCGAGAGCAGGCTGCTGCAACCGGACAAGAGCCACCCCAAGACCAAGAGCCTCTTCCCCGCGAGGACGACATAGATGAGATTGATATTGAGGTTCCCGGCTGGGCGACCAAAGGCGAGTGGGTGCTCTGGCTTGATTTGATCACTGGTAAGTCAAAACAATGAGCAAGTCCACCACTGGTCCATTGATTGATTGGTACCTAATTATGCTCAGACATGATCAAACTCGGAATATACATTGCCTTCTTCTTCATGTTGCTGAGATTTTATGGGTTGCCTATCCACATCATGAGAGATCTCTTCATAACATCGAGAGATTTTATTAAGCGACTCAACGCACTTTTACGATACCGCCGCGCAGTTCAAGAAATGAACCGATACGCTGATGCCACGCCGGAGGAACTCTCACAGGAGAATACTTGTATCATATGTCGCGAGGAGATGCGACCTTGGGATCCTGTCAATCAGCCTGGGGCCGTTGACCGTGTCCGTCCGAAAAAGTTGCCATGTGGCCATGTCCTACATCTCGGATGCCTCAAGAGCTGGCTTGAGCGCCAGCAGGTCTGCCCGACGTGTAGGAGCCCTGTTACAATGAATCGTGGCCGAGGGGGCCATAATAGAGCAGCTGGTCTGCGGATCGAGATTGGTGCTGCTCCCCAAGTACTGGCGGGACAAGCACCGGCTGACGGCGGAAACAATGCGCCACCTGGTCAGCAAGGGCTCAACGACAACCAAGCTCCTCGCCGCAGGGAGGGTGGCCCAAGAGTCTTCAACTTCGGACCATTTCGACTTGGCTTTGGAGCAAATGGCCAGGGGGCCCGTGAACTTGCTCAACAATTTGGCATCCCCCAGGCCCAAGGTAATCGTGTTGACCATGGGCTTCCTACACAAACTGCAACCCAAACCCAACAACAACCGTCTGGAGACAGTATGCAGCAAATTGGGAACCTGCTGGGCCAAACCGAGCAAATTATCCAGAGGGAACTGCAAAATCTGCAGATGGCCCAGCAAGAGCTACAAGTGGCCCAGCTTCTCATGGCTGAACTTCAGCGACTTCGCCAGCGGCGACAGCAACAGCCCCAGGAGCAGTCATTAAGGGGACGTGGGGGAGGCACGCCAGTCACCGCGCCCATGGCTTACAATCAGAACATTCATTTTGCAGCACAAGGCAACCACGCCCAAGTTCCTCTGGGCAACGCAGTTCCTACCATCCCTCCTCGGACGGGTAGCCCGTTCATGGCCCGGCATGTAGTTCCAGCGAACGGTGTGACGATAACCGCAGGGAGTCCTGATCTGCCAGAGGGCGTTACGTTACCCCCGGGCTGGTCATTCATACCGCTCCAGAGACTGGACGGAACACAACCTTTGACTCACCAGCAACCCCATAACACAGCAACGTCCCTCAATGCCGAAGCTTCAAACCCTGGTCAATCAACCAGCCGCCCTGCTCCAACACCGTCTGCCGGTGGCGGTGAGGCTGCCGGCGATGAACCTCCGTCCATGGACCCCGGCATGACGGCCCCTACGACGTCGACACCGGGGGATAACCTTGGAGATGGCGTTGGTGCTAGTTCTGAAGCAGTAAGGTCGACACCGGTGGTGTCGCCAAGCCCTGTCATACCGCACTGGGGCGGTCCGGCACAATTGTTCAGTAACAGATCGCGTTCTGACGCTGTAGATAATGCTGCTCCAACAAGCAGTCTTGCTGGTGATGCGGAAGCGCCGAGGAACGAGGGTCACGATGCGCCCCAAAAAAATGCAGCACAGAAGGAGTCAGCCGGAGACGAGTTGCATCATGGCGGGGGTATGGAGTCTGGGGCCGAACCTGTTGTACACTCGGTCGATAAAGGCAAGGCCAAAGCCGTCACGGTGGAGGAAGCTGGCGAAGGCGAAGAAGATTGAACTTGCCGTCTACAGTATTGCTGCGTTGGCTTGTGAAGACGATCGAATGTAGAATGACTAGGTCAGCATAGATTAGCTTGTGCTGACGGGATCAAGACGAGGCACGTGGATGAAACGTTCTGACGGGTCCTGCCCGGTCTTGTGACGTCAGCGAGTTTCATTGACTCCCAGCCCAACGGGCACAGCTGTACTTTGCTCCATTTCCCATCACCAAACCTTGGCTTTAATAGCAGACGGACCAGAGTTGTCTTACGGGTTCACCCATAGCACTCGAGACTTGGAGGTAGGAGACGGACCTCTATTCGGAATATATAGATTCTTCTAGTAAATACTAACTACATGGTGGAACTTGGGCTAAACAAAACGGCAGGGCTTGCGCAGGATATGGGAGGCCCAACTCCAATGAACAGCTTGTCGTAAATACGGAAGCAGAAAGAAACGAGGTGAAATAATCTGGGCATGGTGTAAATATATGCCAATTATATGAGAGGCCGGGGGGCTTCGAAATTGACTTCGAACACGTGCGCTCTTGTGATGTTGTACAGCCGACCTTTTCCAACCGACCCAAAGAATAGAGTGCAGACGTGGTCAAAACAAGCGTCCATGTTGGACCGATGCGAGACAAACAACGTGGGGTCCTATTCACCTTCTCCCACGTCTACCGGAGGAGCCGGGCTGCCTTCTTTGGTCATGCTTCCTGGGTATGCGTCATCACGGTCAACCAATTTGGCGACGATGTCAGCTGTTGGAGGCTTCCCTTGTACAGGCTGCGGGCTTAAGACGCTTGTAGAAGCAGACTGTGCGATGTATGTCGGTGAATGGCGAGGCCCGGATCCAAAAGGCAGCGGTCTCGATGGGATTCCGTGGCCTGCCATTCTTCCTGGCACATCATCATCGCCGCTTAGTCTCCGGAGCAACGCTTCAGATTGTTGCCGGGCTAGCAATTGTAGCCGGGCGGCCGGATCCTTATGAGGATGTCCCACGTCAGTCAAATCGCACCGGCAATCGGCAGGGCCCCAACGTATCCCGTGCACACATACCCATTCGGACTGTGACGGAACACCTTCAGCCATTGGAAGTAACTGGGCTTCTTCTGCTGAGTTGAGGGGTTCGTCAGGGCCTCCCCGCAGTGACGTACGCCTGATCGGTGCTGGTGTCACTGGTAAGCTCGGGCGCTCCAGTTCTGTCGGAAAGTCCGTCAGTTTCAAGGCTTTTGGTATCCGCAACGCTTCACCTGATGCTTTGGGCACTGTGGATGTCGCGGTGGTACCACTACTCGGCCCTCCTGTTCGACGATGTCGCTGCAATCCGTCGACGTATCGGCTGATTCCAGGCACATCATCCCAAGCGTTGACTCGCGAGTAAGAACTCCAGGGATCCGTAGGAGCCGACGAACCAGGACTAGTCTCATGTGCTGGAGCAAGTCGGGCCGTCACGTCACTCTCAGAGGATTCCGCTGCAGGCTGTTCGGGGACCGTGGCAGGCGCATCTGGAGGGACTGGCTCTTGATGGTGATCACCCGACTCGCCTGATTGTAGTGCCCCAATTGGTTCGTATACTGCTGCGGCAGTGAAAGTGCGCGATGGGACGGGTTGACGGGCTTCCCATGGGAATATTTGCCTTGGCATCTTGATTGATGGCGATGGCGGTTCTTTTGGAACCTCGTACCACATATTCTTGGGCGGACTTGGATAGCGTACCGGGGGGATGAAAGGCTTCGTATCTCGTGACATCTCGTAGTGGGTTGACGGGAAATCCATCGCCTCTGGCTTTGAGCCGGGTGGCGGAGGATGCCTACGTTTGTCAGCAAGGCAGTTAAACCAGATACTGTGCTAGTAGTCGCATCTCACCTTTGGGCGTCCCAACTACTATGCATGGACACTGGGGTTTCCTGCGACGGACTTTGGCTGGCAGAACTTCGAGGAGCCTCGACATGGACCGGACCGTGAAGATGCGTTGACGCCTCGGTCTTAGTTGCCTGTCCAATGTACGCCCGGCTTGTGTTCGTGTCGTCGTTACGTCCTGGAAGCAAGTCTGCAGAGGGGTTTGCCGACGAGACGGCTGCGTCTACGGTGCCTCGGCCTCGGTGTCCACCTGAACTTTGCTCAAGACTGGGTTGTTGAGTAGGGGACTCCTTTGCAAAACCATCAGCACCTACATCTATCAACGACTGGGAAAGGATAGATGGGGAGTTGCCCCACGACTGTGGATTTCGAGGTCAAAAGGCGTACCTGTGCTCTATAGTGGCGATCGTATACGGCCCACCAACGGCCGACCATTTCGTCGAAGGGAGTATTGCCGTGGGAAGCGTTGCGGCCGGAGAACCAAGGTTTGTTAGCGCCGATGAAATGCACCATGCTGATGCTGGATTGAAAATGACGATACGCAGGAATGTACTGGTAGTGGGCGGATGGCGTGACATTGTACGTAAAGGATAGGCGATTCACGCTGTGTTTGAAATGCATATTTATTAGACCTTGATCTGCACCATCAAACGAAATTCCTCTGTCGGCCATGGCCAGCATGGCATAGTAGTCACCCATATTTGGAGCAAGAACCATGACACCAGTGTTGACCAGATCCGGCCATCCAATGTCCGGAGCGGCGGAGAAGGCATGAGGCAGCTCAAAGAGCTCGTCTGGAGCTCGGTAGGCCACTACGTCGGCATCGATGTAGACGATTTTGGAAAACTGAGTTTGCTTCCAGAGGTTGATCTTGGTGAAGGCTGAGTGTAAGTCAGACCTGTTCATCAGATGCAGATTGGCGGGCTGGTCGTTGCGAATTCTTGGGACGGGAAGAACGTAGTCGTAGACAGCCTGACAAAATCGCACTCTCGTTAATAGCAGGTCCAGGGAGCCGCGGGCGGCGACTGTCTGGCTCGTGGCATCAGCCAAACTCACCTTGAGCTGGGTGATGGCCTGGGCCGAAACAGAGTCCAACGTGACGAGGACCGCGAGCTCTTTGGTGGTGCCGGCATCGCGCAACGAGTGAGCGAGGACCAGCGCGCCTGGCAGATAGGAGTCGGTCAAGAGAAGCTGCGAGATGGTCAGAGAACAATCCGACAAGACGGCAAAACAAAGAGCGAATCAACGCACCGTTGCATAAAGCTGCTCTCCTGCGGCCGCGTCTGCCGCTGACATTGCTGATTTGCGACCGCCTAGGCCAGGTCTCCCTTCCTTCGTACCTTCGTTCCTTTCTTGTCCTTGCTTTTGGATTGTCCCCTCTTGAATAGAAAAAAGGAAGGGAACAAGGAGAGAGGGGGAAAAAATGACGCTGCTCGACGAGAATCAACAACTACTCACTTACGTACTTGGTACCAAGTACATCTAGGTAGGTACCTTGGCACTGAGTGCTCCGGAGGCAACTGACAAGTTACTCATGCGGGGCGCGACGGTGCTCAGCCATTCGCCTGGCGGGGCGGGAGCGTCAGCCAAGTACGATCTAGAGGAAACAAGCAACGTGCCAGAGTCAATTCACTGCAGAGATGACAGAAGTGGCGGGGACGGTATCCATGACGATGACGGTTTGTTGTCTGATCGCTACCTACGCATAGGTACCTACTCTATACAAGAGTGGCCTGCTAGTTGCACCTTATAGGTGCCAGGCAGTAAGTACTTGGTTAGTACTCCGTCCATACCTAGGTACCTACCTAGGTATGCATGTAGGTTAAGTCTTGCTTGGCTTGGCCCCAAACAAACCTGGCACATTGCATCTGCATGCGCATTCCACCCTCCAATTGTCACAGGCTGCATAACAAAAGCTTTAAACCTCACTGGAGCTCCCCTGCAGGACTTGGAGATTTGCCCATGTCAACGTTGAATTAATGGCGTATGCCACTGGGCAACGCCAAGTCATACACGCCTACGTATCCGCCATGCAATATCGTCACTCGAGTAGATGACATGCTACGGAATCAGTATCTGGCTCATGGCATGTCATGAAACTAAAACGCTTGGCGGGGTTTTCTCCGCTCGGGATGCAGCCATGCTTGATAATGCATGCATCTCTTCACCAATGCAGCATGCAACCCGCAAGCCAAAGAAGAAGAAGAAGAAGAGCTGGAAGGGCAAAAAAAAAAAAAAAAAAAAAAGAGGAGAGAGAGAGGGAGAGGCAGTCGAACCCCCCCCCGCCTTTAATCCGTCCTCTCAGTTGGCTCTGCGTGTTGCTGATTGTGGTGCCAAGCCCTTCTGTACGGACCGGCGTACTAGTTAAAACATGACCCGTTGCGTAACTGCTTGCATCTTGGTAGAGCGACTTGTGGAATAGTCTGGCTTAATCATTCGTGTAACAAAAATTGAACGTCATTCGAACCCTTTTGCCAGGCAACTCAAATTTCTCGAATGACTTTTGCTGTCATCGTGATTCTTCCGAACCTCGAATACCCCACAAGCCCCATTAGGGATACCATGTTCGACCAGAGACTGGACATGTCGGTCGATGCATGCAGCTAAAACTTCAAACCTTGGGGGCCTCTGTCAACGACGGGAACTTTCAAGATGAAACGGACAACGCCATGTAATCCTGGCAACGGAACGAGTTCGACACGTCCTCTGATGCCTTGGTCACAGCCCTCATCTTGTGTGTCGTCTTACGGGACTTGGAACCTCTTAAATGTCTTTCTTGTACGCATGTTCTGGTTTGTGTGTCGTCTCATAGTCGATGTGAACGTACGCCCGTTCAACGTCCGGAAGGCCTTCCAACTTGAACTGAAGCTCCTCGGCAATGTCATGAGTTTCCAGCAATGTACCGGCAGGGTCCATGACGATGTCTACCTCGGCGATCAGTCGTGGACCCGAGTGGTAGACACGTACGGTGTCAATGCCTTGAACAGCAGGCGAGTGCGTAAGGCACACGTAGGTGATGAGTTGCTGCATGTCAACTGGTGCAACGACACCGACCAGCAGCAAGAATTCGTGAAATGCAGTTTGAAGCCAGATTCCCGAGATCAGAACAGATGGTAAGATGGCGCCCATGGGGTCAATCCACCAGTCAAGTTTGGCACCACCGACAGATGTCAGAATACCGAATCCGTTGACGAGCAAATCATTCCGGTGGTCTTGCCACAAGATGTTGACCTGACTATACTTGTTTTTAATCGACCAGCAGTACAGGAAAAGAGAAAACTTGGTAAGGAAGGCAGCGCAGACGGAAATTACAGAAGGCAAATGGAATTGCTTGCTCGTTCCGGATGAAGCGAGCTCCTGAGCGGCGAAGGCGATGATGATGAGAGACACAGACGTCATGAGGAAACAGAAAACGATATTGCCCACCGTTTCAAGTCTGGCCTTGCCCGCTGGGAAGCGACGAGGGTCAACTCGTTTGATCGCGCGGTTGGAGAAGATGAGCGTGAGCGTGCTGAGCGGATCGAAGATGGCATCTGCCATGGTTGTGAACAGAGATAGGGACCCAGACGAGATGGCTGCGTACAGCTGCAGGCCGGTGAGAATGATATTGGCGGCAAGCGAACCATATATCGCGATACGGAACTTGAGCTGGTCGTCACCCTGCTCTTGACGGGCTTCGGCACGGTGTTCCTCCACCGACTTGAGCATGCGCTCGATTGCTGCGTTCTGGTTTTCGTAAAAGCCACGGACCTTTCGAGCATCACGGGCACCGGTGACGGAAGATGGCTTGACGGACGGTACACAGATTTGCGACCCGCCTCTCTTACGTGAAGAGTTGGCCTTGATCTGATTCAAGTCGGATTCCGTCCTGTAGGAAGATGACAGCCCGTATGGATCGCTTTCAATGTTGAGACGTGGAAACCTTGAATTTGGGCCGGCGGTCATCTGGCTCTCTACGTCTGTGGCTTGGGATGGGTGCCTCTCAACAGCGTCTTGCTCTTGACTGGCAGGCGGAACAGGCTCTATGGAGGTGCTCGCGGCACGATGTTGGCCATGATGGTGGTAGTAGTGATGGTGATGGTGGTTTTGGCGCGCGGGCGAGCGAGAGCCGCTCGCGCTGCTGGGTGACGAAAGCTGCTGGAGGTGAAAGACGGATGGATGATGGGTGATGGTATTGCTGCCGTCTGGTGTCATGTTAAGAGAGGTTCGGTTGTCGTCTTGGCCTCAACCATGATATGAAGGCGCCGAGGATGAGAAAATAGAGGAGTGCGGCTTCAGGAGTGGCGACAACAGACTGGAGGGCGACTACGTGCTTCCCTGCTCAGGTTCCAGATACCTCAGATTAAGTGTTAAGTAGGTACCTACATACTTTACCTAGGTACTTAAGGTAGGTACTTACTTGGCAGGTAGGTTCTTGGGTAACTAGGTACTTTAAGTACCTAGTAGGCGCCGAGTCGATGGCAAATGCACAACTTTCTACACCCGAATGCTGAGCACGGGAGCGCTTTTTTGTTGGACTGGCAAAGGACGTCTGGTAGACCGCCAAGCATGCTCGTATGGCAATCACTACCACCACCATAATTGAAATGCGGTGGCTAGTGCTTCGGTACAAAACGATGCGGTCAAGTCTCGTTAGGGGGTCCTCTGGTTAACGGACCAAAAGCTGACTACTAAGTAACTTACTTAAGCACCTTGTTCTTGTTCCGCGAGCACGGATTGCCGCTTCATGACATCCAGAGCTACAGCCTACCACTGCCTACCACTGGCGCCTACTCAGTAACTACAACACTGAGCAGTTTCGCCCTCGGCTCGGGTGGCCTCGGCCCCACTAGAGCTTTGCTTCACGAGGCTCAGCGGCCGCCGGGGATGGGGGACATCGTTCCAAGACCCATTCGACAACGTCATTCGTAAACTCATCCTTGCAGTGGTCCGCGTGGAGCTGGTGATATGCTCCGTCATATGACTTTGTAGTTTTGTCGTCGACGCCATCTTGCTGTGTCAGGAATCGAACCGCAGCGTCATAGCTGCACGCCCGATCTTCCGTCCCGTGGGTTAAGAGCACGCTCCTGACGTGCTTGCCAAGCCGAACTCGACCAGATGATAGCAGAGCTGTCCGATCGAGGAGGGACGCCAGACCTTCAAGAGTTCCCGTGTTGTGGCAAAGAGGGTCATCCCGAACTGACTGAACAACGGCTTCGTCCCTACTAAGGTACTCTGGTGGCACCACGTGTTTCAACTGCTGCTTGGGAAGAAGCCGGCCTACGAGGCGGCCGGCAAATACCTTGAGAATACTGGGCTCCTCCCCTGCCGGGAATCCCACAAAGGGACATTCGAGAAGCCATCCCCGGACTTGACCAACAATTTCGGCATATTGCGAATCCCCCGCAAGGGTCAACACCTCACCGCCGCCCATAGAGTGACCCATGACGAAAAGCGGCGGCGCCGAGCCATCGTCCTTGGCAGGAAGCTTGTCCTTCAAGAAGGCAGCAACATCGGCAATGACTTGGGAGGTTGGTCCAGTGAGGCCCTTCTGCGCAGGAACGACCACACTACGTCCCCAACCGCGCTGATCCCAGCCAAATACCTGAATGCCCTTTTCGGCAAGCTTTGGGAAAAACTCGTTGTAGCGGTTGATGTGTTCGCTAAAGCCATGCACGAAGATCAACTTGGCCTTGATCGGACCAACCGGCTGAAATGAGTGAGCTTGGTCAGCGCCCTAAACGAAGATTTCACAGCACAAGCGATGTCCGCCTACCGTCCATGTCTTAGAGTAGAAGCTCGCATTTCCATGCTGGAACTGGCCCTCAGAAACCGTAGACATATTCTCCTCGTTGAATGGCTGGCTGCGACTATCCTTCCGGAACGCAGCCAGCTAGCTGCTCAAGAGATGGGATCAAGACCTCGAGATTCCCGAGGAGACACTGGAATACAGCGCAGCAGTGACGACTTATACGAGCAGGCACGCCGAATTTGAGTGAAAGGCACCGAAAGTAGTAACAATAATGGCCAGTTGGCAAATTGACGTTCGCCAACGGTTGGTTCGCCCCGAGTGCACAATGACGGGCAAGCAGAGCAAGGAGGGCAAGCGGAGGAGCAGCAGGCAGTGCCGGGGACGCTAGTTGACGACAGCAGGCCCGATGCATGTGACCGGCTGCCGTTGCCGTCTGCTGGACGGTTCCACGTAAAGCGATTTGGGCCTGCCATCGGCGCGCAGAACTTCCAAGTATTAAATACGAGAAGCAACATTTGAACCGCCAAAATTGCTTGCACACGGACAAATTGCTGCTAAACATCTCGATGAGAAAATGCCATTCGTTCTGCAGAGAGTTCAGAGTAGCTTTGAAATTGGAACGCAACTAGGTACCCATCACCTCTGTCTGTCGAAACAAGACTGGTGCTTATGTCATCTGTGGTGTTGGCTTTTTTTGTATTTTGCTACATTTGGATAGCTCTTGTCTAAGTGTCCCTTCAGATCGCTATTTATACCAAAGGAAACTGAAAAAAAAAAAAAAAAGGAAGAAGAAGCAGAAAAGAAAACAAAAAAAAAGGGGTCAATACTCATTCCTCCATTCTCTCTTCCCCACAAACCGCTCCAAGCTGTGAGTGGAGTTTTATCACCATGCCTGTATGCGCCTCCTAACCGGTCGTATTCGACATATATACAAAGTGCCCCAACTGGCCAAATAAAACTTCTAAAATGTACCCGATAATCCTTTCAGTGCGCGGCCAGAGCCTGTACAGAAAACCACACGCCAACATGTGTAGTCTGCTCGTCTGCTCGTCGTGCCTCGGCTGCTATATGCTATAACTCACTCATTGCTCACCGACGCTGCTGCGCCTCTTGCCGTTGTCTTTGTTGATCAGTGTGCTGCTTTGCCTGCTCGTCACCAAAGTCTTCTTCCCGCGCCAACTCTTCCTCTATTTCCTCTGCCTCAGTGATCCTCGGGCCAGGATTAGATTGACGCTTCTCCGGAATCTCGCCGCCGCTCAACTGCCATTCCATCAATTTGCTGAATGCGCTGTGCTTATCCGCGGCAAGTTGGGTGTAGCTTCCAATCTCTGCCACCTTGCCTTCGTTATTGAGGACAATAATTTGATCAGATCTCTTGATTGTCGACAGTCGATGTGCAATGGATATAGTGGTGTTGTGGCCACGCAATAGCCCGGCTAGCGCTTCATTAACAAGCGTCTCTGACTCCGCATCCAGGGCCGACGTGGCTTCGTCAAGAATGAGAATATCCGGATCCTTGAGTAATGCTCGAGCAATCGCAATACGCTGCTTTTGTCCACCAGACAGCTGTGATCCTCTAGCTCCCACTTGGGTTTCCAAGCCATCGGGAAGGTCGCTGATAAAGTTGCAATTGGCTCTTCGCGCAGCTGCAATAATCTCCATCCGGCTGGCATTGGGCTTTCCATATGCAATATTCTCGGCAATCGTTCCGGAAAACAAGACCGGTTCCTGCGATACCATCCCAATCCGTCGTCTCAAAGATTTGACATTCATGGTTGAAATGTCCACTCCGTTGATGGTGATTGAACCGGATGTTGGGTTGTAAAACCTGAGCAACAGTGAAGCAACCGTAGATTTACCACCGCCTGAAGGCCCTACCACGCAGACGTTACTTCCTGACGGGATCTCAAAGTTCAATCCGTTGAAGATCTTGACTGCTGGCCGCGTGGGGTAGGCGAAGCTGACATCGCTGAACTTTATGGGGCCTTGCGCGGATTTGACTCGGACACCAACCGTTTGGTGAATACCTGGACGGCGATCCTGCAGCTCGAAGAGTCTGCTCGCTGCCCCAACCCCTTTCATGAGTTCTGAATAGAAGCCCGAGAGACCAAACAGGCTTGAGCCGGCGAAAGCAGTATACATCATAAACGAGGTAAGGTCTCCTAGAGACATGGCGCCAGAACGGACGAAACTTCCTCCCACAATCAGCATGGCCAAGATGGTCATGTTGCCAGCCCAGCCGGTTGACGCAAAAAACGTAGCCGCGATGAGAGATTCCCTTTTTCCAAGGGCAAATATGCTTCGAATTTGTTTGTTGTAACGGCCAACCTCCTGAACTTCGCCGACAAAGGCTTGACTCGTCTTGATATTTCCAAGACGCTCCTCTGCAATCTTGGTGAGAGTACCCAAGTTCTTCTGGATCGTCCTACTGATATTTCGAATTGCGCGACCGTAGATGACGGCCCCGACGGCTATGGGCGGAAACATTAAGAGAAGTAATCCGGTCAGCTTGGGACTCGTCCAGACCATGATGGCGAAACCGGCACCGCCACTGAATAATGCCCGCAGACCATCGCTCAGATTTTGCGTGACTGACTTGCCGACAATGACAGTATCCGAGCTGAGTCGTGATATGAGATCTCCAACTCGGTTCGCATCAAAGAATTCCGCATCCTGCACGTACGTGCGTCTGTACAGCTGCGATCGCAATCTGGCAACGACTCGCTCACCAACGATTCGGAGCAAAATAACCCTGCCAAAATTCGCCATCGCACCCAAGGTAAGGATGGCACCAAGGCCAATAAAGAACTGGTTTAGAGTAAGGCCAAACAGGCGTATATCATCAACATCCCCCTTGGTGGCGAGGTCCAAGATGCGGCCCACGGAGAAGGGAATAGACATCGTGACACTAGAAGATATCACGAGGAAGCAGAAGGCTAGCCCGAGCCAACGGATTTCCGGTCGGGCGACTTTGATGAGCCTCCATATCTCCCCAAACCCGGCCTTGCTCTGAGATTTTCCCTCTTTAGACAGCCTCGCTGCTAGATTTACTTGTGCAGCCTTGGCCGCCTTGTCACTTTTGATAAAATCGTCCTCGTCCTCGTCGCGAGCCTCCTCTTGAGGTTCGGTCTTCTTGGAGAAGCCGGAGTCACTATATGTCTTGAGCTGACTTTGCTGAAGGGCGAGTCGAGTGGAGGAAAAGGTGCGAATACGTGAAAAGAGGATCTGGGAGTGCCGAAATACCAGACGGTGGATGTGCGGTTTCGGATTCGAGGCTGCGTGCCTTTGCTCGGTTCGTGGGCCAAATGCCGCCGGTGAGAAGCTCGGGAGTACATTCCTGCGTAAGGGCACTGCATGAATGAATCGTGCGTGATGGGCCTGTAGAGTGAATCCAGAATGGCCAGCAGAGGGATTAAAGATTTCTCCCAGGTTGTGTCGCGGCGGTAGTGCACGCCGCACCACGCCCGACACCATCTTGACAAAAACTGCAGCTTAAGCAACTTGATACTGGAGCATTATAGGTACCAGCTGCCAGTAGCTGTGGTGCGTGAAGGCAACTCTGACAGGGACGACGAGCAGGCAATCCGGCATCCTCAGGATGCCGTCATTTTCTCGGGATTTGGGATTAGCCGGAGATGGAAGAAGAACTTGAACGGGGAAAATTAAAGTGGGGCAACCTAGATCCTCCTGGCCCAGAACGTCGGCTGCAGGTCGGAAGGCATGAATGAAGACGCCAAGTGTTGAATTGAATTCTGACCATTCAAAAGAGAAAAAAACGCAGGATAAAGTATGAATTCTTCGACTATGCAAGAATCTATCAATTGACTTGATTTTCGCCCATTATTCGATCATCTTGTCGCGCAAGCAAATCCTCCATGTCAACATATGGCCCATTTGTTGCCTCCAGCCATGAGTCTGTCTCCAGATGCTTCACATGCGTGTTTAGGAAACAAACACGAGGTCCACAACCAGCCTCCAGTCTGTTGAACTATTATTTCTGGATGCGGTCTCAAACTGATTCAGAGTGCCACAAATGAAGATCTTTCTTTGATCGATCACGTATGCAGAGATTCTCCTATTCATTGTGGGTTATCGAACATTGTCCAAGGCAGCAACTAGTTTTCCTTCAAACTTGACCCTTCCGGACTGGGTTGCCTTCAGTACTACCTAATGGTCAGGCCATGTTTCACGTCATTTCTCGACGCTGTCTTTCAACATTTCCGCTACCTCGGGCTCGATGCCATCATCGCCTCCAAGATCAGGGAAGTCTGCCGAATCATCCACCCGCCGTCTCTTCTTTGAACCGTTCGTTGAAACGGCTATTGACTGAAATGAATGTGCGGAGTCTTTTTTTGTAGATGACTCAACCTTCGCCGTCTCAGATGCCGTGACAGACTCAACTGCATCATCGTCTTCCATCTGGGGTGGGGTGAGGGCCTCCATCTCTGGCCTGTCCAGTTCGCTGTGTGGGCTTCCAGTGTCACCTTCTCCCGGCTGACCATTACTCTCACTGGGTCCCAAGGCTCGCATGATGGCGACCTCCACCTGCTGCTTTTTGTCTTCAATCTCCATCTTTCTCTTGAGTAGCTCGGCAGCCGCATTCTTATCGGCGGCTAAAGCAGATCGATTCTCATCCAACATCTTCTCCAATCCGGAGACCAAATGTTCACGGGCCTTGACGCACTCGGCGACGGCGCTTTCTGCGTTCGCTAGTGTTTTGAGAAGACCATTCAAACGGGCTGCATATACTGGAGCGGATGGTGGTGCAACGTCCGGGTCCATCTGTTTGTCGTACTCTTGAGTTGCAGAGGATATCGTGGTCTGTAATGGCCCGCCAAGTTTAACCGTCTTCTGGTGAGCTGCGATCAAGGGAGCGAACTCGGATGGAACGGAAGAACCGCCAAACGGCGAACCTGAGAAACCAGATTTTGGAGCCCCACGAGCTTTATCAAGTTCTTGCAGACTATTAGAGGAAGCGAAGTAAAAAGGGTCAGTAGGGTTACGTACCGTCAAGCCGAGACTCGATAGCCTTCTGAATCGGTGCCTCGAAGATAGATCTGTCCTTCCAGACATCGATCACGCGCCGAAGTTTCGCCTGGATTTCTGCGGGTGCACCTTTATATGCTATAGAGGAAGCTTCGGCGACGACAGGTGAGAATGCTATGACGAAATCTTCCTTGTGGCGTATTCTTGATTGTTGAACCACCTCTATAGTAGGACCATGTCAGTGGACTACCGCGGCGCATTTGATTACGATCCCGTACAGCCACGTATAATATACAGAAACCACCAGGAGCTGCTCACCATTTGCGAGATATACAAGGCTTAATCGCTTTGTGCTGGAAGAATCTTTCAGACGTTGCATCCAAAGTTGTACGGTGCGATCCGCATGACGCCTAGAAACCAGAGCCAACATCAGTACAATGTTGCACGCAAAGCACGTTTGGAGAACTACCGACCTGTGGAACATGATCCATTGGGCAGCGGTGGCGATGCTGTCGTGACTCTCGTTGAGCGACGACAGCCGCGCCAGAACTGAGTCGTCATTATACGCCATGGTTTTCAAGCTGCGATCGCCGACAACGCGATCGCGTCAGATGTAATCGCTGAGAGAATTGGAGTGTGATCTGCACGATTCGATAGAGGGCATTCCAGACGAAGTCGTGGAATGCTTCAACGGGTGAATGCTACTACGGCGGCGTCTCCTCGTGGTTTGTGCCGGTTTTGCCCAGGTAGACTTTGAGACGACAATCTGGTGTTGTTTTGCTCTATAGCGTTCTCAAAGCACACATGTAATGTGTGGCCCAGCTAATCGCCCTGATCAAGGATAAAATACTAATGCTGCCAATGACCCATCTCTGCATGCTCTTGCTGAATGTTGGGAGCTGATGTGGGCCAGAGGTTCGAGCTTTTCGGAATCATGAGCATGCAAGGTACAAGCTAAGAGGTGGTGGCAATGGTTGCTCAAAATGCAATATGCGGAGTTGCGACGGGCTGGTGTGCCTTTGCTCACCGCCCGGCAAAATGCCTCCCCTTTGATCCTTCATGACAAAATCACATAGTGACACTCTCCATCATCGCAGCAACTTGTGGAGAGCGTCCTGCTACCTCCACCACTACGACCACGAAATCGAATTATTCCAGCATTGTAGCGCGATAAGATCTTGTCCCCATTAAATAGACATTCGTCAGAATTTCGCAATGGCAGATCGATTTCCGTCCCTCGACGACTTCGATTCCGGAGGTACGCGAAACACTAACATAGCTTCAAACAACTTCATCTACAATTTCACTGACTTCTCTGTCACAAAGCGCAAACCGAAATTAAAAATGATTCTGCTGAGCCATCGGCCGACGACTTTCTCGCTAGGGAAAAGGCTGTGTTGGGGGACGACGCCGAGCAGTTCGCCACCAGTGACGATGCCGTAACTTTTGCAGAGTCAAGCGGTGACCTCCTGGCTCAGGATACTGTTGGCGAATCAACCTTTGAATCTCAATTTCCTGACATTGCTAGTCCCTCTACCGTATGAACACAACATCCTGACTTCATAGATGACGCGCTAATATATGAAGCAGGGCACTGCTGGTCCACATGGAAATACCTCCGTCACCGGACCATCCATTAGTTATAATTCAGGTTACCAGACTCAAGTAGGTGATGAGGAGGAGCCGGAGGTCATCAAGCAGTGGAGAGAGCAGCGCGACGCACAAATTGCCAAACGTGCTGAACAGTTTGCTGCCCAGCGGGAGGAGACTATCAAAGAGGCGCAGCAGAACATCGATGATTTCTACGAGAACTACAACAGCAGGAAAGAAAAGGGAATCGCACAGACTAGGAAAGATGCCGAGCAATTTCTCGCTAACCGCGAAGATGCAGTCTCAGGCGGCACAAGTTGGGATCGCATTGCAAAGCTTGTGGATGTAAGCGGTAAGAGCGCCAAAGGCGGGGCGACGGGGTCTGGCAAGGAGCGCTTCCGCGAATTGTTGACGAGCCTACGTAAGGATGAGAAGGCCCCAGCCGCTACAAGATACTGAACAAGGAAATGCGATAAAACAGCATACACGAAGGGGTCTTGCTATCTGCTGCGCAATTGGACCACGACATGTTTTTATTATCAATGTTGCTGTCCAAATGCTGTCCAAGTGCAACTCTTTAATGTAAAGCAGAGGATCTGTGAGGTGGGCTGATCCATGGACTGTAAACAATAGCGTAGTTGGTATTGATTGGACGTAAATATGTCTCCACACGATGTTTAAAGTGAAGGAGTTCAGCAATGTGCGCGGTATATTTTATTGTCCTCAATCTATCAAACAGCATAATAGTAGAAGAGGTGGTACATCTCCCCAGGCCAGCCTAAAACGGTATTCTCAGTCGCGCGCCGTACTCAGTCTTTGCCGAACCAGGTGTTATGTCCCGTAATTTTTCGTCCGGCAGCGTACATAGTGGCTGGTACAAGTTAGCTGCATGTTCAAAGCTACTGATATTTCCTATACAAACCTCCGAATCCTCCCCATAGGACAATCAGGTAGGGAGTCATGTACCAGCGACTGCGCGAGCCCTGTCTGTAGTTAGCGAAGATGACGATACGGTTGAGTCGGGAGACGTCAATCGAGAAACATACAATCATCCAGAGACGGGTGTGAGCTTTGTAGGCCTGTTGGTATAAGCGCTGATACTGAGGCACCTTGTTCTTGGCGTCAATCAGACTGCATCTTGGTTAGCTGCGGTTATCGGGGCTGTCAGAACTTCAGAGGCCGCGATTGACATGGGTGAGCCTGCAGGGAGGGATATCGCTGTGTATATACGGAGGTCTTACCCCATTTTGAAGACTTGTTTGCAATCCGTGCGAGCTTTGCGGCAGAGGCAATTGTTGTGAAGTCGTCGTGCTATGACCGAGGATGCAGGAAGACTGTGGCACTCCGTAGAAATGAGGCCATTGTGATTGGAGTCGGCTGCAGATGACTCAGCCGGTGGCCTTCCTGGGGGCGTGTCGAAACACGTGCAACGGTGTGAGAGGCTACTCCGTAGCGCTAAGCTGCAAAGGAGCGAAAGCTTGCGCGATGGTCATCCACGAGGGTCGGCCAGCAGTAATATTGAAGCTTTCGTGCTCATCACCGAAGCGTAGTAGCTTTTCATAACGCTACTGTGACCAAAATCGATGAGTTGCCTGGGGTCGTAGCTGCAGACGCATGAGGCGCATCAGGAATGCGAAAGTCGAGGCTGACTCTACGTCATTTGCCGGTTGGTGTGCCACGGCTCCCAGCAGCGAAGACATATTTTCAACAACCTCCCCTTCGATCCTTTAAGAAAGATATTAATGCCCTACTACGATCTTCTGATTCATCTGAAAAAGTGTCTGGTTTGAATAGGGCTCTCGGAATTCGAAAAGAAACGTTTGTGTCGAGTCCGCCGAGTTGTTCACTTGATCGCCAATTCAGCCCCTTGCCACCCTCGTCGAGATGGAAACCGAAAGGCAGACCAGGACAGGCCTCTATGGGTCATGCGGCAATTCCGCCTATTGAGGGCCAATTGCGCGAGGCGGGCTCACCAGGACGAACCGTTCTGCGAGACTTTGACATCGCTTTTCTAGAAGACAACTCACGGTCATGGGAGAGTTGCGCCTTGTCTGTACGTCGTAATCATGGTTACGATGGGGTGTGGGAGCTGTTTGGGTATATTAAAAAAAATGGACTACTACGGGTGCTCGCCGATCAAGAGACACAGAGCCTTCGAGACGAGATTCTTACCGCTGCCTTGCCTCTTGACTCACGACTCACGGTCCTCATCAATACCGCGCACGAACTCCTCATTGATACCAAATTCATATGGCCAGATTTGTATATGAAGGTCATTTATCACATGCTCGATCAGGAGCAATATGATAGGAGTATCCGGTGGCACCTTCAACTTGCGCCAATTTTTCCGCCATCGACAGAAGTCTTTGGTGCCTTGTTATCAGGCTTTGTTCTTGACCAATCACCGGAAATGCAAAGCAACTTAACAGCACTGTACGTTTCTGGCACGGGGAAGCGATTATATGATCATATAGTTCCTGTGCTCTTCGCAGCTGGTCTTTCGAAACTCGCACGAGTATGGAGGAAAAAGCTACTCGCGTTTCAGGACTTCCCGAGGACAAGTAAATCCAAACCATTTCTTCGATTTCTTGCAGAGTTCTATCCGACTATCGATTTGACAATCGACGAACTAGAGGTTGGAGGGCTTGCGGCCAGGGTTAATGACGCAAATGGCTCGAACTCAGCAAACACCGAGGCAGGAAGTACCGAGACAGAATTTCTCAGTGGGCAATACAGTGATTCCATTGTGGCTCGATGGTTTGCTAGCACTTGGACCTCAATTGAGTTTGCCATTAACCTGGCCCAGAAACTAGGTCTACGCGCAATAGGCCCACGAACCCTTCAATCTCTAGCACTACGAGAATTCGACTCGCAGACAGTAGCATCTCGTATTGCGCAAATCGAAAAACTCGATATTACCATTTCAAATCAAGTCTATTGCAAGGCACTAATTTTCTTTGCCAGACAAGGAGAAGATGCACTTCTAGCGAGCCTTTTGGCTTGTGATGTTCACCCAGATGAGTTTGATGACATTGAAACACGCCAACTGCTAATGGCTTCTTCTGTGCGAGAACAAGACTGGGAAATGGAGAAGTTACTTCAAGGTGTTGAGTGGGCGATCGAACATGACCCTACAGCCCGCAGACTCCATACGCTTCTTGATTGCGAACTATCAGAGCGTAGACTTGATAAGGCAAGACAAGTTCTCGAGCGCATGGAAGCATTAAAAGTCAATGTGAGCCAAGACAGTGCTTTGCAGCTTCTGGAAGGAACCTTTCGAGGTCTGGGTAAACACCCCAATGGAAGGAAACGCCAAACTCGAAGAGAAGGTTCGGAAGCTCTTCTGAACAGAGCCCTTGACGTTACCCGTCGTGTTGCTTTACATGATGTCGCCATACCCTTGCAGCTCTGGAGCCTGTTGTTTTACAATCTTGGTCGCTTGGGTCGTCTTTCCGAACTCGAACAATTGTCGCTGGAAGTAGTTCAGCTTTATACACCACCCTTGGGAGGCTTGATACCGATTCATGCTGACGATCTGCCACAAACCAAGAGCAGAACAGACAACGGAGTTGATGTATTGCCGTGCCAATGCATATCTCCAGCGGGAGATGAGAGCAGTACGAGCCGTCATTCACCAGATAATCAGTCACTGAACGGGGCCATGCGAGGTGCACGACAGTCATGGGGCGAGGAAGCGTCCAATATTAATAAGAAAATCGGTCCTGTTGTCTCGAGATTGGACGTCGGAAGCACACGAGGAGATTCTAAATCCGGGGGCGGGCTTGGTCTTGGATCGATCAGGAGAGACGTGAAGGAGTATATCCCTGCAGACTTGCCCTTCAGCCATCGAGCACATCCAGTACAGAGATTATTCGATACTCGTCTCCAGCGATCCATTGTTCGATGGGGCTTCGACCAAACGTTGGAGACCAAGCCGCACTCTATGGCACTCGTCGGCTCTCATTCGACCGGAGCCTTAGCATTCGATGTAGCTAGTGGTGTACGGCTATTAGCGTTGCTGCGAGATCAAGGCGTTCTAATCGATCTTAAAGTTCTCCGAACAGCTATCCTGTCGAGGATTGCTCTAGGACAGGTGCCAGGTCGTCCAAAGGACAGGTCCCGAGACAGTCATGAGATGTCGGTAGAGCATATGAAAGCCTTGTGTGATGAGGCGTGGGGCTCAGAAATTCTTCCCAGTCCGTCCGAAATAACACGACAGATTGAACATCAGAAGCCGAGGCTCTGGAGCAGATATCCCAGGCTATTTAGACAGTCGTTTGACAAAGGTCGAAAGGACGTTTGAGGAGCGGATCTGCAGGGTTGACTTTGACAAGACGGCGATCTATTTTGCATGATGCACATCGATGTACATTATGTCCTTGCAAGTATATAATAGCCTTTTCCAAAAGACTCAACCACCACAGCGCCGATCGCTCCCATAGCCACAAATTCTTCGTGGCGCCCCTATGTATACAGATCTATTGATACATTTTAAGTCTTAAATCATTGAGTGCCGTGTTGAGCCGGCACGAAGTCCAGCCGGGAACTTGGACGGAATGCCGCCCAAATATCAGTCATGACTTTTTGGCTTTATGAGCAGAAGGATAAATAGCCCTGCAATAATGAGAATGAGAAGAAGAATTATTTTTCTCTTGGTAGTCCTTCTCTGGTAGCCCGAAGCTACTTTGAGTTCTCGATCAGCCCCTTTGACGTTCTCGCTCATTCTCTCCACGTTATAGTCGATACGATCCAGCATTGTACCTTGGTCTATGACCATCGTTTGAAGATCGCGAAATAAATCAGATAGCTCGATAATGCCTTGCGCGATATCTTCAATCTCACGCTCTCGCTGCGCTATTGCAGCGTCATTAGAATGCAGGAGTTTCTGTTGCGACGCGGCTTGGAGGGTATATTGGGAGAATGACCGGTCAGCGTCTGATTCTTGCAGCGAAGGATCCATATCCGAGCCTGACTGTGGCATGTACGATGAATCTCCAGGAGCGAAGGCGCCCAATCCTCCCATGTCTCGAAGCTCTACGGTGAAAATAGTTAGTCTACGCTGGCGTTTTTGGCCAGAATAGGATTAGGCCTACTCTTGAGATATGCGCTTTGCTTCTTTCTAAAGTTGGCGCTCGCTTCCTGGACCCTTGTTGCAAGAGAGATCTGGATATTCTTTGCCATCACCTCCTCAGCTTTCGTTAGAGTTCCAGACTCCTTGGACTCGCGAACCATTTGCTCAACGCGTTGGATCCTGCGATGGCAGTCATGGAACGCTCTCGTTATCTGCTGCGTTAGCCGCTCAATCTGTGCTTCTTCGGCCTTTTTTGCCTCGTCGTCGTTAAATCCTGGGAGAACATGCTTCTGATGCAGCTTCTCGAGGTTGTGCCCTTTAGTCGCTACATCGGCCAGCAACTCGGTAATCTCGTCCGAGACATCGGCCCAGCGAGGGGGGAGCAAGTCCATCTCAATTACAGCGTCACCATCGTCGTCGAATCCACCACTTGAGAGGAGCCCCCTTCGATCTTCGGCACCATAGCTACTACTCGAATAGGCGGCGGAGAAGGCGTTGGTACCTGAAGTATTGGAGCCGGCATATTTGTTCCGGTGAATCGGATGGTGCGCGTAGGATTGACGATAGGAAATATACCTAGGAGTCAATGCACGTTAGAAGAATGTAGAGCCATGCCAAGATACTGCATCAATCCGTCAAGGCTTGGAGCGCATATACAGGTTGGTGCGGTCTCGCCACATGGCGGACGCAGAGAGCTTGTTGCTGAGACTTTCGAGACGGGGCGGCTCTTGTAAACCTCACGAAACAGATTATAAGGAGCTGAAAGAGCTGTAGCGGTATCCGAGTATAAGAGCCTTTGTTGTGTCGTGCTGGATCCGGTCGTGGTTAGCAGCATTCGCGGCTTGGAGGTTGAGTTTACCTCGCCGCGGCCCTAGGAAGTGGCATGACCAGAGGAGTGGCTACGTAAGTAACACTGAAGTGGGGCCAGCTAGAGAGTGAGTCACGGAACCCAAGACCATGCTGCTCATCAGTGCTACCACCATGGATCTATCCCAGCGCAATCTTCGGAGAGGCTCAGTGTCACTTAAGAGCATCCGACTCTACTCTACTCTGCTCCATATATATACTCCAGAAGTCTGGTTCCATGGGTTCGAAGTTGGCTGGAAATAGCCGGCTGTCAATGCCCACGCTGAGGATGTAGACACCTGGTAGTAGTTGAGAAGGAACTTTAAGAGCTGTTATAACCTTGGAACAATAACCTAAGTAGCCAGTTGAGTATCAGAAGTAGGCCTCAATATCTCTCTACTTGTAATCGAGACCAGTATCTACTTGGTGCTTAGAGATCGCAGCCTCTCACACAGTGCGATCATGCAATTGTTCGCCTACCGAGGGCTGCAAACTCCATGTCCTACGACCATCGAGGGTCGCATTCAGCCGATGGTGAGAGGTAGCCTGAGAAGCAGATTTCACCAGGCCGTCCGAACCAAAGGCCGTGGGTGGTGCGTGGTATGAAGCGCCGTTGTCCGCTGTGTTTAAGCCCACGGCGGCGAAGCGAATTTTCGGGTTTTGCACTACTATCTACGTACCTAAGTACCTAAGTACTTGAGTACTTAAGCAGCAGCGTCGGCGCCGTCGCGCAGACTGGCTTTGGAACATGATTGACGGCTGATACAATTGGACATCTGCACAGTGTGGCCACTGCAAAGGCAAGGCATCTCTCTGAGGACTCCCCACTCCTGCACCTGCTCTGCTCCGTACTCCCATACTACTCCTTATGACAACCCATCCCTGAGCGAGCCAAGACCACAAACTTGCATCTAACCTCGCGCTTTTGACGACTATACGCAACCTGCTGCGTCTTTTTCGCCGTATCCCGCTCGCTCTACCCACATACCTACCATGGTGAGTCAAGCTCTCCATTCCGTGACCGCAATCAGCTTTGCGTCCCTGCATTCTGCAACCCCGCGCTGCTCCTGCCTCCTGTCCTCCTGCACTATTCCCTCGCGCAGGACTGCTTGTTGGTGGTGGAAGCGGCCGCATTCACCGAGTCACCCTCAACTAATTCAGTTGCACCACAGGCCGACTCTCTTACAGAGGAGCAGGTCTCCGAGTTCAAGGAAGCATTCTCTCTGTTTGTAAGTTGAACAATCCGCCTAGCACTGCCTCCGCTCTAGACTTGGCTGGGCGTCGACCCGCTAACCTGTGCTTTAGGACAAAGATGGAGATGGTAAGCATCGCTACTTTTTGCACGCTCTGTTCGAGTCGTTCGAGTCGCAACGAGTACAAGGGGCCGATTGTTCACGATTCCCCTTGTTTTTTAAATGCCTACTTCCTGTGTCGAGAAAAAATTGGTCTCACGAATTCATGGCTGATCTCTACGATGTTTAGGCCAGATTACCACCAAGGAGCTGGGCACTGTCATGCGTTCTCTAGGCCAGAATCCGAGCGAGTCGGAGTTGCAAGACATGATCAACGAGGTGGATGCCGACAATAACGGCACCATCGACTTTCCCGGTAAGACACACTGCGAGTTTGTTGCGGGCCAGGACGATTTCAAACCCAACGACGACTGACACACGACGTGCTTCCATAATAGAATTCCTGACCATGATGGCCCGAAAAATGAAGGATACCGATTCCGAGGAAGAGATCAGGGAGGCATTCAAGGTGATTATAGCCCGTTGCCATGTTGTTACCACAAGCGACTTACAAACTCAACTTGAACACAGGTGTTTGACCGAGATAACAATGGATTTATTTCGGCAGCAGAGCTGCGTCATGTTATGACTTCTATCGGCGAAAAGCTCACTGACGACGAGGTTGATGAGATGATTCGAGAGGCCGATCAGGACGGCGACGGCCGAATTGACTGTATGGAACCACCAAGCCAAATGTTTCGCCAACGTTCCATCACTAACCCGCTTAACAGACAACGAATTCGTCCAGCTCATGATGCAGAAGTAAGGGGTCATTTTTGTAGAAAAAAAAAAAGCTCGAGATGGGTGGTTTCCAATAGTCTGCGTGCTGGCTTGTGCTAGAACTTCGATCAAAACATCGAGGCAGTCATCTGCCTACCTTAGCTGTTGACCCATGAACGCGATGGCGCTGTAGACGGCTGGAACAGGATGCGGTTTCTTACCTCTCCTTTGGTGTTGGAGATTCTACTGGTCATTGGGGGATATCAATGGATTGGGCACCGTTATGTTTACAGAGATGAAGAGTCTATTCTCGGTGTTTTGTCGGTTGTCTGTTTTTTTTTTTTCCCCGCAACTCCGTCCGCCTTCTCCAGCTAGCTACATGCCTGGTGCCCCGTACCCGGATAGGTAGTTGGCCGATATTTGCGCATTAGTGGAATTAGTCAGGAAACGCAGTAAACTGATGCTTTGCTTTTTGCAGGGCATTGGACATCCAACGTGTCTGTGAATTTAAAATGTCCAGTCAAGCGCCAGGCGCCATTGGACAGATCGACCCGTACCTGTGTCCGATGCTCACCCAAGAAGCATGCCCAAGTCATTGCAAACTGACTGTCTTCAGGCACTGCCGGCTATCCTATGTCCAAAGACACTGTTGACATACACCAATATAGAGTTGCTCGTTGGTTTCCAAGTGGCACCAACTGACTGACAATCAACGTTTGTGCGCTCATCGGGCCGTTGATTTTCCTCTGCTCTTGCCCAAGCAAGCTCTGTGTGGATACCCAATTACAAGTCTGGGCAAGCATCAGAGAGGCCCCACGTTTCGACAACCCGACGTCTGGACTCTGGACACAGTCTATTCGGTGCCATTTGCCATTTGATTTCTGGCTGCTTGCGCTGTCCTTCACGCCGGTACTCCGTATTGGACGGAGATAGCTCAAAGCCCGAGACCGCTTGGTGCTATATTCATAGAGCTAGAGCATCGAGGGCCAGCGCGCCTCTTCCGCGAGACTCTTTGCCACTCAACCCCGACCCGTCGCCTGGACACCGTGACCGATAATGCTCATGTTGGGCGCTTACCCCTCAAGATGAGCTCGTGTAAGGCTTCCCATTGGCGAGGAGCCTACTTTGCTGCTTGGCGACTAACTGTTATCGTAGTAAAGCAATTTATTCGCAATGTTCGTGCGGCAAAGACCATCGCGGATGAGCGGGCGGTCATCCAAAAAGAAAGCGCAGCTATTCGAGCGAGTTTCAGGGAGGAGAGCCACGACCATGGTGTTCGGTAAGCCACCCTATACCTTTTCACTGCCACCTTTTCTTCTTCTTTTCTTCTTTTTATTCTATTTTTCGTTTTTATTTTGATCCAGCTAACGGTATTTTGCCAGCCGTAACAATGTTGCCAAATTGTTGTATCTCTTCACACTCGGCGAACGAACCCATTTCGGCCAAATTGAATGTCTGAAGCTACTCGCCTCTCCTCGATTTGCCGATAAACGCCTCGGTCACCTTGCTACGAGTTTGCTCCTGGATGAGAACCAAGAAGTTTTAACACTGGTCACCAACTCATTAAAAAAGTACCTCGACTTGGAACACTTTGGCATTAGCAACGAAGCTAACGAAATTTGTAGTGATCTTGGCCACTCGAATCAATACATCGTTGGACTCGCTTTGTGCACTCTGGGCAACATAGCCTCGATTGAAATGTCGAGAGATCTGTTTCCTGAGATTGAGACCTTGATATCCACGTCAAATCCTTATATTCGAAGGAAGGCCGCCCTCTGCGCCATGAGAATCTGTCGCAAGGTCCCTGACCTACAAGAACACTTCTTGGAAAAAGCCGCACATTTGTTAGCTGACAGAAATCATGGGGTTCTACTCTGTGGCCTGAACCTGGTCACGAGTCTGTGTGAAGCAGACGAGGAAGAAGGAGGTGAAGAGGGCATTGTTGACAAGTTCAGATCATTTGTTCCGGGGCTTGTCAAGACACTGAAAGGTCTTTCAACCTCTGGTTATACCCCAGAGCATGATGTTACTGGAATCACGGATCCTTTTCTTCAAGTCAAGCTGCTTCGACTTCTCCGGATTCTTGCCATGGGCGATCCAGAGACGAGCGAACAGATCAACGATATTCTAGCGCAAGTCGCCACCAATACGGACTCATCGAAGAATGTTGGAAACTCCATTCTTTATGAGGCAGTTCGTACGATCCTAGATATTGAAGCAGATTCTGGACTGAGGGTCTTGGGAGTCAATATCTTAGGAAAGTTCCTCGCCAACCGAGACAACAACATCCGTTACGTGGCCCTGAACACTCTTATAAAGGTCGTTGCCATTGAGCCAAACGCTGTTCAAAGACATCGCAACACAATCTTGGAGTGTCTGAGAGACCCGGATGTCAGTATACGAAGACGTGCTCTGGATCTCAGCTTCACTCTCATAAATGAGAACAATGTACGAGTCCTCATCAGAGAGCTTCTAGCCTTCTTGGAGGTGGCAGACAACGAATTCAAGCCAACAATGACAAGTCAGATCGGGATTGCGGCAGATAAATTTGCTCCGAACAAAAGGTGGCATTTCGACACTATGCTCAGGGTGCTGTCATTAGCAGGGAACTATGTTAAGGAACAGATTCTCTCGTCCTTTGTTCGACTTATAGCGACCACTCCGGAACTTCAAACGTATGCGGTGCAGAAGCTATATGTCAATCTTAAGAAGGACATAACCCAGGAAAGCCTGACTCAGGCGGGTGCTTGGTGCGTTGGCGAGTATGCTGATGCTCTGCTTAGCGGAGGACAGTATGAAGAGGAAGAACTCGTTCAGGAAGTCAAAGAACATGAAGTGGTAGACTTGTTTGCGCTGATATTAAACAGTAGCTATGCGACACAAGTCTCCACTGAATATATTATTACCGCCCTGATGAAACTCACTACTCGTTTTTCAGAGGGTTCGAAGGTTGAGAGAATCCGGCGGCTTCTACAAACTCACCAAACGAGCCTTGATGTCGAGGTGCAGCAACGAGCCGCTGAGTACAGCAATTTGTTCTCATTTGACCAGATTCGACGTGGTGTTCTGGAAAAAATGCCTCCGCCGCAAATCAAAGAGTCATCTAGAGTCCTTGGCCCAGCGCCCACAAAGAAAGCAAAGGCCACAAACAGAAAGTCCAGGGTGCTGAAGCCAACAGAGCAGGACTTGCTTGACCTCATGGATGCTCCGCCCACCGCATCGGGACCAACTCCGGCGACGAACTCGGATCTTCTGGCAGATATTCTTGGAGGCAGCGCTTCAACACCGCCCCCGTCGTCTGCATCGCCGCATGCGCCTCAGCCGGCGAGTGTGCCCTCAATCATGGATTTATTTGGGCCCGGATCAGGCCAGCCAACCAGTTCGCAAGCACAGGCTCCCGCAGGCCTGAACCTGATGGGCAACAGCTCTCCACGGGCTCAGGTAGCTCAGGTCGAATCGGGACGTCCTTGCTACAGCGCCAACGACCTTACTGTAACAATTCAAGTCCAAAGGAATGGGGAGGGCCTCATTCAAGCTACTGCGCGTTTCCAAAACATTTCCGCGTCAACCTCACTCTCTCATGTCGGATTGCAAGCTGCGGTTCCTAAATCTCAGAAACTCCAACTTCTCAATATTTCGTCCTCGATTCTACATCCTGGCGCAGATGCTACCCAGATGATGAGAATATCCGGATGTAAAGGGGTAAGATGATTTCCCATTTCCCGGCTTATATGGCAACACGGAATCCCTGTCATTACTTTGCCGTCATCGTTGTCTCTCAATGTATTCCATTGATTTAAAATGGACGACTAACTATTTACCCAGCCCTTGCGCCTTCGCCTCAGAATCGGCTACGATCATCCCTCTGCCGGGAAAGTATTGGATCAGGTAAATTGGACTGAGCCTTCGTAGGCCACAATGATGTAAAAGACGGCATGGAGAGGGAGAGGCGGCATCTCATGGGGCAAGATGAGTCACACGACCCTATTAGCTACTCAGAGTATAGAATCCACCAAAAGGTTCCTTGTAGCTGCAGCATACCCGCATTTCTTCAAAGTACCGGCTTCAGGCCGGGTATTCCAACTTGCTATGCGTCCCTTTGACGAATGAAGTTTGTAGTCATCTTGAAGGACCGCAACTAACGGCCTCGTAAAGGAAAATTTCAATGCCTATGCCGCTCCAAAATAACTTGTTTTCAACCATCAAAACGACGCACGTGCGATACGTACCTACGTGCGCGATTCCTATTATCGAGGATCACAGAGCTCTCAAAGACAGTTGAAACTAGTCATTGTGTGCCGGTAGAAAGGTCTATACGATCAATCTTGCGGCGGCCAACTTAGGGTAGGTGGTCGTGGTCAAAGCCCAGACAGTATTGCAATCCTTCACGACAAACGACGTCCAGATCCCGATTAGGTTTTGCGTGGCAGTATTCTCAAATACACCAAGTTGTGCACGAATTCTGCAGAGTATCACGCTTATTTATACCGGACTTTGGCAGCACGAATACATATTCGGCAATAACGAAATTGAGGCAGTCGGAAACCCGTCACGTCTGAGCAGTCGTCTGTAGAGCGATGGCCAGCAAAGCCAGCCACCTTGACCGAACTGCCCAATGTCGCCGGGCTCGGTTGATGGAGGCTAACTCCTGACTCCTCATGCCGCGCGTAGGAATTACACTCTGTGACGCTCAGTCGAATCGATGGCGTCAATGAAAGGGTCAGGCTCTTGCGTCTGGAGCTGCATAGCGGTCCTGTAAAGGTAAGTGTCGGTTTAAGCGTCACTGATAGAGAGAGAGAGAGAGAGGGCGCGCCGGGAAAGGGTGGCCTGCAATCCTTGGAGCTTCGTCGATTGTCATGGGCAAATCAGTTCTGGCCCGGCCAATGGCTAGATACGTACGTCCCTGGAGTCGCCAAGGCAGGCGGCCTTTCGATTACATGTGCTCCCTCCGCAGCAGCCTCGTCGGGCGGCCTGCCTGCGCCGTATCTGGAACTCGCCGTTCAAAAGTCGCCGGACAATGCGGTCGCAGCGTGGCTATGGCAGCCGACGGAGAAAGAGATCGGGTCGCATTTGCATGTCCGCGTTGCAGGGGGCTTTGTTTTCCCTCCCCCTTCGCATCCTCGGGTCGACAAGATCGAGAGCGTTGTTTTTGTAGCAGGCGGCGTAGGTATCAACCCGCTCAGGAGCATGCTTAGCCACATTGGTGAGACGGATGGCTTTTCTGGCCTTGACGTGTCTGTATTCTATAGTAGCAAGCTGCCTGACAGGGGAGGATTGGAGGACATCCTATTCGTACCACGTATAGCGGCCTTGTTTGCGCATGGCAGTGTCGAGGGGAAGTTCAAGATACATTTGACTGGGAGCCGCGAGAGCCTTCGACGCTTCGAAAGTCGACGCAAAGCTCACCAAGTCATAGACGAGAACGTTCTAGTTCAAGAGGGCAGATTGTCTGCGGCAAATTTGCGCCCAGACCCGAACAAAGGGGACCGTCGTTCGAGCATCTTTTACGTTTGCGGGCCACCAGCCATGACAGATTTCATCTACACGTCCCTGGCTGCAAGTAGTCCAGGAATGAACACATCGCCAGCACAAATCGTGACCGAGAGATGGTGGTAGGCAGTGGCTAGATTTCATGATCAAGGAACGAAAGCATCATTCATTTAGCCCCGACCATGGTATCATATTGCGTCATGGCAAATTCTAAATAGTATCATTCGGCTGCCCCATCAATGCTGTGATTGCCTCGGCAGGGCGAGGCACATCCTCTCCTACGCGCCGAGTATTCTTCCCAACCAGGCCGTTCCCGCGCCTTGACCAGACATTCCTTTTGATTTTCCCGACTAGGAAAAAAGATCTTGCGCCCTTTGTCTTCGCTTTGAGCGGGTGGGATCCAGCAGCTCCCTGCCGGAGTTGCTCGAGCCCAGCTTGTCGGGAAACAGCTCCCGGGCACTCGCCGCAGCAGCCCCTTTAATGGAAAACCCAGTCCTGTCGTCGGCTCTCTGGCTGGCGAGACCTCGAATGTTGATGGAGCTACCGGATTTGGCCTCAGAGATGTCGACAATTTTGGGCAGGTCCTGGTCTTCTAGCCTCGCAGAGCCAATGGCAGCTTCGAGTTGATCCAGTTGACCACCTGGTCCACTGGTTCTGGACGGGAATAACTCTTTGCTGCTATTATCAGCGACGATGCGGTTTTTCAGAGACCTGGCCTGCGCCTTGTTTCTGTACGAGGAGTCATCCAGCTCATCCATCCGCGCATTCCCGTCGCGGTCGCGCCGAGGAGAAGCCGACCTGTCGCGGCGGGTAGTTTTGTTGATGAATAGCTCCTTTCCACGGTTCTCTGCGACGTACGAAGGCGTCGAATTGACCTCCGAGACTGAGACTTGTTGCGAGCGACTCGGGCGAGGAATGTCGTCATACATGCTAGCTTCAAACGTCTCGACATCATCGTCTGAGTCGCGCCTTCGTCGACCGCCATTTCCGCGATAATCATTATCCCTTTCTCTATATCTTGTCCGGCTTTCTCTGAACCTCCGGCGCCGTTCTTCGGGATCATGCTCTGGGTGTAGGAGATAGTATCTGCTGCGCAATGCGGCTCCAGCCTGTTTCTTGTCGCTGCTGACAGCGACGCGAATGTGCAGTGAACACTCTGGTTTTCCATCAAGCGGCTTCGCTGGCAGCGTCTCTCCCGGCGGCAAAACCGTCACGTCGACTATCTCGATTGCGCTCAAGGCCATGATGGCATCTCGGGCTGTAACCTCGTTGCCAAACACCAAGTTTGCTGAAGAATCGTCAATCCATTCAACCTTGTCAACCGGCCCAAAGTGACTCTTGACATATGCCTTGATATCGTCCGTGTGCAAGGTATCAACGCCTCGAATATGTAGTTTGTTAGGAACTAGGGTTTTGCCTTCGTTCCCATCCTGGTTACCAGCGCCAGTGTCGACAGACTCGTCCTCCACAAGCTCTCCGGGCTCCTGCGCTTCAGCCGTTCCCTGGCGATTTGTCAACATCAGTCGCGGAAACAGAGATGACTGGGAAGCATGGGAAGCGGAGGAAAGGCAAGGGGAAAGGGATTGCATTTAATACCAAGATGTCGTCAGCCTGTGGCAGTTCGTCTACTGGCAGTTCTTGCGTGACGTGCGCAGCGTCGCCCATTTCGATATCGAGATCCATTGTAGAGGAACGACACAGGATATATCCTGCTCAGAGAGACGAATAGATAATAGATGATTTTGATCAATGCAGTAAGATGCTGCAGGGGGTTGCACAGGCACAGATGTTGTAGAGCAGCGCATGCAGCCTGCAGTGAGAGCGACTGAGAGTGACTGCGAGGCAAGTACCTACCTAGTAGGTTACTTGGAGGTATGTAACCGGACTGGTTATTACAAGTCAACTGCACCGAGCGGCGTGCTGATCACAGCCGTTGGTTGACACTTGGTAGCGCCACCATTAGAAATCCCTCTAGCACCTGAGCCCAGTGGCCCAGCGGGTGTCTTAGTACTTAAGTACTTAGTCAGTACCTGGAGTAAGTTCTCAGAACTTACTAGGCACCCAGGCTTTGTATTAATGTTAAGTACCTGGTCTTCCTCATACAAGGTGAATTATTTTGATCGTCTGCGGCTCCATCTCGATCGAGCTCTACCAAAAACCTCGGAGTCCTAGAATCCAACGCTTGGAAATTCTTGTTTTACGTACAAGTGCCAGAAACTAGCCACTATTCATGAATACTCAAGTACGTGCTACCAGGCACGTTGCCATGTACCCCAGCACGTACCTTGGCGACTGTGGCTCACCAGTTGACCCCACCCCACACACCTCGCTTCAATTGGGGCTTCGCAATGCGAGGCAGCTCGACGACGCTGGACCTCGCATCGCAAGAAGACATACTCCGTACCTGCCTCAAAGAAGATGCAACGCGCCTCCACCTTTGCGACGTCCTCTTACGATTCAACCCTCGCATCAACGTCAGCTTCCCTGTCTCCATATCGCCCGACTCAACTCTCGCCCTGGGACATGCCTTCGCTGCCGTCATAATCATGCCTCCTCAAGACCCCGCCACTACTCTCGGCGCCTTGCTGCGTGCGGCCACCATTGACGACCACGATGAAGTTCTCAAAGCTGCCAACGCTGCCCTCAAGGCCAACAGAACCGACGAGCTGGCCCAGCACACGAGAGTCGTCGCCCTGTTGAAGCTGGACAGGTTTTCCGATGCTTTGAGGGCAATCTCTGAAGGCGGAATCAAACTGGAAGCATCTTGTGTGCTCGAGACGGCGTATGCTCTATACAAGTTGGGCAAACTAGACGAGGCCACCAGCCTCCTTGTATCTGTGGGCATTCAGAAACGAAGCCTCAGCCATCTTGCGGCTCAAGTTGCATACCGTTCCGAGAACTTCGATGAGGCGCAGTCCATATATCATCGACTTCTCGCCTCGGATATAGACGAAGAGGCCAATGATCTGCGCATCAACATCCAGGCAGCGCAAGCTCAAGCCGTGTGGAAAGATGTATCCGCGTCGTATGCCACCAACCCAGAAAATGCGCCAGACGCTTTTGAGCTGTGCTACAATGCGGCATGTGCCAATATTGCCAGAGGCTCGCTGCAACTGGCATTAAAGCTTCTCCAGCGAGCGCTTGCCCTCTGCGATGCTTCTGATGAGCTGACAGACGAGGATAAGGACGCGGAGCGCCAGCCTATTCTTGCTCAACAAGCTTTAGTTTTGGCCAAGATGGGAGACGTCGACCGTGCCAGGGATATGTATTCTTCCATAAACATTTTTGCGTGAGTAGTTGTGACCAAATCTGCAAATGTGTGAGATTGCGGGCTCGGACAGATGTGCTAACTCGTCTGGCTCGCAAAATACAGCGAGACCGACTTCGATTTCAACATCGTCACTCAAAATAACCGTTGGGCATTGGAAAAGAAGCCTCGCAATCCCTTCTTGGTCGAACGCGACGCTGCATCTTGGATGTCGGCGAGGAGCAAGGCCAAACTATTCAAGTTTCAATCTGATATCCTTGCCCGAAATGCGTCTGTCGTTGATTTGCGTGCGTTCAAGGTCAACGGCGTTAAAGAAAGAGCGAAAAAAGCGACGACAAAAGCTCAAATGCCATCCTGCAATCCCGATTTAAACGCCATGTCCGTCATTGGAGCTGCCGCCGAAACGCAAGGCCTAGCCAAAAAGGACTCTCTACGCTCCCTTCTTACTCTCTCCAAAAATAGGCCCAACGACACGGGGCTTGTCTTGACCATAGTGCAGCTTCACCTGGAGCGGAAGAATCTTGGCGCCGCCACCCATGCTCTGACCTCATTTTTCTCTCGACTGGAAGAGTCAGGGGATGAACAATCCCAACGTGTTCGTTTCTGCCCCGGGCTGGTGGCGCTCGCCGTGGCATTAAAGAAGACTCAAAAACGGAAGACGTCCGCCAAGGCCGAACTTGTGAAGGCCGCAGAGTTCTGGCGCGAACGTCCAACCACTTCAGTCGTTTCTCTTCTTGAAGAGGCCGGCATTGAACTTGCATCCTCGCCCAACCCCGATGAGATGAAACTGGGAGGCGTTGCCCTCACAAAGCTACACAATGAAAATCAAACATCACCCATTATTTCCGCTGGGTTGGTAGCGGCACTAGCTGCTTCTAGCGCTGGAACAGTGGAACAACACGTTGCGCAACTTCCTTCCGTGGAAAGCCTCGTCAACGGCATCGATATAGACAGCCTCGTCAACTCCGGAGTTGCTTCTACCGTTGAAGCCTCATCAGCGAGCAAGAAGAGGCAGCCTCCTGCTGCAGCAAGCAGTGAGCGCCCGGGCCAGAAAAGAAGGAGGATAAGGCTGCCGAAGAACTTGGTTGAAGGTCAAACGCCTGATCCTGAAAGATGGCTTCCATTGCGTGATAGATCAACCTACCGGCCGAAGGGCAAGAAGGGACGGAAGAAAGCTGCTGATTCTACACAAGGTGGTGTAGTGAAGGACGAGGAAACACTTGGTCTTGTAGGGGGGGGCGGTGTTAAAGTAGAAAAGGCGTCGGCATCGAGTTCATCCAAGAAAATGAAGAAAGGTAAAAAATAAGTCGGGGACACTGGCTGTGAAGCCTGGCAAAGAAGCGTCTCGGGGATCCTGCGATGGGAGACTATAATCTGGTCTCATGTGTTGAAAAGAAGCTGACGGGGCAGCACATGCAACAACTACATAGTCTCAACGAGTAGGAGAAGTCATGCCATAATGATCCAAGTCACCTGCTTGCTTGCTTCGAATCTTGCACCCCATCATGACCTCGCAACGGAATGAATCCCTTTCTCAGGGCAATGGTCCTCTACAAGCTGCTGAGTATTCCACATGTGTTGAGTCAACATTTTCTGGTCTGCCCGCGTGTTCAGTCACTACCTGAAGCCTGGGGATGCTGTCACAGTATCCTCAGTACGTCCTATTTGGATGAATTCATTTGAAGTCAGTGTCCCGGTGCACAAGAAACCGACAGGCGCACGAAATTGCAAGCAGAGATGCCATAAAACGGTTGTATTTGAAGCGCTGTATATTACTGCCTTTATCATACCCTGCGTCTTCCTGGCCGCCGCTTCCTTAATTCCTTTGCAGAGCCCGCGGAATCCCAACGCTAGTATAAACCCTCACATGTAAATTGTAGCTAATAATCTTCTCTTTTAATGGGAATGAGAAACCGGCAATTAGAGCCTCACAACCTGAGTGGGTTGAGTTGATTGGGTCTCATGCTCAAACCGTGTACCTTCGTCGCAACTACTCGACTCGTCGCTCCCACTGACTTCTCCTTCCTGTTTCTGGTCTAGGGTCAAACCCTCGCTCATCTGTGGACATGTCTCCACCTCCAAGCCCTCTCGCTGCGCTTCTGATGTTGACTGAGGTGATTTCTGTTCATCGCGGACGCTGGGGGAGACTTCACTTTCGCCATCGGATGGGATTGCAAGTCGTCCACCGGAAACGCTCCTAGCTGCCTGTGCTGATGAATATCTCCTGTGGAGATCTCTGAAACTGCGAGCGGTGGCGGTGCTTGTACTAGCTACCGAGTCCCTCCTGCTGCTCGTGCCATTCGATCCAGACGGGGTTTCTAATGCAGAGCGGAAATCGTCCTCGGGGTTGTCGTTGCCCGAAATAGGGGTAGCTAGCTCTTCTTGCTGGTCTTGCTGCAATAACTGGTGCTGTTTCCGGGTCATAATCTTGTCTTCTTGAGACATTGTCTGCAGCTCCGTGCCCAAATTGATCACCGAGGCCTTTTTACCGTGAACGACAAAGCTACCAGCTCCACGGGATAAAGTCGTTTCCCGTATCCCGTCATCCACGGAGCCAGCAACCGGTGGTCCTGTGTCTTTGCCCCTCTTGCTGCGGTGATGGGAAAGATGACCTGCACTCTCCCTCAGAGTTCGCTGCAAACTTCTTCGAATCTTGCTTCTCTCTATCCTGTCTCGCTCTGTCGTGACTGAGTACTCGGTGCCTTCCGTAACTGTAGACATGGGTGTTCTTTCTAAAGAAGCCCGTCTTGATTTTGCCTCCCACAACCCGGCTTGTCTCAAGAAGTCCCTTTCATCGGCATCCACATCATCTTGGCCAGTCTCCGGCGTCCTCGACGAACTACCAATCTCGTCATCCTGAGAAGCATTGGCGCGAGGCGCTGGGGTTGAAGGTTGTGCTGCAGCCGTGGCAATACTTGAGATTGATCCACGTCTCAGACTCGTTGTCTCGGGTTTCGAACGCCGGGGCTCCTGAACGACAGATTGTGGGGGCGTTTGGGGGACGCTCGGTATGGCGGGAGGCTCGATGTCGTTGACGGCGGTACTGACAGTACTCGGAGTCTGAGATATTATGTTTTCTGAGGGTGTTTGGGGGCTATTCCCGTCGACGGTTTGGTGTTTGGGTTTCGATTCCAACCGAGTCAACAAGGGATGTGGGGCTGACGAAGCACTCTGTGAATCCGACTGCAAAGCAGAACGTAGTAAGGGGACTTCGTCGTCTGCAAGATCTTGGATGAGAATATCCCGGTGACATTTCTCGCGCCAAATTTCCATACGAGTCCACCTAAGCTGCGCAGACATGCGAGCTGCAGCCAGCAAGAGCTGTTCCCGTGTTCGTGGCTGGATCGGCGCCAGAAGCTGGAGATGCCTGGCATTCCTCAACTGCTCTTCCAACAGCTTCTGACTTCCTTCAACCTTCTTCTCGGCCTCGCATATCTTCTGGTGCATGCCATGACGTCTTGCTGCCTGTATATCTTCGGCCATTTTGCGGTCAATATAACCCCGTGCGATTGAAACCGTTCCAGTGGGGGTTTCTATTAGTTGTGTCGCGTCAGAGCTGTCTAGGCGACGCATACCTCGGCGGGCTTGGCCATCAAAGTTGGCTCCTACCACACCGCGCATCCGAATCCCGGACGTCCTGAATGCAGCAGCGTAGTTGAGCTTGGCCAGCCAGTCGTTGCGTTCTTCCTCACTGTCCGCCAAAAGCACCTCATCTAAGCCACCTTGACGGACATATAAGAAAGCGTTTTTATGTTTCTTGTATGTAGTGTCGACGAGCGCCACAGCGGCATGTGTGGACATCAACGCATCTGGTTTGAACTCTTCAAGCGGGGGCTTGAATATAATTGGTATACCATCATGCCCACTTTTGATATGGCCCTCATACTGATGAATGAGATTCTTCACCCAACTTGTATTTCGGAAGAAGTACAATTGGGCCCCAGTCAAGATAGCACCCCATTCCTGCCACGGCGAACGTGTCTTCCTTTTTTTGGCATCCTTGCGCCACAACAAGCCAACTTTTGTGACTTTGATATCCACTATTCCGGGATGAGCATCGTTGGGGTTTGTGGCAGTCTTTTCCGACATGAACGCGTCAGGCCGTGATCTGGGTGACACAATCTGGAGGACGCCGGTTTTGAAAAAGGTGTTTTGCAGATCCTTCAGGTTGAAGGAAGTTGCAGTCCCTAAATAATTATAATGATCATCCAAGTGCATAGCCTCCTTCAAATTTGGTCGCAGCGCATCTAGATTGCCGTCCAGAATGAGCGTGTAAGGGTCAATAGGCTCCTTCGCGGCGCGCTTTGAAGGGTCGCCGCCATTTGCAGAAAGAAGCAACTTCTTCTTGGACTTGTGGGTTTGCATGCGGTCATTTGTCGGATCCAGATCATCCTCGACGTGAATGAAAGGGGTGTACGAGATATTGTCGTAAAAGCATTCAAGAATTTCATCAAATATACCCTCCCCCCGGGTGTTCTTCAAATAATCTGACTTTTGCATCTTGTGCTTGTTATTCTTATTGAACACATCCGTGTGTAGTATGAGCAGTGAGAATGCTATAAAGTAAGCTTGGTCTGGAGATGAGTAGATGCCAGGATTGCATTCGTGATAGCGGTTAGCAAATGCCTGCAAGCATCGGTCAATTTGCTGAGTCTCCTTGGGTAGCTCGGCCTCCATCAGCAACTTTCTAATAGCCATATCCATCGGATCCCCGAAGAAACTGAAGCTCCGCATGTAACTTCTGAGTACGGCAGCAGAAAATGGGTCAGTCCCCTTTGACAAGGCCGATGCAATAATCCCTCGGCTCACCACACCTTCCAGACGAGCCAGGTATTTCGCAGGAGTTTCATTGCCCTGGCGTTCTGGCAGGACGAGCGAATCTCTGGGCAATTGCAACGAGTTGCTCTTGGACGTTATTGAGCCAGGGGTGCCTGGTGTCAAGGTTCCTTGTCGACTGAGTTCAGAATTTTGTCTGATCCGACCAAGCCCAAACAAGTCACCGAAGCTTTTGCGGCCAGTGGATGTAGATGTACGGGCAGTTGGAGGCAACAGATGATCATCGGTCGAGTCTCTGCCCGCCGAACTCATGGTAGACGACCGACCTCTGAGTAGATTTGTTCGTGTAGGCGATGACTGACCAGAGCGCTGCCCCCCTCCTCTGGCGAACAATGCTGAGGCAGCAACGCTCTGTGCCATTTGGTTTCCGTCTCCACCACCATTGGAGGCTTGAGGGGTGGTGGCACTGTGTGACGATGCTGGGCGAGGAGCGACATCTGTGCCAAGGGACGCTGACGAGAGATTCCCATCTTTGAGTAAATTCTTTTGCTGAAGGTGAGCTAGAGGGAACAAAGGTTCTGGAGGCTTCTTGGCTTTGCGAAGTTTGAAAAATGGCGTGCTAGAGGAAGGTTTCTTCGGGGTTGTGGCTGGACTTGAATAGGAGGCATGATCGCCAGAGCTGGCATCAGACCTCGAAGATTCCGACTGACGATTGTCTAATGCATGCAGTGAGATGCCATTGGATAATGCCGTCGATTGGGTCAATGGACGACGACGTGCTGGCTCACACGACTCCACTGTGGACGCATAATCTCGATCATCAGCAAAGTGGTTTCCCCTGCGCATGGTGGCCACGGAGACATGGTGATTGTTGCTTCTGGGAATGTCATTGGAACGGCGAAACTTTGCAGCCAAACTCATACGTGATGACACCTTTTTCGGGCCGACAATATCGTTCGTAGGCGCAGTTGTGATGATGGCGGGTGCTAAAGTCAGTTGTTAGAATCAATTGGCTTTGCGGGATCCGTAGTGGGCTAAGCGAGCACGTACGCCGTGGAATAGGAGGCGGTACTTCAGCCTGCTTCTTGGCTCTTAAAGACAGCTGTGAATCGGAGGCGTTTCGATATCGCAAGATGGAGAAGCGGTGGAATTTGTTTTGTCGTTGTTCAGACTCGGAAGTAGGTGGCACCGAAGTGTGCTCGGGTGGCTCGGACTGGCGAGTTTCTGGCTTAGACAATGAGTAAGGGTCGCCCGGAACTATGGACTGCGCTTCTGATGAGAGTGCAGCTTTGTCGGCGTCGTCGTCGTCGTCGTCATCGTCGGACGGCCGAGGCACGTTGAACATGGCATGGCGTCGAATATCCGTCTCACTAGCCATATTACCTCGTCGACGAAGAAAAGGCATCGCGACAGTCGATTCGCATGTTACTCTGCGACACTAGGTCGCTGAATATTTGGCTGGCCTTTGAGGGACTTAGCTATTGGCACTGTTGACATTGGGATAACCGCCAGAAAGAGTCTGGTTGGAACCGCATGGGCATCTTCTGTCGCAGCCTACCTTGTGGGGAGGAACCAACTCTCCTCAACCTAGAAATCTAGTTGGAGCCCATTTGCGTCAACTCGCCGCTGTTTCGGGAACGGCTGCTGAACTGAATTCGACCAGTCCACGGGCGTGATCTGGTGAAGCGGAAGGGTGATGAATGGGAGAAAGGTCGTCTGGGGAGAATGCTTGTCGACGCAATGCTCTCAAGATTGATTGATGATGGCTGTGGCTGGCGCAAATCCGGGCGTAGTGGCTTGCGTGCTTACTTTTACGCAGGCACCTGAATGCATGTGTCCTCGGGAGTCGGGACACTTGAAAACTGCTGCCCCAAACAACACATGGACTGAACGGCCCGACGTGAAATGGGTCGAGCGCTCCACCAAAATGTTCAGAGTAACTGCGTGTAGGTCTCTACTAGGTATTTGAGTAGGTAGCGCGTTACTGTCCACGGGAAGTACTACGCGAATGCCTATTTGGAGGCTCTATTCAGTACTTTATATCTACCTAGCTAAGTAGCCAGTAGGTACTTTTAGCTGGTTCCCCACGAATCAGGTTGCCCGAATTTACAACCGCCATTCACTTGTCCATCACGACACCTCCGGCTTTCGCCTGAGCGCCTGCCAATAAATTCTGCCGTTGTGCCACCCACATACGTTACGAAGCGAAGCGAAAGCAGGAACAAGAAGAAAATTATGAGAACAGAACTCGTCCGTCTCGTAGCCTCTGGGCTACTACTGGTCATTCAGCTCCCCGGCCTTGGTTTTGCAGCAGGCCTGCATCCTCACCACCCTTCCAACACCGACAATCACCACGCACGCCCGTTCTCATTCTTGACTAAACTTCGCGACAGCGCAGTCGAACTCCTTTTCGGCCGTCATCCCACCAGAAATGCCGACCAGCATATCGTCCCGTCCAGTGCGCGGGCCTGGTACACCAACGAGCTAGTCTTGCGCTTCAATGTCACCACATCCGAAGAGGAGATCGCCCTTGCTCATGCGGCGGCCCGACTCTTCCTAGATGTTTGGGCATTCACGGACGAGTTCGTCGACATTCGCATGCACCGCGATGAGGTCTCCCCTCTCCTCAGTCTTCTCCCGCCCTCGCTTCGAGTTGCTCAATCCACCATGATATCAGATCTCGCCTCCGCCGTTTATGATTCGATGCCATTCCTTCATCATGAAGCAGTAATTAGGACTGATGAAGCACTGTCAGCGTCGACATCGCCATTTCCGGAAGCGAGTGGCAACCTCTTTTTCCAAGATTACCAACCATTGCCCGTCATTGTTCGTTGGATGCGCCTGCTTGAGGCAATGTTCCCATCACATGTCGAGTACGTCTCCATAGGGGCGTCATTTGAAGAAAGAGAAATATCAGCTTTGCGAGTTGGGCTGCCCCCCAATGTCGACCCTACGAAGCCGCGAAAGACAATCGTTGTCACTGGTGGTCTTCACGCCAGAGAGTGGATCTCGACCAGCACCGTAAATTATGTGGCATGGTCTTTTATCACGTCATTTGGGAAGGAGCGCATGATCACAAAACTTCTTCAAGAATTTGACATGGTGTTTGTCCCTGTCCTCAATCCTGACGGTGTGGAGTACTCCTGGCAGGTGGACCGGCTGTGGCGTAAATCACGACAGCAAACAAATCTTCGGTACTGTCGTGGTCTTGACCTGGACCATGCCTTCGGGTATGAATGGGATGGCAGTCAGATGCAGGCCGACCCATGCTCTGAGGGCTATGGGGGTGAACAACCTTTCCAAGCTGTGGAAGCAATGCAGCTAGCAAGTTGGGCTCGGAACGAAACTCTTAATAACAACGTCAAGTTTGTGGGTCTCATAGACCTGCATTCCTATTCTCAACAGATTCTCTTCCCTTATGCCTTTTCCTGCCAGGCGATGCCTCCGAACCTTGAGAAACTGGAGGAGCTTGCGGCTGGGATTGCAAAAGCTATCCGCCTGGCAGACGGGGAGTCATATTCTGTCATGTCGGCTTGCGAAGGTGCTACAGCGAGACAAGACCAGTCCACATCACGCATTGAATCCGGAGGTGGCTCTGCAATTGATTGGTTTTACCACGAGCTGGGCGCCCATTTCAGCTACCAGATCAAACTCCGAGATACTGGCACCTACGGTTTCCTTCTGCCCAAGGAATATATCGTCCCCAGTGGAGAAGAAGTCTTCAGTGCCATGAAATACTATGGCGACTATCTTCTGGGAAATAATGGAATCGAACGGTTTTCAGAAGAGACGGCGAGTCCTGGCGATCAACCCGAGTCGGCTGCATACGACGATGTGCCACTCAGTCAGGAGCTCAAGCGGCGGCGACTCCGCCGCTGACTACCGGGCCAAGTTTCAACATGCACACTGAGAGGCCCCTGCTGCATCACAAAGTGCGAGATGCGTATAATTCTCTCTGCTGTATTTGTGGACATATTTCACTACTCGAACAATGGGGTCCGCCACCTTATTTCCTCGCCCTGTGGTGCTTGAGGGACAGTCTTGGGGCTCAGTTTCCGAGTACAAGCTTAGCAGATGTGTAAGCAGCCATGAACTTCAGAACAAATTCTAATGACATAGCACCCATTGCGCCACTACAGGTGGGATGAGAAAATCTTCAGAAACCAGCAGAAACCAGCGGGAGACGGAAGTTGTAGCGAGAGGGAAAATTTACACATACATTGTTCGACCCCGGGGGCCGGGCTGACTGATATATCCAAAGAGATACAAGATGCGAAACGTGGTCCAACTAGCACCTAGGGCAGCAGCAGCCAGAGGAAACCACAGGCCACGAATGAGAAGGGCGCCCAGAAGCGACGTGTGATTCTCGGCAAAATTTCCGTGAGCACGTTGGGCTATTATCTCGAGTCAGTCGCCTGGCATCAAGAAAATGACGAAGGTGACCGCCTGAGGCAAGATGTAACGCAATTGAAAGAATAAGCGTTGATGTCCTTTTCCACCTATTTCGCCGAGGCATTCGAGTTGGGGTACTTAACACCGCTGGCCTTGCGAAGCGAGGAGGTTCGCAGCACATGGACTGTGTCGAGGAAGAAAGTACTGGTAGCGGCACCAAGCACCAAGCTTTACAATATACCGCTGCCCGACAGGTATGCTGTTAGCATTACACTGTATATAATGCGCCTCGAAACACAACAAATTCAATCAACGCGTAAGGTGTTTCCGAACTGATTAGAGTCGCAAGCCGGACTGGCTCGACCCGAGGCAGCGGTCCAAGAGAAAGGGAGGCTCAAGACTAAGCTGTATTGATCCTGAATCTCGAGAAAGGAAGGCCATTTTATGTTTTTTTTTAGTGTCGTCTCGAGAATATCACTTCACAATCTGCTGACATCCGTTGACGGGTCTTGCACGTGATTGCTTACAACCAAGCATCCGCCAGCTCGCACAGAGGAGGGCAGGGCAAGGACGGTAGGTTGACACAATTTCCGCTTGTTCCAACATGCATGTACATCCCGTGAAGAAACTTGCGTTCATCCATTTCGTGCATCCATTCACCCTGTACACCTTTGCGTGGGGTCTCGCCAGGGCAACCCTAGCCCTTCAAAAACCCGCCGTTCAGCGGTTTCCATATCTGGTGCCGATTGTAGTAGTAGGTGTCTGTCATGATTCGGGTCCTCATCTGGCGAGATATAACGGCTTTCAAAATCCACCCACGCCCCGTCTGAGCGACGGCGGATCCCGCTGCTGTCAAATTTGAGCCCCTTTTCTTTCTTACAGTATCGTCGGAGATCCCTTTGGAATGTTGTGCCACCGCTCCATCCTAGCAACGCACATCCGACGGTCTTCCATGGACTGACGATGATGTCCACTCTTCGATGAGGTGCATTATTCCCTGATTTTTGCTTATTTTGCCAAACAACCATGGCTTTATCAAGTGTGTCGAATCCAGACCCGCGCCTGACGCCTTCCCCCTGCCAGGCAAGTGGGAGCTGACCTCGTTCGCTATTCTTGGTCCATAGGCTGAGTGTATGAGTAATGAGACTGGCTTTCTCAAGACTGACGACTAGGTCTTTAATCATGTCCACGGTTTTCGCTTCATCTCGGTGGCTTAAAATGATGTCAACGTCACCGCTTTCCTCCTTTCCTCGCCTGTAGCCCCCCACTATGGTCATCTGGAAGCCAGTCTCGATCTTGCGCGCATGATCAAGAACTAGGTGTGCAATTTCTTCAACTTCTTGCCGGGAGATCATTTGTTGAAACTCGGCATAGAACTTTACCCCTATTTGTTGGACCCGAGTGAGAGACGTCCAGCCGTATTCCACGAGATCGTCCAGGTCCTTCCATCCTTTTTTGGAGATCATAGTCAACATTCGATTTCTTTTTTTTTTTTTCCAAAAAAGATTCGCTTGTGGGCGTCGCTGAAATTGCAGAAACCTGGTCATGGTCTTACCTTTTTTATAGAATTCCCTAGCCGTAGTGTCTCCCACGCCCCATATGTCATAAAACAGCTTCAGGGTTGACATCTTTGCATCTGACGCTGCAGCAACCGCCTCTTTGGTTTCGCCCGCCCTCAACCATTCTTGATACAATTCAGCAGTCTTAGTGCTGCAGCCTGGCAACCGCTCAATTTCTGTTACGGAGCCATTTTGAATTAGTGTCTTTCCAACGGAGCTCAGGCACAATGTAGTCGGTTGCATTGCCTCTTGAAAACGCGACATTACTTGCCATGGGGACCCTTGATCACGTGTGGATATGCTGATAGCGCGGCAATCGATGTTGAGTATGCACGTGCCCCGATTTGATTGCCCTGAAGTATTCGGAAGGTCCGAATTTTCTTTAGCTCCAGGATGAACTCTTCGTTTGGAGGATGCAAAGGGGTTGGTCGTTGACACGAATATGTTGTATGAAGGAAGTCTGGGATCGCAGGAGGCTGGGTGTCATGTTCCGAGGTTGTCTGTCGTTCTAATGGCGGCGGCCGGTGTCTAACACGGCGTGGGCCATTGGCATCGAAATGCAAAGCCGACGATGTGATCCGATTTGCGGAATTCACTGCATGGTCCTCGGCGGCACGTTGAACAATTGCACCAGTAGAGACATTTTGTGTCTCACGTCGCTCTCCGCGGGAATCGACATCCGACGCGATTTTGAAGCCTTCACACAAGAGGTAATTGTCAACTGGAAGAAGCTTCCCTTGAGCAAGACAATCAGTCAGCCATGACAATCTGAGAACCTGAACCATATTCCCCTTCGCTATGCCAGGACCTAAATGCTCGACGTCTCCTAGTTTTCGACGTTTTGGGCCGGGATGCCCCTCCAAAGACTCCTTGACAACAGGAGCGATGGTGTGCGTAACTGAAGGAGGATCTTCGCCCAGCCATGGACGGATTTTCAATTTAAGCCGCCTTAATTCGAATTCAGCACGCTCTCGTTTCGATATTTTTCCAAGCACGAGCTCCGCTTCCTGAATGTTGTAGGTGAGAGACGGCACGACATCCTCAAAATAGTGAAGCTGCGACGGCTCGAGATGACTTGGTAGCAAGTAAATGCGTGGAAAGTCCAAGTTGCTGGCCATTTCAGAGCATGCCAGAGACGCTACTATGGTCTGTCCGTGACGCGCGCTCTCACTATGGCCCTGGTCACATGGCCTGTGGCGTGTATTGTTCTGTTCAAAGAATTTTTGGAAGCAAAACTCGTGGAAGTCATTTCTCCTGCAGCGGCAGCAGGAGTATGGCTGCGCTCAGACGTGGTTCTGGAGGGCATGGTGGCGATGGTTCCGTGGTGTTCTGGTCAACTCGTAGCGACGTCATTGCACGCTCGAAACAGGTCACGCTACATTTCACGCTGGACCCACTTCCTCAATGTCTTGCCATGCAGGCATACTGAGCAGTGAGTAAGTACCCTTTGCTCCGGGGACGAAAACATCATTTCGAGTTATCAGTCAGGAATGAGCGATGAGGGACACAAAACGAAATTTGCAAAGCATTGGAGTCAGGTTAATTCGTTATCGAAAAGACTGCCTTGCCAGTTGCCGCCCCTGGACAGCTATGAACCGAGCCTGAATATCTCCATCATCAAATATCTTCAAATTCCACATCCTCATCCTCGTCTCCAGTGTCATCATCGCCCCCAGGTCCCTCGGGCTCTTTTTTAATTTCTTGCTCGACCTTGACTTTCTTGTTAGCTCTGTCGTCTGCAGTCTCCCCATCTCGTGACATAATAGCAGAAACCTCACGCTTGACAGCCGCGGTGCTTGGCGTGCCTAGAGCGGATGTATTCCCAGTTGCAGGAACGTCCTCGAATTCATCTTCGTCTCCGTCATCCGCATCGGAGTCAAATTCTTCCTCGTTCCCGCCATGTACGACTCCTTTAGCCATTTCTGCAGCCTGCTCGGCCTTGAGCTTCTCGAATATATCATCAATTCTCGCAGAAGTGTTTGTGTCCATATTCTTGTCTGTTGACGCAGAATTGCCTTCATCATCCTGTTTGAGCAAAATCGAACCGTCGGTAATTGTGGCGGAGAAGGATTCGCCAGTTACAGTACTGTTCGACATCCACGAGGGTAGCGCATTTTGTTTAGCGATCTTTTCCTTCCGGGACTTTTCGGCGTCCTTCTCTGCAGCGGATGGGCCATCTGACGTTGAGATATTGACTGCGATAGATTGAGGGCCGGTATTGGTGAGCCCTTTGACGGCCATAGGGCGATTCGTGCCACTCTCGACCGCAATGGTGGCTGCTCGTTGATGTGTAGCATCGCGAATGACAGGGCGGGCTTTCGCCAAAGCTCGGTCAAAGTCACATTCGGGAATGTGAACTGCATCAATCTTCGGTAGAAGCTCACTTATGAATTTGAATTGATCGTTCAGTCTGGTGGACTGCTCATGCCCGGTGGAAGTTCGGTCTGCCTCAAAGGTGAGAGTGTGGTGGCATCGATGACATAAGAAGCCGTTCGGTCCGACACTGTCAAGAACTTCCATAGCAGTCCACTCAGCCTTGCAAAAGCCGCAAAAGTATTCCTTCTTCTCGTTCGCCGGCACTGGCGCCCCTTGAACCTCTTTGTCGATCGTGTACACTCGCCACTTGATGGCATCAATCGTATGTCGATAGTTGATGTAATACCACGTGCGGTTACTGGGGCGAGGGTTGCCGTCGCGTAGCTCGGATCTGGTGTGTCTGGTTCGGTCAATCAAAGAAGCAGAGTAAGTAGCAGAAGGTGACTCTAGTCCTGGGCTGACAGGGAATATTAAAGACGCACACGGTTAAGAAGCGATCTTCTCGCAATTTGCCGCAGATTTTATGCAGGTCTTTCGTGTTTATAGCCATTAGATAGGCCAGGTCGTCATCGCGGAGGCTACGAAGTTATTCGATAGTCATCGTTAGCACCAGCATTTCCCGCAGGAGGTTCGTGTCAAGGTCATACGCTTCGTGGATAATCAAGGCATCCATGACCAATATGTCGCGTGTCGGGTAGAAAGCTCTCAACACAGACTTAATGAGAGTAACTGCCAAATCCATTTTGAGCATTCGTTTTCACTGGTGTCAATATTGGTGGTTCTGAAGTTGCTGGCCAGCGTCTTTCCGGTGTCCTCCGTGGAAGATTTCGCTACTGCCCCATCACCACTCGAATGCAAACACACGTTCAAGCAGCTGGACAAGGTACGTTGGAAGAGGCAGATGCCCCCCCCCGCCTCCCTTCCAAGTTGGACGGCGCGGAATATGTATCTAGGATGCTGACGCGAAGACCGGCATCTCTGGCTCTCCCTATTGCAGCATGTCGAGCGCAAGATCTGGGGCGCGGCGCAGATGAACAGCCTTGGTGGTTGTGAAGATTCTAATGTATGGAACGACCCGTGGATGGACTGGGTTGACCAGATTACCCAGTGTGTATAACGTCGGTACGTTCGCGTCGCAGAGAATGTGAAGGAGGTTGCTTAACATTTTGCTCCGAGTTCAATCAATGTTACTAATGTTACTAATTTAGTACCGATTATAGTTAGTTGGCATCCTCACTGCGGCTCCACTGCCAGCAGCGTGTGGGCGTCCTACCGTGGAAGCTAGCGCCCAGTCCAGTTGCCCCGTTCAATGTTGGCCGTGGTCCCTGCACAGCATTCAGGCGTGGCGGGGGGTTCCACACTTCAAAATAGCATAGTTATAATCCGTGGGTGACGAACCAAGGCGCTATGAGTAGCCCATTTGATATTTGGTCCAAGTCATGGAAAGCCACATGAGCATCACGAGGCGCAAATACCTTTGCAAGTAAATGGTCACAACTGTATAAATTTGCATCTCCCTCTACATATACAACATTCCCACCGACTGAGACCCAAGTCGCATCATCAGTTTGATTCATCTTGTCCATCATCAAGCTCGTAACAAATGATCCGAATTTCCTAGGGTGGCAAGAAATTCCCAGGCTATAAACCCAAGGAACAAGCCAGCAAGCCATGGATTCCATTGGGCTTTATAACCGACCACCATCACGCATTATCACGAAAGACAGCCACACTCCAACCGTCGAGATTATCAGGCATACTTTCTCAGCTGGGAACAGCGTGTTAGTACATACAAAGCAGCATTAAGAGATTATATACTCACATCCAAGGTCAAAGTTCTGGAACTATTGACCTCCTGGTCTCGGTATACGCCGACGAGACTTTCTGAATCTTGGAAAAGTCCCGTCTTCAGGCTGATAACGATAAACTGCATTCCAGGCCCGGCGTGCTCGCGGATATATTTCTTGATCTTGTCGACATTTGCATTGTCAAGGGCAGCATCTACTTCATCCAATACGAAGAAAGGGCTGGGCTGGTAGCTGTGAATGGCGAACAATAACGCTAGTGCAGCCATGGTTTTCTCTCCACCGGATAAGTGTTCCATATCTCTAAAGCGCTTCAGTGGCGGCATAGCATGATACTTGATCCCGGAGAGGTAGGGCATGTCCGTGTCCTCTTCAATGTCGAGATACGCCTGGCCACCCAATGGATACGCCTCAGATCGTGTCAGATCCTTGTATACGTGAGATATTTGTTCCTGGATGTGGGTGAAAGCTTTGTTGAAAAGGTCATATCGTTTTTGTTTGATCTTAGCAAAGGCGTCTTTGGCGGCTTGTGCGGCTGCCTTAGAGTCTTCGTACTCCTGGTCTGTCTGTTTTAACCTCGACTCAACACTTTCAAGCCGTTCCATAGCTCGCATATTCGGGTTCAATTTTTCGAGTTCCGATGCAAGAAGGGAAATTCTTTCCGTCAACTTTTCCTCGACTCCTGGATCATCGGACTGTGCAAGTCAGTATTACAGTCTTTGCGGCAAGCACTAGGCTGAAAATGATTCAGGGTGTTACCTCTTTCAGATCATTATCCAAGCCCTCGAAATTGATGGCGATGCCATGGTCGTCGAGCGCAATGTCCATCATGTCCTCCTCATCTTCATCGATATCCATTGCGTCGGGATCCTGGCGCAGCAGATCATCCTCGTTCGGAAGATTGTCCAAGGTGCCTTCGACCAGCGGGATCTGGATTTGTTCAAGCCGACATCTCCGCAGTAGAGCAGACTTGCTGGCACTATTCTTTTGTACTGTTGTTTCTAAAGTACTGATGTCACGCTGCCGTGCCTCAATATCTTTACTCCTTTTCTGCAGCTCGGTCCTTGCCTCGCTCACTTTTTGGTTCTTGTCTGCGAGATCAGCCTTTTGCTGTTCTAGAGTATCTTGCAACACGTTAAGCTCATCTTGATCTTGACGAATAGCTTCTTCAATGTCGGCCTTCTCCTTTGAATATGTCTTGATATCTTGCTTCAAACGTCGCATGTGCTCCTGCATTCGTCGAATCCGCGTTTCCGTGTCTCCATGCCTGCTAAGTTCCCATTTAAGACGGTTCTCCAACCGCTGCTTCTGTACCTCAAACTGGTTCCTTCTTTCTGATACCTCTTGTTCGAATTTCCCTTGAGATGCGTCGTATGCTCTGATATCGCTGTAGCCTAGCTTCCGGCAGAAATTGGCGAAAACATCATCTTCTACACGGGCAATCGCCGCCCTGAACTCGCTGACAGTGACATTGCCACTTTCCAACTGCGACACTTGTTCTTTGTATTTCGGTTCCAGGTCTCTCAATTCCTTTTTAAAACCGTCTAGCTCTCGCTTTTTGCTCGTCCAGTTTTTACCGAAAGCCGCAAGTTCGTCTTTGATTGAGACCAAACGCCGTTCTAATCCTGCAAGGTCGATTTGAAGGGACTCCTCTTGCGTTCCGCGTCGATCAGACTTGGGGAGCCGGTCTATTTCGTCTTTCAGTTTCGTTGCCATACGCTGAAGATTTTGCACGTCGACCTCCTCAAATTTCCGCTTGCCACCCTTGGGCTCGGGGCCACGGCCGCCAGTCATCAATCCCGCCTTATGAATAATATACCCCTCAAGAGTGACTGCCTTAACTGGTATCTTCTTGTCGTAGCATATGTGCTTTGCAATGCTTAAGGAGTCACAGACCACGGAGCTGCCGCAAGCATATGACACCGCTCTCTCAACCGATGCGTCGAAATTGATGGTGTCGATCGTTAGCCTCGCGCCAGAGAGCCCCTTGATGGCTGTATTTACGGCGTTGACTTTGATGTTGTCCAGAGGGATGAAGGTCATGGGCGGAAACCTCTGCTCTTTCAAGTACTGAACACAGTCTACGCCAACCTTCTCGGTATCTACCACAACTGAGTCGAAATCTTTCCCAAGTGCGACAATCACAGCCTCGTCGTACTTCTTCTGCTTCGGCGTGCACAGATCTCCGATGCGGCCTCTCACACCGGGGAACATGCGCTTTAATGATGTGACCATCTCCTTCATTCGAATTTCGCGGTCATTCTGACGACGCCCGTCATCGGCTTCACGCAGCTTTCGGGCAACGTCTTCGAGCTTCTCCTCAAGTTCCGTCCTTTTCTGGTTCGTTCGCACCCGTTCAGATTGCAATTGATTGAATTCCTTCTTCTTCCTTGCGATTTCCTCGGAAATTTCCTTGGATGCCGACTCGGTAGAGCTTCTGCGCTCGCCGATAGTTTGCAGCTCCGCTTCTGCTTTTTCTATAGCTGCTGTGATGCTGTCGAGCTTTCCCCGGAGATTGTTAACTGTAACCTCGTCTGCTTTGCGTTGTCGGTCCAAGTTCTCCAACCTTGCTTGATTTGTCCCCGATCGAGCCATGACCTCTGCACGAAGGAGATTATATTCCTTTCGATCTGCGTCACTGATATCTCGCCCTTGCTTCTTCATCTGATCCCTGGTGTCTTTCTCGAACACGGACTGTGCTTTCTCAACGTTTTCAATATCTTTTTGGACCTTTTCAACAATGGCAGCTTGTTCATCTCGCTCCTTTGTCACCCTTTGGCATTGAGCATGGAGCTTGTCGACTTGTTGTGAGGATTCATAAATTTTCTCATCAAAAGGCAGTAGAGCGTTCTCTTTGTCTTCAATGTTCCTTTCCCTCAGCTTGATCTCCTTCTCCGTTCGAGCCACTAATCGACCAGCAGTATTCTGGCTTCTCCTAGCATCATCCAACTGCACTTCGAAAGCTTCCACATTCCGTTTGAGTTCCTTCAGGTCTTCTTGATGGTCTTGAATAGTAGCACTGGACTCATCCATGGCTTTCTGGAAATGATAGAGCTTCCACAGACAATGTGATACGATGGCAGCATCTCGTTCTTCAGTTTTCTTCTGAAAACTGTCTGCTTCCTTTTTCTGTTCGCGATACTGCTTGATTTCGGAATTTATCCCGCGACGGCGATGTAGCTGGAAGTTCTGATTCTCAGCAGCTTCTTCGGCATCGGCCAGGAGTTTCTCGTACTCAGTCTTGTATTCCAGACTGCCCGATATTTGCTCGATGAGACGAGTAAGATCCTGTGGGGACTGAGAAGCTATAGCTTCAACATCGCCTTGAAATACAAGGAAGTTGCGAGCTTTCATGAGGATGTTCTCCGTTTCCAGTGCTTCATTGTATTGCTGTGCCGTAACGACCCTGTCATTGATGCGATACTCGCTGGCTCCAGAACTGGTTATGGAGCGCTTCCACCGTTGCTCATCGCCAGCATCGTCTTCATACACCGCCATGACCCAGGCAGTTTTAGGATCGCCACGCGAAGCCTTGTCGTCGCCTGTCGCTATCGCGGTGTTGATATTGTTCTGCGTCTCTGCAGAGCCATCGTCGTTAATTTTGGAGGTTTTCAGGACGCGACCACGATAAACGAGGTCTTTCAAGTGTGCTGAACGTAAGTGCGAAGACTTAATGCCGAGGACGAAGGAAATCGCATCCATTCTGAAACACGTTAGCACACATTGATCAAATTTTTCCCATTGCGCCGAAATGTGGTGTCGCCGACTTACGAATTGGATTTCCCTGATCCATTTGGCCCGATGATGGAGGTGAAGTAGGAATCTCCAAAAAGGAGCGTATGATGGCCTTTGTAGGACTTGAAGTCTACGAATACAAATCGTCAGTAGCTATAATCAATAGAGAGCGATGCTAACGGCGGTATAGCCCCTACTAAATAGTTCCAGGCGTATAAGCTTGCCCATGTTTGTTGATTTGCGCGCTGCGAAATATTTCGAGGCGAGTGAGAATATGATTCGGGGCGCCCAACGAGGCCTTCGTTTGCCTGACAAGCAGAGCCAACCCCGGATTGAGGAGGCAATTCAAGGAAAAGGTCGTGATAGACCGCCGGCAGCCTGTAGGCTCTAAACAACAGCGTTTGATCCACGCGTGCTGCTCTTGAAACTTGATGCCACGATTCTTTGCAGCTAGACAGTGGCAGACGAGTCGAGGAGGCGGGCAGATGCGCGTGGGGAATCTGTCGCAATGGCAAACGCGTCGCGGGAGTTTAACTGCCTTTGACCCCCGCCGCCTACGTCCTAAGTTCTTACCTACTAAGTACCTAGGTACTTACATTAAGAAGTACATTCAATAGTGACTATGGAGAACTTGAAGCCCACTGTAGATAGTGGTACTACTGCTTAGCGCGTTGCGCCGCCTGCACCAATCACTGACCCGCTGTCCATGGCTCGCGAACGGGGGCTTCCAGCTCGCAAGTATCGATTCAAATATATGTTCCAGGTAAAATCCTGTGTATAGGCAGCTGGGCTAGTCATTTCCAGGTTTAATATTTCAGAAATATCTAAAATTGTTGAGGGCCGAGTTTCTGATTGAAGGGAGTGAGTTCAATTGTAGACGTAGTGATAAGCCCAGGTGCAGTGAAAGGATTGAAGCCAGGCAACCACAAGTCGACAGTCCACTGGCACTACTACTGCCGCTACAGGCTACCACTTGATTAAGTTCTTAAGTACTTAGGTACTTACCTAGGTAATGACCCCACGCCGCTGTCGACGTGACCAGTCAACTTAGGTACGTGTCTTTTCTGGTACTAGTACTCCGTAGTACTAAAGTAAGTACTCCGTACGGAGTACCTTGATAGAATAACAGCAGAGTGCCGCCCCACAAGACAGACACGCCCATTGCACCACACGCATGTATGTGCGTCACCCGTGACACGATCCGACTCTAGGCAAGTACTTAAGTACACTTAGTGGGTGGGTACTTAGAGGTAACGCGCAGGAGGTCCCAGCCAAGTCGACGCGATAATTGTGCATCTATTTGGACCGGGCACTGACCGCTTCGTGCGGTGACGCCATGTCCTCATTTCTTCTCATCGGGATACGATAACGGACTGCTACGTACTGACTCCTTTTGGTGATGACAGGTATGTGTTGTTTCTTCTCAGTCACTCGGAGGCTATGCCTCGGGTTATCCGAGCCTCCCTCTCAAATGCTGGCTCAAAACCCCAGTTGGCTTCGACGACATTGCTGAGTGAATGATTGCTGACATGATTGTCTTGACTCCTAGATCTCTTGGAAATGGACGATGAACCCTTCCCCGCCCAGCCTTCGAGCAATGACACACACAATGACGCTTTCGCTACCCTCAGCTCTTCCCTCCCCGACACCATAATCCCAGAGTCCCCAAGCTTGGATGCGACTACATCAGTCAGCCCTCGTCTATCGAGGAATCCATCTTTCTCTGGCAGTAGCTCCCAGCATGACGACTGGGATCCCTTTCCACCGCTAGACCGATTGACTGTGCTTGATCTCCTTGACAATCTCGCTCTACCTCAACAACTGGAAAAGCTTCAGAAGGGAATATCAGCACAGACTGACAAGGTCCGCCGATCCAGAGATGCATTCAAATCCAGAACTCAGCTCGCTCGTGATCGGATGGTGGAGGAGTGGCGTCGGCGCGTCCCCTCAGCCGATGAACAGTTTGATCGATACCGGAAAAGGATGCGACAGCGTGTCGAAAAACTGGGCAGACAATGGAATGATACAAAGGCAATTACTTTGCGCGAAAAGATATCCTTCATATGCGGTGTTATGAATATCTTCATTAGTGGATACCTCATTGGCGGGTATCCTCATTACTTCCACCTCTGGTACACAGCCCAGCTGTTCTATTTCATGCCAATCCGATTCTTCACGTACCACCGCCGCGGATACCACTATTTCCTCGCCGATCTTTGCTACTTCGTCAACATGCTACTTTCTCTTAGTATTTGGGTTTTTCCCAACTCCAAGCGGCTCCTTACCGCAACTTATTGTCTGGCCTTTGGTAATAACGCTGTGGCAATCATCATGTGGCGTAACTCTCTCGTATTCCACAGCTTTGACAAGGTTACATCTCTTTTCATTCATATAATGCCGTGTGCTACACTTCACTGTCTTGTTCATTTATATTCTCCCGAGGACCAAAGATTGAGATTTCCTGCTATCTGGACTATCAAAAACTCAGCTCCTGGTTCTTCCGCCGCCTACGCCAATGTTATTTCAATGCTCGCGTGGAGTACGATTCCGTACGCCTTTTGGCAGTTGAGTTACTATTTCTTCATTACTGTTCGTCGCAGAGACAAAATAGCGGCAGGCCGGCCCACGTCCTTTACGTGGCTTCGACGGTCTTATTCCAAAACCTGGATTGGAAAATTCGTTCTTTCCCTACCACGACCTCTTCAAGAACCGGCTTTCATGATGATACAGTATAGCTACGCGGCACTGACAATGCTGCCTTGCCCTCTCTGGTTCAATAGTCGACTCGCCTCCTCCGCATTTCTTCTTGTTGTTTTTGCGTGGAGCATTTATAATGGTTCGACATATTATATCGACGTCTTTGGCAAACGCTTTCAGAAAGAATTGGAGGCAATGAAGGCCGAGGTGTTGAAGTGGCAGAACACCCCAGAGCTTATGTTGCAATCACCGTTGTTGACACCTCATACCGATATTGTTCCAGCATCGGCGGTGGGACAGCAATCACAGTCGTTAGACCAGGGGCCAGGTACTGTTAGGCCCGATGCCCATGGTGGTGGACGATCCCCGGACGGAACTACGAGACTCACCAGTTTGGACAAGATTCCCTTGCTTGATGAGAACATTGGCGCGGTAACTACCGGCGCAGACGGCGGAGCAATGGACGTTGCTCGTGAGAGAAAGCTACAATAATGACATGATGTTTGCGAATGGCTCGGAATGCCTGACGGGTTTCGAAGGGTTTTGCTTGCGAGGATGTCATTGCCCAAATTTTAGCTACACACAATGCATAAGGCCGTGTTGATTGCCTAGCAGTGTCTACTGATCTTCTGCAAAGCGAACATGAACCTTTTTGGGGGCTGTTCTGGTAATGGATAGCTGAGCCTACTTCAAAGTCGTTTAATACCATGCCACCCTTGATCAGTAAGTGCCGTGTGTAAGCGCCTGAGTTATGAAACTGCGACGCCAGGACTTGACGTATGTGAATGTCTACAGGGCTAGGCATGGTCTGAGGAGTCGGGTAGGTTTTGGTGAGCTGGCCAATAATCACTTGACAATTACTATACGATCTCCAGTCACGTCGCTTGGTTTGCTTATGAGCATTCATAAAGAGGATAGAATGCCGGTACAAGGCGTCAATGCTCGTAATCTACGCTATGGCAGGTTTTAAGGTCATGAAAAAAGCGCTGTTAAGTAAATTTCATGCTCGCTTCACTAAAACCACCGTGCTACCGTCCACTGGTCAGATGACCAACAATCTCCTCCATGACAGCATGTCACGGAGCCGATCAATCCAGCCCAACAACGTAATGAGCATCCATGGAACAGGATCTTTACGCGTTACATTACATAATTGTGCCAGCTTTATAAAGTGGATTGCCTCTGACCAAAAATGTTGTGGTTCATGCGCCATATGCCGATGCCACAATCGCCTGTTGCCCAACCAACATTGTGTGGACAACATGCTTTTAAGAAGCCTGCCCGTACTCTAAAAGGAGGTCTCATGAAATGATGATGGCTGTTATCGCCAGAGAAACGAAGCCGGTCGCAGCGTCGTCGACATTGAAAGTTTCATTTCATCTGATGATGCCCCAGTCTGTGAGCTTGCCACCACCTGTTTCTCCCTCTTCTCTCGCTCCGGGACGACGACCAAAGACGGACCAAAACCTCAATGTCTCGTCACCAGCGCCGGTAACTATAACACGACCATCTGGGCTCATTGCCAGATATAGGACACGATATGTATGACCAGTAAGGCTGGCAACTTGTGTCATTGATGGGTATTTCCAGACCACAATCTGATTTTGGCTGTATCCGTGTGTAGATACGATCTCATTGGAATTCTTTGACCAGGCAATGTTGCAAACTTGGCTGCCAGTGTCGATTTCATTGACGACGGTTCCTTTCACTGTATCGTGGAAAATAATTCTCCTGTCTGCAGTACCTCCGCCCGAAGCAAGAAGCCCACGCTGATGGGGGGACCAGGAGATAGCTTTGACAGCTGCGGTGTGATCCGAGAACTTCCACAAGGGCGACTCCGATAGTTTGTCCCACACCATCAGTTTGTTATCGTTGCCTCCGCTCGCAAGCTGACCATCCTCACAGTTCCATTTCAGCCCACAAACTTCTTGTTTATGGCCCACTAGTTTCCTTAGCCACTGGTCGGGAGCTCGGACGTCTCTGTGGTATATTAACCTGTCGCGAGATCCCGAAGTAAGGATATGAGTGTTCCAGGCCAAAGACCCTACCCGGGCAGTATGACCGGTCATTGTTCTCAGTCTCCTCGTCTTTTCAGCATCCCAGATCTGCACTAGACCTTTACCTGTGCCAATGGCGAGATGTGTACCTTTTTGTATCCAGGAGACACTCGTAACAGTATCATCTTCCAAGGTGCACAACTTGTTCACCTTGCTTGTTTGAGCGTTCCACATATACACACTTGACCCGAGACCGACTCCCAGGACGTTAGCACTGCCCCAATCCACCAGATTCAGATAAAAGTCATCGGCCAATTCAGGAGCATCGAGTACCTTGTATGGCACCTTGCTCACAGCTCGAGGCTGCCGGCGGGGACTGAGAAGCATCTGCTGGCTTCCAAACCGAACTGGTGATAGACTATATATTTCCGCTCTGGTATCTAGGTTCGGACCATGCCGGCTTTGAGGTGTTTTAGAAGGGGTCGGGTGTCCTGCAGCATGGCCATGATGCCGCGGAGACATGTACGAGAAAAGATTCTTGTGGGGTGTTGACGGCGTCAGTGATGAGGGGAGAGATGTGGCGAGGCTGTTGCTTGGAGGGGTGTGGGCTCTTGTTCCGTCAATGGGTTGTGCTACGGACGAAGTCCTCGTTATGTTTTCGGGTGAATGGACGGGTGGAGCTGTCTGAGGCACTGAATTCGCGAAGAGCTCGGCACGAAGGAGTGTTGAGAAAGTGCGGTTTGCTTCCTCGGCTGTCAAACTCGAATCATCAGCACAAGTTCAACAATGTATTCACGCGACGTAAATACGGCTAGGAAAGGGCGTACTCTTTTGAAAATGAAGTTCCCCGTGGGGGGTTCGCTTTTTCTGTTTCGACGGAGTAGCTGGAGAACCATCTTCATGCAAAAGGCTGAAGCTAGCTTGCAGGTCTTGTCCAGAACGAGTCGGAATGAACCTGTTTGGTGTTAGAGAGCGGTATACGCCTGGCAAGCTAAACTAATGAGCTCACCGGTCTCCGTTTATTCTCTGTCTTTTTCTATGCGGGCTACTTCCCGGTGTGCTTTCTCGGCGCGGGCGCTGAAGCTCTCGCAGCAAAGCACTCTCCATAGCATTGGCATCGAGTTCAGTCGGTCGTGACAGCTCGCCGGCGGCCGTTTTGTTGCGCACTTTTCTACCGCTGCCGCTCTCGGGGTAACTTCTTGCCTCGGGTCTGCTCGATTCGAAAGGCAGTAGTGGCGGCGGCAGTGGTGAAGCAATACGACCAGAACCCGATATTGACTCCATTTTTAGCTCGTCGCCCTGAGTATTGTGCAGGGTGGCAGCCAAGGAAGACGAAGCATCCGCCTGCATTTTCATTGTAGCTCGCGTGAGTTCGGGGCTTCGAAAGGTACGTTTTCAAGGCCTGCAATGCCGATTGGGCCCGTTGAGGTTCTGCGAGAGATGGCTGACAACGGTTGTTAAAAGAGATCCAATACTCTGCCAGCCTGCCAGCAATGTCTTGGGTGCGTGGCGGATGCTCAGAGGGGCGCGTGGCCCTAACCGCCAGGATTTGATGCTCTATATCAACTTAGATTCTGCAGATTTAGAGTCTCTGTTTATTGGGGCGACGAGTCGAGCAGAGATGGGATCGAACGTCTTGGTGAGTAGCGATATTGTTTGCAGCAAATGGCTAGATTGAATTGTAGCTCAGGGTAGATCGGTACATTGGTGCGGTGAAATGATTGATAAAAACTAGTTTGTGCGCCTTTTGCATGTCAGTGAGTAACTTCACAGACTGGAGGGGAGAGTGTACTTTGTAGCTTGCTCAAGCGATAACTAAGTGTCTGGTGGGCGGATGGCAAATGGCTGTTTGAGGGAGGTTGATGTCTGGAGGCTTGGGAGGAAGCGGTGGTGGGCGGCGACGGCGCGCTAAGCGTTGCCAGCCACGCTAGCCTGAATTTGGAAGGGTAAACGGCCGGGGAGGTCCCGCATTGGCATCCGGCCACCCTCTTCTTCCCTTGCTGTCCCGCCCCAACCTGTGGTAAGAACGTGAAGCCAATGTTGTTGTTATTATTGAAGTCAACCCGTCTTTGCACCCTGGTCTACTGGACCTCAAACTATGTATTCTTTTTTTGCGGAGTTCGAGATGAGAAACAAGTATATGCAACTGACTCGATCCGCCGACTTTGCCGAATTGTTTAAGGACCCAACATCGACAGTGAAAACATGCTCTGGATACTTTCGCGGTTAAACACAAAAAAAAAGGGGGGGGAGCGAGTTTTTCTGGTACTGTCAGTACGAATGCGAGCGCGTAACGAGTTGATACTCTGTGCTAACCCCCACGCCTACTCGCCAATGGACATGTAAAGCCTCGTTTGATTCACGATGTTGTGCCGAAGCACTTCGAACCGCTAATTCTTTGCACCCGGCAAGCACCAGTTGACAATTGAAACACAATGCGAGGGGTGATGGACAAAAGGATTGCATATCAGCCAAGTATAACGCGTTAGGCTTATAATTTGTTTATTTACTTCATGGCCCTTCCTAGAGGTGCCAACGTGATGCAGACCGACCGTCATGGCGAACGCGCGCACGCTGGCAGATACCACGTTGGTCCTTCACTGTTTCTATTGGGTGCAGGCGCCAGACTGTAGGGGACCGTGACCAGGTGCATGCGAGGGTGTAGGTATTGTGGTGGTCGGCTGCTGGAAAGAAAGAAGGTCTCGTTACGGCTTGACCAGAGAAAGTGGTCCCAATGTCGGCCGGTTCGACTCAAGGATCGATCATCTTTCACTCCCATTACGTTGGCCCTCCACGGAACGCGTTGCTGGCGTCGAGGCGCGCGACGCGCCATCGTCGCGTTCAAGGCGCGAAACACTATTCGCGGAGCTCAGCGCCACTCCTCAAGTCATCTGATTCCGTACTAGTATTACATGTATCACTGGTCGCAAAAGGGGTGCGTTTGGTTCCCCAGTTTACAGTGTCTCTTTGCAGCCGTGTCTTGCATCTTGGTGTTCTTATAAGACACACGTCCTGGTTTGTATCAGTGACCTTGTAGTACACCTACCTGGGTACATACTTACTTAATCAGGTACGTATACCACTGAAGCTGCCCCTGGTACCGCCAGCGTTTCACAAGGCGCATCGCATGTAAACAATATGCGACACGCACAAACGCACACAATGGTGCGCGGTGAATATTTCTTTGCTGATCCTAGACGGCACTTAATCCGGACCTCTCTACGTTACCATGGTTGACTTGGTGAATGCTTTGGAGTTCAACAATGTAATGTGCAACTTGGATCAGGTATTATATTCGTTTATATATCTAATGGACTCTGTAGAGAAGAAAAGAAAGAGGCTAGAATAAAAGGGAGAAAGAAAGAGCAGATGAGCTTGGAAACTTTCATAAAAATAAGACACTCAACTGGTGGTTTGTAGCACATCTCCTCTAACAGTGAGAATATAAGAATGCGGTATTTTCTCCTTGGGTATTAGTTGGGGAGGGTATAAGCACAAGCGAAATCAAAATGCCGTCTCTTGGCGGGCAGGTGATGGTGATGTTCAAGTCATTGCTTCTTCACCTGAGCCCTTTAAATTATGGATATGAAAGGACATTCCGCTTCCGACCGTAGGCATTCTCGACCGTTCGATGCCTCCATCATCGTTTGATATTCGTCGGAGTGTAACCCTTCGATTTTCCGAGCCATACAACGGGACTGCTTCTGGCCAAGAGGGGTATAAATCGCCCCTCGAGACCCCTTGCAACATTTCCCTCTTCATCGTCATCATGAGTATTTACGGCAACACTCGCTGTCTCATCCCCAAGCTTGAAAACTTTAGATGGACTCGGTCTGTGCAAGGAGCCGTTGTCGCCAGCCATTGCAGACATCTTCAAAGCCCCCAATCACCTCCCCGCAGACGTTTGCACATTCTCTGTTCTCAAGACGCTGGCTCCAGTTACCGCGAGTTAACCAGCGCTCACCCTCTTCCCGTAGCTCCTCTTCACGCCGCATCTCGGATACGAGATCCTTTGCGCTCTTCAATCTTCTAGTGGCCGTGACGGTTGTTTGTCGGGACATGTGAAGCGTGTCGGAAAGATAGTTCAAAGTTTGGATTAATTCCGATGTGATAGAGTGAAGGGCCGCCAAGGAATTGAAAGCTGTTGTCGACGGCCTCGGCATGTCTTCCGATAGCGAGATAAGGAGAGGCACCAGGTTATCAATAGTTTCACTATCTGGCGCAGGTGCCAGTGGAGAGAGTAGTGGAAATGTCAAGCCGTGCAGCTGACGAGTTTGGTGGGCAAGGTGTGTAGTGAGAGCTGTATGCGCCGTTATTAACCTGTGAACTTGTCAGATTTTTAAGGTCAATACGCCAGTCTGCAGCCAAAATCTCACCTGGACGCACTTCCTTCAATGGTTGACTGCGGGCCAAGGTCTCGAAGACCGTCTGTCACTCGTTGGAACACTTCGTCGCCGGGGCCACCATACTTTTCTGTCCCCCTTCGAGTCAGAGACTCGATGGCATCGATTTTGGCGATTAACGTTGGTGGTATGCCTGCCGCGTCTAGGTCTGATTCCGAGCCATACTCGCTGCCGTCATACTCCGAGGTCTTCCTCTGATGCCCTCTGCTGTGTGGCAAAAGTAGTCCCGTGTCTTTTCCATTTTCACTAGCAATATCTTGAGTCGGTGTAGAACTAAAGCCAGCTCTGTCATCTCTTGTGCAGTCGACCGTTGTTCCCTTCGTTTCGATGTTTCCTGAGAATGAGGCAGTTTTTTGGTCTTCGTAATCCACATCCTCCTCGTCATTTGAGTCGGAGAACGCATCGGCAAGCTCGTCTGCTAGATTCCCCAAGCCAGGCGCTGGACGTGCGCTAGCTAGGACGCTGAGGTCCATGCTATCCTGATGGGCAAGGTCATTCGAAAACGGGGTCGCGGGATCATTGGTAGAAGATCTGGATTGCCTCCTTGTGTGGGAATAATCATGAATGCTATCGGCGGCTGACGAGTTTCTTGAGTGTTGTGGTGCGGTCGGTGAAGGAGTCATTGTGCCTCGAGGCAAACGCTGCTTGGAAAGCTCGCTAGTCGGGCTACCAACTCGCGATTTATCGTTATGCTCCGACACCTAAATATTGCACTCGGCGATGGGAGAGAGTGCGAGGCTGCCGGTTCGAAAAGAGTGGTGCCGCCAGCGCGCTGCGTCCCAACTCAGAACTAGTAAGTACTTACTAAGTAGGTAAGTTGATATAACCCGCATTCCTCTGAGGAAGGGTTCTGGGTACCTAGGAACTTACTTACTTAACTTAGGTACCTACCAAGTAGGTAGTTAGTAGTTAGGCACTTTTAAAGCCTGCATTTAATGCCAAGGCACTTGGGCGGTCTGCAGTAAAACTCTGGGGCGACCAACCTGGATCGTGAGGGGTCCGGCACACTCAGAACTTGACTGATCCTGTTAGAACTCGGTGGTGCTGCAACCAAGCAAGTAACCCAGCAGACCTAAGTAGTTGCTATGATTAAGGACTACCACGGCCCGAGCATCCAGGCAGCACCAAGAAAACAGAGGTTGAAGCCGAGGTGACACTTCATTTGGCCATCTGCATTCGCGCGGCGTGCTCCGATTCGAACTGCTTTTCACCGCCGCATCGACAGAGTTTGGCCAATTCCCACGGCCATGACGACCTTTCGACGTTTCCGTCCTGACGACGTTAACAAATTCTCAAAATGCAACCTAGATCCCTTGACTGAAACATACGAGTTGGGTTTCTACTTGCAATACTTCGCTAAATGGCCCTCTCTATTCCAAGTGTGTGAGGACAAAGACGGGAATATTATCGGCTACAGTAGGTTGTGTTTTGGATTGGATCGATTCCTCTGGCTAATGGTTTGTTTGGTCGTTTCAGTCATGGGCAAGGTCGAGTCGTCACCCATAGCCTACAAGTACTCGGAGCATTACCTGCCATGGCATGCACATATCACTGCCCTGACCGTGGCACCGGAAGCTCGGAGGCTGGGGATCGGCAAAATATTAACAGACCAGTTGGAATCGGCTGCAAATGACAATGAGGCTTGGTTCGTGGACTTGTTCGTCCGCAGGAGTAATCACCGAGCAATTGCCTTTTACAAAAATTTAGGCTATAGCGTCTTCCGAGTAGTCAAAGATTACTATGGCGACCATGCCACAGATTCAACCAAGGCTGGGGAGGATGCGCTTGACATGCGGAAACCCATGAAAAGAGACGGGAATCGCAAACACATACGAAGCGATGGAGAGAGCCACGAAGTAGACCCGGAAGATGTCTGGTAGTGAATCCACCAAATTAACAGTGAGGTTCTTCCAGTTTCACAACCATTGGTCCTTCGATTCATAAATGCTAGGACGACTTTGCTCGAATAAATCGCGCCTCTTCCTGAGCTGTGAAGTTCTACTGGGTCGATCAAAGATGTTGGTCGGCGATGCCGAGATCTGGATTACAGGGGCCTATGGTCACATAACACGTTTTCTCGTGAGTTTGTGAGGCTCCGGGGATAGTAAGCTCTTCCTCGATCCGGAAATGAAACCTCGTTCGAGAAAGAGGACAACCGATAGACTTTGTCACTTTGAGGCAGACACTCGAATTCTCAAGTGAGGAATAGAGAAGGAGACCTCTTGATTCGGGAAGGGAAAAAGGCTCGGGTCGTTTAGCAGGGGCAGCGTAACCCTAGGTCGAACAAATTATGACTTTTCCAGCTGCATTTTGGCAATACATCATACTTAGGTATCCACCATCGTACTTCGTCCTCCTCCCTACTATAACAACTAGGTAGCTGGTGAGTACCGTATATAAGGAGAATGCACCGGCAAAACTACCTACCTGCTACCTGCTACCTGGTATCTATATATCTATGTACCTGCGTAGGCAGTTTCCTGGTAATCAACAAACTCGTAGGTGTGCAACAGAGCAACTAGACGCGCATATCTGATTTACAAATGACTGGATCTAAAATCTAGATACAGGCTCCACTCATACAAATTTAGCGTGCTTTGCGCCTCTTCGATTTCGCAGCCTTACCGCCAATTGTGCATAAAAGAGTGCATTACTTCAAATATACTAGCGCTTCTGTGCTTCCATTGGATATTGTAATTTGTTCCTATGCACAGTGTGTGTTAAATCACTTCCGCTAGATTTAACTATAATAAATCCCTCGTTAGGAAGAGATGCATCGTGTGTTACTGTAATGGTTGAAGGGTTTGAAGTTTATATCCTCGTGAAACCGTGTAACTTACCCTGATTGAGACTAAGTCATGTTAGGCCCCCCCCCCCCCAACAAAACAACAGTGGGCTCCAGTGCTGGCTGGAGAAGGAGCGTGTGAGTGGCCGGCCGCCTAATCATCGGCCTTTCTCTCCTCTCGCTCTTGCAAATTCCATCCAGTCAGAGCTCCCGCTCAGCCATCTCGCCCTTCCTTGTCTTTTTCTTCTCTTCGTCACGCTGCTTGAGCCACTTCTTAGCTCGCATGCTCTTCACACCTTTCCGCCCATTAACACATTGACAGACCTTCGTCGCTGGACGCTCTTGCCGCTTCCTCGACATTTCTCCTTCTTGTTCAGCACCGACGCTTCTTGTATTTCTATCATGGCAACCACCTCGATGGATTATGAGGCCGCTGGCGGTGATCGTTACGACGGTAAGCCTACTTTGGACAAAATGCGCGTTTGTTTGACGCTTCGTCTACCAATGAATACGTATCCAGACTGTATCTAATACTGGTTTTGGACGTAGACGATGCGCCACGATACGATCGTGACAACAGAAGCGCCTCACCTCGACCGACGCGTGAAGAGGCCGATGGCGGACGTCGTCGATCAGCGTCACCAAATGGAAATGCTGAAGCGTAAGTAGTACCCTCACCTCGCTCACACCAAGCCTTGTCGCTCCGCTACACAAGCAAGGTAGGCCTGTGCTAACATGGTTGGACTCTGTTTCCATTATCTTGTAGTATTCCAAAAGAACCTTCGGGCTCCAAGGATGATGATGACGGCGCCATCAACCCTGGTTCTAATCTCTTTGTAACCGGCATTCATCCTCGTCTGTCTGAGGCTGAAGTCTCCAAAATGTTTGAAAAGTATGGAGATGTCGAGAAATGCCAGATCATGCGCGATCCACACTCTAAAGAATCCCGTGGGTTTGGTTTTGTCAAAATGGTTACGTCAGAGCAGGCTGAGGCAGCAAAAGAGGGCCTGCAAGGAGAGCAAATCGAGGGTCGCACTCTCAGCATTGAGAAGGCCCGTCGGGCTCGTCCCCGCACGCCTACACCAGGCAAATATTTTGGTCCACCAAAACGAGGTGTGTAGTGTTGTAAACGACTTCTTTGGGTCTGCGCCAACTAATTTGTTCAAGAAGATCCTCGTCCTCGTTTCGACGACCGGCGCCGAGGTGGGTATGGCGGCGGCGGCGGCGGCTACGGTCGTGACGATTCCTACAGATACCGCGGATACGAGCGAAATTATGAACGTCGGCACGATGATCGTAGTGGCTATGATCGCGGTGGCTATGACCGCGGTCATGACCGTGGTTATAGAGAAGATCGCCGATATGAGGACCGCAATTATTCTCGAGACGTCGAGCGTGGAGGGTATGAACGCCGGGAACGTGACGATTACTATGGTCGGGAACGATACGGAGGGCGCGAAGACCGTGACAGATACGGACCTCGTGGTCCAGGTGGTGGGTACGACCGTGATCGATATGACCGTCAAGCCGAACGCGGCGCGCCGAGGGAGCGAGAAACAGCCGCTGGAGCCCCAGGCTACGGAGATTCAGCTCCCCGATCTGAGCCCCGCGATGCATATGGAGGTTGGCAATGCACACTGTCACCGTTAATGCTATCAATGCTAACTGTCATAACAGCTGATCCATCTGCCCGATGAAGTTGCATATAGCTGAGCGCCTTAGTACCCCCTCTCGTCCATGGGTCAAAGCCTCGACTCAGTGCTTTCAACCTAAACCGTTACTTCTTTTTTGCCTTCCTATTTTTTAAAATGACCTTTCATTCAATTACAGTGCACACTACAGGCTCTATGACCTAATCGCGCCAAATCCATTTCCCCAGGTGCAACTGTGGGAAAGGGGAAGATGTTCTCAGTTGCCTTGCGTGTTTTACTATGTTTTCGGTCTTCACCACAGGGATCTAAACCGTCCCGGTTTTGTTGCCTATTTCCTTCGGTTCTGTTCGCACTGCTTATCATGTTTTTTTTTCTTTCTTTGCTGGCCATTTATGGGACGAACGGGTTTTCGGATGGACCACATGAGGCAGCACCCGAATCAATGCAGAATCAAATCTCGTATCGCCTGCCACATCGTACGGCAGATTTTGGTAGCTTTTGCGACACGGCACAACTCAAAGGCATCGGCACAAGCAATTGGTAAGGAAAACCAATGGGCTTTTGACTTCGCAATCGACTACGTCAAGCTGCGTCGTGCAGCTACATGTATCAGTATCATGAAACAATATCGCACATTGGCGTTGCCAACTAAATGGATCACAACTATCGGTATTCAATCCCTGAGAACGTTTAAAAGTCGCACACTTCTATTAGATTCGCCTTCGCGTCGGGTAATTCGGAATGAATCGTGAAAATGCCGCCGCTGGAAACGCCACCCAAATAGTACTGTAATCGCCGTGTCGCCATCACTACCACCACCACCACCACCACATCATGACGTATTGCCGCCAATATATACATATACATTTTGATTTCTCCGAGATTGCCCTCTGGCAAGAGGAGCCCGACATTGATGTCCTCACATTATATGTCATGATACATTCGGCTCCAACAGAGTCCAGAGCCCATGTTTGTACATGCATCATAGGTGCTGAGAGAGCTGAGTCACTTCCAAGACTTCTTCCTTTAGATTTGGGCTGTCTTTTGATCTGATCATTGCTAATTTGTTCACTATTCGCACAGGGATTGCTGTCGGTACTCGAGACGTGTTATCCTGGTCTACACCTGATCTTTGTAGTAGTACACATGCCACAAATTTGTTCCTTTTGGTGTGAAGCCTCCCCATTAGCTCACATAAATCAAAACAGAAAAGTCTTGCGCAAATTAGAGAGAGCATTGGCACAACCTCTTCGCCGCATTCGTATCAACCACGTCTGAGAACCTTTATTGCCAATGCGCGAACTAGACTGCATCCTCCTTTCACCAGGCATAATGCAGAATATGATGTCCGCTGCCGATACCCATCCTGTCCTTTTCCAAATGTCTATGGCTTCAAGGCTCGCGGGTCTAATATTGGTACTTGGTACCGGTTGCTGTTTTGATGAAGCGACCAACGCATCTTGCCGAAGAGGACAATCGGAAAATGGGTGATCCTTTGGTGAGCATTCCCAGTACTTTGACATGGAGTCAGGATTGGTATGCGACACCATAGAATGGCACTGTCTGCTCATTTGCTATGATACTTACTTAAACAATTTCCAAACCAATACCGTTGTGAATGTGTCATCATGTTATTTATGAGCTTGAGACCACGTGAATGTCAAGTTAAATTCATGACTAGAGAGCCAATTATCTACATAGTCTTTAGCCTGCTGTACCATTTGTTGAGAAATATATTTGTCGATATCGCCGCATCGTGATGTTTTGTCGAATTGATATGGGCATTGCAGACATGGGAGGTACTCACAATCTGGGGCAATTGTATAACATATTTGCCCACGCTTGTGCACCATGGGCCTGGAAAATTGACGTTAGGTACCTACATAGCTTGAGGCTGGGCGAATACTTGTTGTCCCACAGTGTAAGTTGTCAGTTTAGTGAGATTATAGCGTGTGATCGACGACTGTCGTCCAGAGGTTAAGTTTGCAAGACAATCCAATATATAACACACATATGCATTCATCAGATACTTTCTTCTTTATTTTGCCCAACATTAGCTCCGATTAGCCACCCTACCCCAGACACGAGCGTCCCGGTCGCAGCTTCACGCAGCTGATCTCGTTTACGGATTCGGGCGGGTGGCCATCCTTCTTCAAGTTCATTGCTATCGGTGTTAATGCCCCTGGTGATGCTTTGTAGACTTGGAATAGCGGCGAAATTTCGCTGAGCGGCGCGAGCGGTCGCTCTGGATAGATCGAATAGAGACATAGGCGCTTCCTCCGCCTGTTGGGCGGCTGCACCTGCACTTAAGTTCCTGACAGGATATTGTTGCTCAGCATCAATATGATCGAATGCTCCTGGAACGTTGTCAACCCCAGATTCTGCCCCCCAAGCCGACTCATTAGCTGCTTCCTCCTTAATTGCCGAGTCAAGTTGTTCTTCACAGCGCCGGAAGCTCTTGAGGATTTCCTGAAGCTGACTAGTTGGCGCCACTCGCAGCGCGGTGGCAAGGCACTCGATACGCTGTTCAAGGTGTCGTATCTCAAGATTGCCACTTGCCGTGCCCAAATGAGTTGGTTGTTGCGAACGCTCTGTACGAACGTATTGACCAGCCTGCAGCGCAGCCTTCCAAGACCAGTCATCCACGACTGGCCGCGGCGAAGTATAATGGTCTTCAGAACTTTGCGCGTTTAGGCGACTGGCGACATAGGAGTATGCTGTTTCAAAGTCATCTTCCTTCAAAGCAGCTTCAATACACATCGCTGTTATGCGTCGCTCTGCAATATCAACGATACAATTTAGTTCCGCATCCGTTGTCGACATTGTAGAAAAATCCAGCTTGCCAAGGGATGGCAAACCTGCTCGAACCATGTCCATACCCATTTCCAGGAACTCCTGGAGGCGCGTATAGGCCCTTGTGTTTTGTTCCAACACCTTTTCGATGATGGATATCGGATCGGAGTGTACCCTGAGAACCACTGGACTAAAGGGCTCTCCTTGCTTGAGAACCAGGCGATAGTCACTCAAAGCGTGGGTGGCTTTCAAAAGCGCGAGTATCCGCCTTGTCCCTGGCAGTGACTGGCTTACAGTCTTTGGTAAAGCATGAAGACTACTACAGTTAGTTTGGCGGCCTTTGAGGTCATATTATCGAACTTACATTTCATCGCATCTCTTCAAGCCTCCTCGAGACCTATTCGGGTTAGTGGCATTATCAAAGGCACCCAGAGCCGCGTCGTAAACTGAATCCCGTATAACCTCGGCAGGGAGACGTGCAGGCCCTTCATTATCGTACAAATTGCGCGCAAGGTTATAGCCTGATGAGAGTTAATTGGCAAACTCCAGTATCCCGAAAGGTCCGGCAAGGGTCATTACATACGTTCTCTGGATAATAGTAACTTCAGGAACTCTGCTTCCACATACTCCATACTCACCATGCCAAGTGTACCAGCCGTTGCCGCTCCAGCAGTGGATTTGTCAGCAGCTTCGTGACCCCAGTCCTGGAGCCAAAGCAGGAATGCTCGGGCCCTAAGTAGAAAGTCGTCATTTTCTTTGGATGCTTGGGCTGCAATATTTCTCAGCAGTTTCAAAGTTTCAGACTTTTGATCCCGTTCGTCACGGCGAAATGTGAGGTCTCCAACACGTCTGGGTGACGAGGGTGAGCCCAAAAGGGTCAGTATGTAAGCACTTTGAGTGAGAGCGAGTAATAGCTTTGTGGCATCTTCACTCGGTCTAGTGAGTGGGTTGTTCCGTCCCAATAAATCATTCCTCATGTAAGTCGCAACTCGATCGTTGCCAAACACTGACATATCTGAGAAAGACAAGTTTGGCAGGACTTTTATCGTTTCCTCGAGAGACATCCCGCCACGTTCAAAACCAAGATGTAACCTTAGATCTACCAGTATGGAATGAATCCTTCTTAAGCACTCCAGAGTAGCTTCCTGTACACTGTACGCACAAGCCAAGATGGTCGTGGCATAAGTCTGCTGAAAGTAATGTTTGTATGAAGCTGGAAGGTCGACTACTATCCCGTGACCAAATCTCACATCCTCTGGGCCGCCCCAGTCTTCAATGGCTTGAATAGCAGTGGGCCATGATAAGGTGGCCTGGGAGAGCAACCAGTCGCAAACTTGGTGCCAACCAGGACAATAGACACTCGATGACTCGTTACTCTCTGAGGAATTGTCCCATCGGTCATTATCATAGAGCCATGGCCCTATAATGTCTCTCAGGTCGTGATCAACATTTTTTCTCGGTTGCGTGCGAGAATCAGCTGAACACAGCAAGAAGTCCACGGCTTGCTGATCAGGCAATTTCTCGAACTCGAGTAATGAATATGGAGGCGATATTCCGGGGGGGTATTGAAGACCCTTTCGTACATACGGTATTATAGTGGATGCTGCCCATTTATGTATGCCAGGATCGTGGTGAAGAAATGGTAGAAGCAGATCAAGCAATTGGGCGAGCATCCCAGTTTCTTCATTCATCTGGTAGATTCTCAGAACCAGGAAACGGCTCAGGGCATCACCCGAGGTAATCTCCGGCTGTTTCCGGCATGTAAGTGATAGTAGATGAAGTTTCGCAGCTCTCTTTGCGGCTTCGTGGTCATTTATGCTGTTCACCGGCGACGTATCTAGCTCAGTGAGTTGGCACGGCTCGAAGCTTCGGCCAGCCAAGTTGTGCAAGAAACCAATATAGGTATCAGGTCTCACAGTCTCCGGTAAATGTGTTAAAAGAATGCGCAGTAGAAGTTCATCGTGAAGAACAGATGTATAAGTATTGGTCAAGAGCGAGAGACTATCGATATCGGCATGTTGTGCGAAGTGAACAGCCAGCAGTAACACCTTTGCCGGATGCAAGGTGCTTGTCATGGTGAATAATGCACTGCCCACTGAAATAACCGTTGTGCTAGGCATTCAACGTGTTACAATTCGAAGCGTTTAGATTCGGGTTTGTGTGCCTTCTTTAGATAAAAAGCTTGTCGCTTGGCTGCCGCTCGCCGTCCATGGTATGGGATCGAGGCATGACTGGGGGCAGTGATAAATACATGCAGACGGTGTCTAGCGCTAAGGAAACTGGCTTCTGGAGCTGCTTATGTATTACGGATTCTATGCATCTATCGCGGCACTAATGGGTACCCTCCACTTCGGCCACAGCTTTACTCATGCTGAAGTACCCCCGGATGGAGCAGGGTGGCCTGGGCAACCAGCCAATTGGATCCCGTTAATATTGGATATCATTGCTCAACTTCGAACGTCCGCCCAACCAGCAAATTCGGCAGCATCGTTTGAACGTCCTGACAAACAACACATTGACTCATCATGGCGTCGGGATATGGGATGCACGGAGGTATGAATGCAACATCCGGGTCGAATTTCTCTTTTCTTCGATGCTGACCACCATCGCTCATAGGTGTCGGACGCTGCTTTCCCTTCTGGCAGGAAGTTTTGGCGTGTTACGTCGTCAACACCTCTGCCGAGGACGATTCTGGGAAAAAAAAATGCTCACCCGTGCTGGAAGACTACTATGAGTGTTTGCATCACAAGAAGGAGGTTCGTTGCGTGCCGAAACAACTGGAGCCTTGTGCTTGCTAACAGTTTGCAGCATGCTAAAGCTGTTGCGATGCAGGCAGCGTATGCCAGATCGGAAGCTGCGACACCTCGAGACGATGCGCCAAGCGCCAAACAAATACGGCATCTGGGACTATTGGATAAGGATGAGGATACTAAAAAAGTGCTTCAAGCATAAGTGAGCAGGGATGTCGCACCCAGAATGTGTACATTATCTTCGAAGCCAGAGCGCTAGTTTACTAATGGAGGCACGGGCAAATATCCCAAGGTATTTCATGACCTGCAGCTCGTCTTGTTCGACGCCTGTGTGTTCTGAATTGGCAGTAGCGGTTATGGTTCTACGGGGTCCTCGTGTAAGGTAAACATGTTATCCTGGCTAGTTCCACGTCTCAGGGCTGTTTCTTTCCTCCACGTTCTCTTGAAGCTCTATCTGTTTGAAACCTAATCATCGCCTTTCGACTTTCGCGATATATTTGCCTATCATGCCGGGCCGTCAACCCCGCATTTTAATACCATTTACCGAAGTCTTCTGGTCCGTCGCAGCCCACGATCCTATTTACAGACACCTCACACACTACGCACTGATATCTATAAACACGTCCCCTAGGAACTTGACTAGCCATTGTTCCATTTTCAAAGCATCTGAGGACTGGCTATTTATTCACTTCCGAAACGCCAGGTTTTACGAAACTTCCTGTTTCGGGAAACCAAACGAATAATAATCTCTGATTCGTACTTGTGCGTCATGGCGATTTAGGAGTCCAGCAATAGTCAATTTTGATCTATAAAGCCCTTCATATTGTGAGCTTTTCATTCCCTCAGCTCGTGAGTGTGCTCTTTTCTTTTGTTCCAGAACGTGACCCCGCAACTTCAGTGTCAACATCAAGTGAATTCGAGCTTTGACACATGCAGCTGAATGTATCAGAGCAATGGTGTTTCTAACTGTCATCATGTTTGAAATTCTTCGGAGTTTCTTTGACAAAGTGTTAAAACATGACCAAACTGTTCGCTTTGTCCCATGTGTTATCAACACGCAGTCTATTCCGTACAAAATCTCGAACTTGAGATATGACTCTCAACGGCTCCTGAGTTCTCTTTTCCTTTGCGCCGTAGACAAACATGCCAAGAAAAAAAATTCAGATCAGCTTGGGTCGGTTGCTTGGTCAATCTTCAGTCAAATATTTCCAGTGCTATTTGGCCCTGTTCGTGGTGTCTCACGGTATCCTTCATGTAAAAGCACACATGTTGTCATCCAAAAAGCATGTGTCACGTCTCAGTTCCAAGCATAATATGTATAGCTACCGTGTGAAATTACGTTGACCTTCCGAGGTCCAGCAAGGACTGGAAAGTGCGGATCGTTCCTTCACGTCCAAGAATCTCCTAACTGCTAAACGGTAATCTGGGTCTGGCCTGGTGGGGGAGAGGTCCGCCAACTCAGAATCACGGATAATTGAACAGATGGCTCTTTACAGGTCTAGAGAAACAAGTCAGTTGAAGCCTCGATCGCGCACTTATCTGAGGTTCAGATTCCCCAGCTGTATCGTTATCACCGTGGTTCACCTGTTGAAGTAAATGCCATGATGAGTGGGACAATAGCCAAACACCAGAATTGCGTGTCGGGAACCATCGTCTCGCAGGAATTCTGAGGTTGACACTCCAATATACAAGATCAACGTAGCTAATATGAACGGGGAGAAATGTGGGAGAGGAGCAAAAGAAACATTGGCGCAGAAAAAAATAAGACGCTGGCTTTGCACCCGTCCCATACCTTCAGCATTATCTCGATCTAACAACTTACCTCATCGTAATTCTAGATGGAAGTATTGGGAGAGAAAATGCACAAATTTATTCCGATATGCACACAAAGATCGCCAATTTCGAATGTAAAAAAAAAAAAAAATATGATGTGGTTCGATCGCTTCAATACACTCTGTTGTTCGACACAAGAGCCAGATGTTGCAAAATAAGGCATACTACTCAAGGACAAGCGGAGGAACCGGCTCCATGCAAGGTCCGGGCGTAATTGCCCTTGATTAAGCATTTGAATATTTGGAGCTGGGCTACTACCACATAATACAGGATGATTTAGTTGCATTCAATATCCATGCTGGGTAGGTATTTCGTTACCCGGCTCGCCAGCATGCAGACTCAACGACCCTGCTGGTGGGTGCGAAGAGCCATTGATCTGTAGGACCGACTGCCTCGTAACTTAGCAGAACCCAACCCCCCCCTTCCTTTTTCTTTTCCCCGGGAGGGGTGTTTCTCCAGACTAGATTTGCTGCACAAGACATGTCCCAGGCCAGGGAGGAGCTGATCCCTGTGTTACGCGTGTTCAATACCGGTAGAATGGTTCGGGACCTCTTGTTACGCAGTCGTATTTAAGCAAATCAGCATCGATCTCGCCAAACTTGGAGACCCCGACGCGGTGGTAGTTTTCTGTCATATTTTACGGAGCAGACAGGGATGCCAAGGGAGGGGCGTGCAATTAGCCCCGTCCAGATAGGGCTAGTGGAGGAGACGACTCAACCGGCCGCTACTCCCCTTTCATCGCATCCACGTCCGCTCCGCCAGTACAATAATGAGGCAAGAATGCAATGACTCCAGACATCATTGCGCTCAAGTGGCCAACAGACACTGAGTAGAGTATGGATGTATGCATGTACGTGTGGTGCGGAGTGCGGCGTGCGAGCCGGTTCTGAATGTTACCAGCCCTATTCCCCCCTACATTGCCTGTCCCGATACCTAAAACAGCGTCTCGTGTGACAGTTGGGCGGGTTATTTTATATACAATAAAAACTGTGTCCTTGGCGCAGTGTAGACTTAGAGCTAAGGAGTCAAGGGCACGTACTTGCGTATGTCGTCCATCTATTCTGGCAGACATCATATTTCCTGTCATGATGCTGCGCGTGTCGGGCGTGCGTAAGTCTATAATGTGATGCGGTTGACTCATGATGCGTGCAAGTCGAAGGTCATACGTAAATGCTCATCGACAAAATGTTGACATCTCGCTTGAAAGTCAAAGAACTGTGAGAAGATATCACATCAAGTCCTTGAATTCTGAAACTAGACGGCCGCAAAAGACAACTGACGGACGTTTCCCTGAGGGCCCGGAGAATGTAGCGCAAGGGCAAAGGGCGGCCATGCACACACGGCAGGAGATCTCAGCGCCAATTGACCAATGAACCCGGGCTACCTTACGGGACGGGGACAGGGACGGGACGGAGTACGTGAAGATTCGCTTCTCTCTCTTTTGTCCCAAGTGTCTTGTAGATTTTAGGGCTGCATCCTCGGTTTGTCCAGAGGAAGCGTGTGGGGGAATAAAACACTGGACTACGGAACGACTGTCTCAAAACGACTTCTGGCAAGACAAGACTTGTATTCGGCTGTCTGTGACCAGGGCGTGAGCGAGAACATGCCACAGCAAATGCGATTCGACAGAGACAGGGCCGCGACCACGAGTACAATAGTTTTACTTACCACTTACCTGCGGAGTATTCGTTGACGGAGAACTGCAGCACGCATGCACTTGATAAGTACCTACTCAAGTACTTACCTAGCACAAACACGGGGTGCACTCCGCAACCAACTTGGTCATATGTTATATCGGGGCCCTGAATCCTCCAAGTTCTTTGGTACCAGGCATTTGCGGCCAGGTTAAGTAGCTAGCTACAGCTACCTGCTAAGTAAGTACTTACTTATCAGGTACTTGAGTGGTTGCTCAGTCGGGTAACGCACGTATATCAACGTTGACAAGCATATCGGTGGAGCGAGCGAGCTCGGGCCGAAATTCGTCGGCTTCCAAAAAACCGTTGGCGCAGGGGTTTCTGGAAAGTGGGAGTTTTTAGCGTGCAACGGTGAGTGCTACGGAACGCACATACATACATGCCTGCAGCCCATACCTAATACATAATAAGCAATGCATGCGCGGATCACTATGTAGTAGTTATGGCGCTGAACATGTCTTCCCAAGTATTTGGGCAACCACGTCTGGTAGGACAAGCCCACCAGGTCACAGGACAGGAAACCAGTTGACAGAAAATGACAAAGTTGGCGGCGGTCCACCAGGACGAAGCCACGAAAACGGTGGACGGAGGGCGGGTAGGGCGTGTCCACACACTGAGACGTCGAAATAGGAGCTCAGGGCTCGCTGTTCATGTTGCGTGGGCAAACTATTATTATTATGACACCGTCCATGGGGCATCAGCTCTGCAGCCAAGGATGAAACGGCCTTGCTTCTTTCCGGCTGGGCGCCAACCCCGAAATGAAATTAAAAGGGAGAAGCAACGAGACCAATGACTACAGCAAGAATAATGATGAATGAAATAATGAAGAGAGCGAGGACAGAGAGCGTGAAGGAGGCTGCGAATGTCTCAAGCCCGCTTTCATAGATGCCAGTCGAACAGCAATAGAGATTCATGCCCAACAGCACAAGTAAGCAGTCGTCTTTTTGCTCGGCATGCCGTCTCTGGTCCACAAGCCGCAAAAGAACCATCGCGCCTGCAAGACGCGAACAAGGCAAGGTCAGTCAAAGGATGCCAGCAACTGTAGCCTGATACCGACGGAGTATCACTAATCAGGGTCGTCACTGGGGTCTCAGTGCCAGCGCCAACGGACAATCACGACGGACACACCACTTCCCGACATCCGGACCCCAAGTCGTTCAACGGCCAGCACGCGTTATCAATGTCACTCCGGCAATTGTCGGGGCATAAGCGCCCGTCACATTTTGAACGCAGAGAGCACCTTATGAAGTACCTAAAGCCTATAGGTTCTAAGTACTTAAGTAGGTAGCCAATTGCTACTGTACTTGCCAGAGGGAGGTGTCGCTGGCAAGCTGCATGCATTGGGTAAACCCCAAGTATCGCCAACCTAATCACCCACAAGCAACTACCCAGATGGGCACTTAGTTACTTAAAGTAGAGACCTAGGCAGGTAGGTGGGAACGGCGTAGCGAGGCTCACGTCTCAGGAACATCTCGATACTGATACTACTCGACCTCTTGCATGGGCCTCGCTCCGTCAATATAACTAACTTGACATTGACATGCGTGGAAGGAGGGGGGTTCAACTACGAGGTGCTGGATGGTGGGGCTGGGTCTCGTACAGCGATACTTGTATCACTTCCAGTTTTCTGGAAGTAAATGCAGTTGACGTCAGGATGGAGCCACTGATTGACTGAGGCGAACCATGCTCGATTTTCAAGGTTCTCAGCAATAGATGCTCAGCGAGACTACAACATGCAGCTAGCTGAAGCTAGCTGCATAGAGAAGGCTCTGTAACAGCAGGGTGGGAAACGACGCACAACGGGCACGGAGAATCAATATCAATTGTCGTGTCTGGCGTTAGATGTACATAGTAACTTCTGGTCGCCTCGTTGCTCAAGCACTCCACATGTACTCCGTACCAGCCCCATCACGGCCCATAACCGAACGGCCTCATCCGTGCGCCTCTGGTTGCCAGGTGCCAAGGCGTCTGGTGCATCCGGCTATTCTGTTCGCGCATTGGCTGGGGGTACGCCTCTTCAATCTATCAAGCCTTCTCCAATACGGAGTACTAATCAATGTTCAAATGTCGGCGCCAAGAATCGCCAGGCTGGACGGCAACTCCTACCCCACAGACCCTCAAGCCGCTCCCGTTGTTTGGGGTCAACTGGTATTCATAATGTTGACGCTTGCCGAGCGAGTATCTAACAAAGCCGAATTCTGCGCATTGCCAGCCATTGAATAAGTAATAAGTACCTAGGTATCTATATAGGTACCTTGATACTTGGTTGCCAGCTCTGCTTGCAACCAGAGGCCCAGACTGACTCTGTTACGCAGACGTACCTGAATCGGTACAAGGTACGGTAGGTGCGTGGCCACACCAAGTCATGGGGATGGATGGGCGAAGTTGACGATGCCGTCCTGCACAGCAAAAGAGAAGGTTGACGAGTGGTGATTTTACTACGGAGTACGTAGAACCACCCACGTAAATGGATCGGGCATCCAGACAGGCCCTGCCGCGCGAACCTAACCGCTGGAGAGCCAACGGTGACGCTAGACCCCGCCTGCCCGCCAGACCACTCCCGCTCCTCAAGTCTGCTGACGAAACAAAAGTCGCCCAACGTCCTTCCACTTCCTGCAGGGGAGAGGGATGAGAGTGCATACCAGCAACGGTTCCGCATGTGCATACTACTACTAGTACTTTGAATTTGATGATAACTACGGAGTAGGGTAGCCCATATTGAGCGCCTTTGTTTTAAAATGATCCGTCGGAGCCACCAAACAGCAAGCATAAGGCTTGCATGGCGACGAGCGAGGTTAGCCTGAACTTCGCGCAGTCCCTGCTGCCCTCCTGTGCGTAATAAAGGCTCATGTTTCGAAAATGTACTGCCGTCTCACCGCTGCAGTGAAAAATGTGAGCGAGCATCCTGGTTCCGTGAAAGCGACTGTGAGCATCGAGCTCTGAACAAAGGCGCAATCGAAGTGACTCCGACAGTTTGTGATCGGACGAATCCAAATACATAGTTCCGCGCCTTCTTGCTATTTTAACACTGCTACTACCAGACCAACAGGGTACTGCGAGCACCGCTGTTTGTTACGGACACTTAACATGGCAGAATTGCTAACGGTCGGAACGAAGCGCAGAGACGCGGCGGATTTTGCACAATGGATATGAGAATGTGGTCAAGGTCCAGGTCCAGGTCCAGGTCCCCGCTGCATCGAGTTTTGAGGGCCGAAGGCTCCGTCGAGATTTATCTGGGACAGACATCCCTGGTCTTTCCAACATTTTTTTTTTTTTTTGGTCTGTCTTGGCCGTATTATGATCGTGGCACCACGTAACTAGCGGCGAAGTGCAGGGATTCTTTCACCCTGAAGTAATTATGTACCCGAGGAGGTACTCGAATGATGCGTGCATGCATCCATGCTTAGGTACTTAAGTACTTACTTCTTAGCTGGGTGCCTACCAACAAGGTCTGGTAGTAGAAAGAGCCGGACACTCTGTCCACACGAGTGGGTGGTTGGTGGTGCCAGTGGTTGTCTGGTCCGGGTCCATGTTTTCTGCGACTTGTGCACTTGAGCAGGTGCACAACTGGCTCCTGCTAGCTAACGCTAGCATTGCTTGTCATCAGATGGCAGGCACATCAATCTCTCACGCGGGAACCACCGTGCCTCCATGCCCCCCCCACCCGTTTCTTCTTCGCTTCCTCTCGAGTCCCCAACAAACCCTCACCCCGGCCAATCCTACAACTTGGTCCTACTAGTATGTACTAGTAGTAGTATTCTCCGAATCATTAGGCTCGTGTCGATCTCGGCTTCCGAATTTTTGGACCTGTCAATTCCAAATCTTTTGGACGCATCGTTGTAGTGCTGCACAAAACTTCAATTTCATTATATTTCTGTACAAAAATAGGCCGGGTGCGACTATGCTCCGAGCCTCTCTGCATGAGCTTCAACGTTCGTAGTAAGCTTCGCACTCGATAGCATCTACTTATACTCTCGGCGGGCTGCTCGGTGGCCACCAATGCCAGTCTTTACATGTAGAGACAATGATGAGTGTTCCTTCCCCTGGGACACACACAGATTTCTGCTGATCATGTCGAACCGACGAGGCGGCAGGCAGCGTCAATCCAGACACAACCCTCAGATTATAAAGCAATTCCACCACACAGACACAAACATGTTTGCTTTCAGACAAGAGAGCAGAACGACCATTAAAAATGAATTTCATTTATAGTTACTAACAAAAAACAGGCCTGTCTTTGCACATTCTCCCCAAGAGTCCCAAGATACACCAGAGTCGCCTCAAGCGAGTCATCTAATTGCACATACATGGGCTTGAGGGAGTACATGAAAACAAGCGCAACTGTAAGAGTGCTAGACCAGGTTCTGCCAAGACGGTCGGGGGTATAAATTGACAGAATGCTTAACAAATGACCGCCAGCCTGAGTCCTCACACAATAGCAACACAAAGAGCAGAAACAAGAACCAAAAAAATTGAACAGCGAGGATGGACTGGCATGTTGACAGCTAGCCAGCGTTTGGCCAAGTCGTAGACCTCAGACACTGAAGCCCTCCTATGCCAATAGCGACGCGAGCCTCATTTTGTAATCCCCGTCGTTGCTAACTTTCTCGACATTTGAGTCCGATGCACTCGGCTGTGGTGGATGAGGCTGTGGCTCCCGCTGCGACCGCTTATATTTCTGTGGTTTCCTTTTCTCCTGCTTCTGCGGCGTTGGCGGGTTAGGAGCAGCCGTGGGATTGAATCGACTGGGCAACGGAGGCAGGCGGTGGAAGCCCCTACCCAAACTCCCTTCATCATATCCGCCGACTGCATTGATGCGAGGAAGACGAGACTCTGTCGGGAGGCGCTCTGGCCATGCGCGCAATGGGGGGAGCTCAACTTGAGGCGAGTGAGAATAGAGTGGTCGCGGTTGGCCAGCTGGAGATGTTGTGTAATTGGGACTTGAATCCGATTCCGGTGGCTCAGAGGAACGTGGTGATGGCAGAGGGCCATCCCCCCAAGATCCAATTCGATTCCTATAACCAGTAGAACTAGACATAGGGGATCTTGGGTAATGGGCGAAAGGTACAGGGAGGATCGGGCTCACGAGTGAAAGTGGAGCTCGTTGCATTCTGTGACCATATCCAGGCGAAGGCGAGGGCGAAGTCGACGATAGTGATGCAGTTGCTGATATCGCAAGTGAAGCACGCCGGCGCTCGAGTCGCCTCCTTCGGTTCTGACTTCCGTTCCACCAGTTTTTGACTGCGTTATCACTTCGTCCATCAAGGCGGCGAGCAATCTCGGCCCATCGTTTTCCAACGGTTCGTACCAAATTCTCGATCATGGCGCCTTCTTCTGGCGTAATCGGGTCATGATTTAAAGATGGCTTAAGATTCTGATGATAGCGTTCCCGGCATTGTTTTGGAGAACGGGACCCAAGAATTTGGGCGATGCGAACCCAGTTTAGAGGGCCGTGACGTTCGATCAGATTCAAAAGAAAACGGTCCTCGGTATTGGACCAAGGACCTCTCCTGTGGTGAGGAGGATGATCCATGATGAAAGCCCTGACAGTTCCCTGCGATGGCGAACGAAAGACAGTGGGAAGGGCTCGTGACTAATGCGGGTGACACTGGCAAGGCAGGTCGAATACAGAAAGCTGGCGCTGATTGCAACTTGGCTGGGACTCAATGAATTTATAGGGCGTTTCTCCTGCCACGGTGGCGGAGAACATGAATAAGAGAAATAAATAAAGTTGCGCTGGAGTATCAAGCTATTTGCATTGTGTTGACACGAGAGTTTGACGGGAGAGGGGCTTCGCGACTAGAAGAGAGTAGCGTGCGAATGTGTCAATGATGGGGAGGCCCGATGAGGCTCGGTGTACTTACTTGCGTTAGCACCACTGTCTTGACACTGGACAGACTCTCTGTGAAGGCGTGGCGTGGGGTGTCGCTTAAAAAGTCCCAAGGGAACAGGACTTCTCGGGACAGGGGTGAAAGATCAACTGGGAACGAAAGGAAGTCGCCTTGAGAGATGATGGGCCAGCCGGAGTGCAGAAGCCGAAAGGAGCAGCGGAAAATAGCCCAAAATTGAAATCTGGTGACGGTTACACTCCCCGTAGTAACTACTAACCTATGTTCACGAGCATGGGGGAGCGTGAACTCCCGTCCCAACCATCGGGGGGCCCCTGGACGGAAGGGGGGGGCGTGTGCATGGGAGGGCTGGAGCTTGAACGCCGTGATCTGCAGCCGGGATGGCGCTTGCTTAGCCAGGGCTCCATCCCCTGGTTTACCTAGTACTTCCGTACCTGCCATCGAAATGTTGCGACCTTCCAAGTCTTGGTCGATGTTGCCTGACGTACCAGGCTTCTTTCGACCGAACTGCCATGTCTCAATGTGGGCATCCATCGATGGAGACCATGTTGCCAGGCCGGAAGGAGAAAACGCCAAACACAGTGCTGGTGCATGTCCGATGTTTTCTGCTACCCTCGTGGTTGCCAAATTTCTTGCTCGCCTGTCATCTACCCATTGCCTACTACCTACCTGGCTACGTAGCTACTTCGTGGGCTTCGCATCGGAGTCAAAGAGGGCAGGAAGGATTTTTTGTCACTTTGTCGGGCTTGCAGGGCGTCATGAGGAGCTCAGAAACTGGTGACTCTTGCTTAGAACAAAGCCGTTAGTGCGCCAAGGCAGGGCGACATGATGTCGTGAAAGAACCCAAAGAGGTTGGTTGATAAGTGCTAAGCTGCTCTCGAAGGTTTGCTGAAGCAGTTCAAGTCACAAACGAGGCAAACTGTAAACCCTTAGTCGACTATCACAAGCGAAAGACACACAGGTCAATTCTGAGGTGTTGCATAGACCTAACAACGCACACTGACAACCCCCCCCCCTTTCCCTTGCTAGACTTTTCCAGGTAACTAGTTAACTTCCCTCCAACGTCAAATATAGTTGGTTCTAACATCCTGGATGGTGCAGTTGCGGTGAGAGAACATTTTACAGACATTTCAACGGAACCACCAAGACTAGCCATCATTGCCAAAAATAGAACTGATCAGATTCATGAAGTAGCATCGAAGCGTAACGATGTTGGATAGTCCATTGAATTGTTCTCGTTCACCACCTGGCAATCAATCATCATCTATCTGGCTTTTGACAGACATCGAGTGTTTACCACCAGCGAGGTGAGGAGCAGGACTTGGGTACGAAAGAACATAATACGTACACTACTTCAACACATCTAATGTACTCAAGTACCTAGGTAGGCATTTCACGTCTCCGGAGTAGTGTAGACTAGTTATTTGACGCTCACTGGACCGGGCTGTAGGTGGCTTGCCAGGCTACCAAACCAAGGCTTGAATGATATCAGTTTATTAGACCAAAAAGGTCCGACAGCCCGGATGGCTTTGGAGGCAGATACGGACGAAACTGAACTTTGGTCATAGAGAGCCCGTAAAATTTTGCTTCCTCACGGACGTAAGTGGGCAGATACTGAGTGACGTCGTCGTCGTCGGACGACTGCCAATGGTTCTACACCAATAATGAACGCTGTGCCGGGAACCTCCCAAGCATACTTGATGGGCTACTACTTCTCATGCTCTGTAAAACATTTCGGCTGCCTAGCAGCCGGGTATGATTTAGAACCACACTACATCTCAAAGTTTTTTTTTTACGGTACACATCGCTCATCGGATAAACGATGAAGGGGCCAAGTGGTTCAGGAGCACATTCACTGACAAGATATACGCGTCATTGATGGGAAACAAGTGCAGACATCACGAAGTTTTAAGTTTCCATCCACGCCAAATGTCGGATAGTGCAGCTGGTTTTCTCTTGCCAGCCGGCGATGGTATTATGATGATGATGCCTCGGTAATAGTCATGTAACATTGAACTTGAAGTGATCCAGGGATAACCAGGGGCTTGCCTTCAAACTGGCAGAGGTTGACGCCATGAGGACAAGTTGCTGAGCTGAGCGCCTAGCAACGTTCAGAAAGTCATCGTGCTAGCCACCTGTAACCTCTTTTTTACACCCACAATAAACGGCAACCAATCCCAAATGCTGACCAAAGCTAATAAACTTCGCGTAGTGAGGACTTGGCAGAAGGACGAATGGCATTGTCATCAACCTGGCGTCGACTGAAAAGGTCCACAAAGACTCGAGGGGCATTACTGACTACCTGTTGCCAGTAGTCTCCTGCAGGTGGCCGGAGACGACAACGTCAGTGACTCGACGAGCCCAGATAAGCGCGCCTCACAATGGCGAGGAATGGAAAAGCTTGTACTAGACTTCATCACAGATGGGGGTATTTGTTCATGCTTAAACATCGAAAAGGGGGTTCGGCCAAGATCCCCAACGGCATGGTTCGATAAATTTCCCTGGGTGGATATTTGGTTCATAACGAGTCCAGGTCATGTGTCTCTAATCGGGGTCATATTCATAATCATTCATCGTCGTCATCTTCATCATATCCCCATCCACAGGGCCAGCCGAGCCCAGTCGTGTCAAAGGTAAATGTCACCTCCAATACCGTTAGTCCACCTTTGCCATGCCTCTTCATATGCTGACTCTAAATCTTGCACCCATCTTCGGGTATCAAATAAGCCGCAATGCCATTTACTATCCCACAAAAGTTTGCGTATGTCCGCCAAACGGCCACTGCTTTGGCCGTAACCGCCACTAGTCATTGTGAATTCGAGGCTATTCGCCAGTTCAGCCGCTCGCTGTTCATATTCTGCCTCAGTGCCTGCGATGAGTTCCTCGGCCGCCCGTTGACCTTCCAAAGATCTGGGAAGTGCACCACGTAGAATAGACGCAGCCATCCGTGAACACATTTTGTAAGGATATCGGGGAAGAGTAAGTAGTGGGGTGCTGGACCACAGTACATCTGCAGCTGTGGTGTGTGCATTGCATTCCGGGGTATCCAGGAACAGGTCACAAACAGCCGCCCGCAAAATGTGTTGGTTCTTCGGAGCCACATCTGTAAAAATGATCCGTTTTTCTACTTCGGGCCCAGCCCACGCTTTAGCTGTCGCTCGTAGGTTGCTCTCACCGGGTTCTGGAAACCGAAGAAGCCATAAAACAGCTCGTGGAACACGAGCCAGAATGCGTAACCAAGCTCGAAAAGTTGTCGGGTCAATCTACCAGTGTCTCATCAGATTGAGATATTGGACATGAAAATAAATCAAGACTTAGTTGTTGCTTACTTACCTTGTAGAGCTGATTGAAGTTGCCGAGTATGATGGCATCATTTTTTAAATGGGGAAATAATTCCTTTCTCATCTCCCACCTCCGCCTCTCCACCTCGGCCCATTTGGTTTCTTTCTCGTCGCCTGCGCATGACTGTGCGTGATCGCAACAAAAAAAGGTGTCGCGGCAGAAAATAACATTCTCAGAATACACCCAATCGCCTGTGGGGTCTTCATTGTTGTCACAGAACACATCTTCGATTGACACGTTATCCCTCCAAGGGCGAAGAGTGGTTGGTGGGACTGCGGTTTTGTCGGCTAGAATATAGTCGCACCACTCAGCACCCAAGGTGCCAGCAAATCCCATAAACGACATTTGAATGGGTGCCGGCCTAGCCGCAAAGATTTCGTTCCTTGCACCTCTGGTATAACCATTCAGATTTACCAGTATGTGAATATCGTCCTGTGCAATCTGTTCAACCAATTTATCTGGTGGCCAGTTGCTGACATCCCTAAACACCGGCGACTCGTTCTCAATCTGCTGGCGATGAACAGAACCGTCACTTGGTGTGGTGGCATAGCAAATAGCTTGCACTCGATCGGGGTCATGAAATCCGAATACCGATTGCATCCTCCAAGCAAGTTAGTATACAGTTGTTCCCAGCGGGGTTGAACAGGCAGCGTGACTTACAAATGAGCTAATGGGTGGTTGTTGAAATCCGAGGATATATAACCCACATTCAAATGCGGATGAGGAGGAGGAGGAGGAGGGTACATTGTGGCAGAAACCCACGGTGATCGCAGTGTCGAGCTCGATATACGGAGAGCATTTCGTTGAGCAATCGCTCTTATGTGTCTCGCTGTTAAGGGACACGTGAAGGTATGAAATGGAAGCACCGTGGGTGCTGATGGGACACTAAGATTTGGCGGCAGTTTCGGTCTGTCGTATGACAATCGGTTAGTTTGTCCACACAGATATAGATTCCTGTAATAATTTCTCAATAACACGCGTGTGGCACGCTCTATCAGTCGCAGGAGACGAGATCCTTCCCACGGCTGACCAGCCCAACGGCGAAGGGCCTCCTCTAGTCGGAACGATGGATCCTTGCAAAGACACTGTAGTTGCTTCACTAATTCATTTGTAGTGGATTCCCGTAGCATGCCTCGTCCCCAGTGGGATGCATCCTTGAGTTGTTGGCTCACGATGTCGACGACGCGCTTTGTGAGACCCCTACCACACCTACTAGTCAAAGCGTCAACGAGCACTCCATCGCTATCGACATGCCACCGGTCGTACTTCCCAGATTGGAGGAAAACGCCGCCACGGCCACGCCAGTTGCAAACGGAATTGAGGGCCGTAGAAAGCCCGCATACGGCCTCCGCAAACCCAGGATTCGCGTTTACGGCGCGTCGGTAGTAGTAAATGGCATCATTAATCCGACCCTTGTCCTTGACAGCATTGGCAAGATTTGTGAGGGCAATATCAAACGTGCCGTCACAGGATACTGCGCGTTCGTACATTTGTATTGCCAAGTCCAGTTTACCAACGTCTTTCAGCAAGCTGCCGAGATTCGTATGAAGATGAACATGATTTGGATCGAGTCGAAGGCCATAATTATAATACGCAAGGGCTAGGGCAAGGCCACTACCGGGTGCAATACCGGGTATACCAATTTGCGGCTTTGTTCCCGCCACCATGTTTGAGGGCGTAGTAATGCCTTGTTGAATCCCAGCAAGGAGAATGCCAACATTATTGGCTGTAGATGGGCTCTCCTGGAGCGACAGAGAAAGATAGTACAGAGCAAGTATGTCACCGACTTGTGATGAGCCACGAAATAGGCCAAAATCCACTTTGCCACTAGACATTGCATCCTGCAAAATTTTAGCCAACGATAGCAATGAATTGCTCGTCGTTTGCACAGCAGCGCGTTTGGATGGTCCGTTTCGAAGATATTGGAGACCGGGTAGTTCACCGGTACCACCAAAAACAAGATGGGCTGTGTGACGAGCTCTTTCCGGTGACAACATCAACGGCTGCAGAGCCTGTGGTTTTTGGCCATCAGTATTTTGACATGTCCTTGGCGAAAGCGCGGTTTGAATATGACAAATGAGTTCCTGGATCCCAGTAACCCGTCGTCCAAGGCTGATCAGCACGGCTTCCTGAAAGGCTTCCGAAGCACGCTCAGTGTCCTTCCGGCTATAGAGTAAAGTGCCTTTTGCATGCACTAGGGCCAGAATTCTGCCGTTATCTACAGCAGACAGTGAATAACCACTGGATCCGAAGCCAACCGTCTCGCTCACGTGTGCTACACCCAATGATTGAGACTGAGCGCCTGGTTCAGCAAGTCCTTTCCCACTTCCTGGTGGAAGCGGCGGTGCCTTTACTTGGATGGCGTCGGAACTTGCCATAGCGGGAGCTAGAGCTTTCTGGACATATGTTATAACTTGAATGGCTTCCCCGCTCCGGTTTTTGTACAGGTGCCCTACTAGATGTTCCGTAGCATCTAGGTAACTTGGTTGTAGCTCTACCGCGCGAAGCCAGTTCTGCTCAGCTTCATCCTGACGGCCAAGACAGTACAAAGTTGCACCCAGGTGTGTAGTGGCCTCAACATGACTACAAGACAACTTATTTAGTGGTTGAGGGCAATGATTCTTCATGATAAGGTGTACTCACTTCGAGTCCAGCTTGATTATTGCTGAGAACCACTTCAGCGCATCATCATACCGCTCCAGACAGTATAGAAGGCAGCCTCCGACGAGCATACCTTCGATCCATTGCCACTTACTTTGTTCACAGAGGTTATTGAGGATATCTAGGGAGGTCAGCGCATTGTATACTGGCAATGGATGGACTGCAGCCGTAGTATTGCTAAATGAGGGCGTTGCGAGACTGGGGTTTGTTGAGCCAACTTTTTGGTCAAGGGGGTATATTTTGTTACTGCCAGAGGTTGATTGGCTGAAGGGAGTATGGCTTTGCGAGGACTGGCCGCTATCCAGAGTATATCGTCTGCAATGACGAGGCGGGCTCTCACTCATGCTATTGGCAGATGTCGCATTTGGGTTTGCGAGGCTGGCCTTTTTATTCATTCTTAGGCTCCTTAGTTTCGGCGGTTTGGGATATGCCGGTAGTTTGTGAGAATTGAAGGATCCGGGGCTCGTTCTCAATGGGCTCGTCCTGCCACTAGTTTGAAAATATGAAAGCAGTTCCAGATAGTTTTGATAGGATTGGTGTAGGACTTTCTCCCGGAAGTGCGATTCCCTGATTGAAGTCGCCCTTTGGCCGTCAATCCTTGAGCGACAACCTTGATATGTATGGAACTCCGACCGTGGAGTGTACCCGTAGTACCTTGTCCCGCTATCCAACCCTTGATACTCAGCGTATATTGGCGAGTGTTGAGAAACGACATTGCCAGATTGGCCTTGTCCGATGTGGGATATATCAGGTGTCATATGTGAAACGCCGAGGCCTGGGTTCTGTTCACAGTTGCCGTGATCCCATGGCGAACATCCCGATTGCCAACCCATATAACCAAAGAGCAAGGAACTACTAGTTGGGGCCGGAGGGGGGCAGAAGGCACGGAGGTTGTGCTCATGCGCTCGGATGACTGGCTGGTAAAGATCTGGACGATGGCCCATAGCTTGGATGTTGCCAGTATTCAGCAGACGGGATCCATTGTTAATTACCGTCGAAAGATCGAGACCAGTGGACCTTGCACCACTGTGTGCCCAGGCAACTGGCTGAAAGTTTGCAGGGGGGTGAGAGCCGCGGGTAAAATTAGTGAGCACGTTGGATTGGATGTACGGCTGTTGCATTGATCCCAACAAGGGATCCGATGGAAGGTAGGAGGTTGAGCCGACTGATATGGGGAGTTTCATGTGCTTCAGTGGTGGTGGTCCCGAACATGGCTGAATTGGCGAGCCATCGTATCCCGCCTCGACCGTCCCCCCTGGCGTCTTTCTGCGGAGGTTGTGCTCGGGTGTAAATGACCCAGGATGTGCGGTTGGCATGGCAGCCTGCTGTGTCGACTGTGATATCCTGATCGGAAGTGAACGTCTATGGTCTGGTGCAAATCGACGGATATGGCCATCATTGTTCCGGCCGGCTTCTCGTCCAGGTATGCTAGATAAACTGTTGAAAGCTCGTGGTCCTGGAACAGTACCAGGATGGAACGGCGGTGCGGGGAGCATATCCGAGTGAGAGCTAAGGGAGCTGAAATATACAGGCTCGAGAACGGAGCGACGGCTGGCAAGTCAGCATTCGGTCATGGCTTGCCGCTCAACGCATGGCTGATGCTATAAAGTAGTCGAGACGCATTTGGGGCTGCTGGCGGCGTCTTCCTGTGGATGACGCTGGAGCCCTGCGGTTATCCAAGGATGTCCAAGGATGTCCAAGGTAATGTCCTGAGGGCAGACTAGTTATACCGTCTTGGAGTGCTGAGTGAGATGCGATGCGAGACGCAGTGCGTCGCCTTTGCTGGCGATGATGTAAGTTTCCGTGCAAAGGACGGAGGGAGGGGATAATGTTAGAAGGTGATGGACTGACGTGCTAAGTGTCCGCTCAAGGGATAAGGTGTTGGTCTAGGTGGCTTGTGCTGTGGCGCTTAGAAGGCGGTGGAGATGACCGCATCCAGAGGGACGGGCCTACGACGAACTAGCTGGACTTCTAGAATGTATGGCAATCCTTGCTTCAGCCGTGCGTTTCTTCTCCTTGCTCCTGCTGACAATACTGCCGTATACTGCGGCGAGGGATGGACAGGGCTGCGTGTGCATACAACTGAAAGATTACTCCAGGCAGTCTCGGCCTGTTTCTGGCACGTTGGACGAATATCTTACCCTACATCCTGAATTGGTCAACTCATCCTCCAATAGATAGATTAGCCACTCATTCAATATGATCACCCGGTGTTTACTTACTACTCACCACTTACTGCATCGGCTCCGGCAGGCGCAGGCCCCATTGATTATTTCATCAATTCCCGACAGCAGGATGTGGTGGTGAGGGGTTTCGGCCAATGTACCGGGAGATGCGGATGTCGTCGCGGTGGTAGTTGTTTCGCCACGCGTTAGTGGTATGACGACAAGGGCATGAATGACGAGGAGCGCTCATGGTCGAAAAGAAGTCGACCGCGTGTCAGCTCGACCGCAGACATGTGCTCGCAGGATAGCTGCTGGACGATCTTCGACGCCGACGCTACGAACTGGCATCGTGGGAATTGGCCGTGTTCACACAGCAGTCGACTGGTACAAACGAAGGAGACAGGCTTCCACACCACAGCGTGGGGTTCATATCATATATCATCGCCTTGGAACATAGCGAGACTCGTACCCCCGGAGCGACAGTGGCAATGCCCGTGAAGGCCAATAGGTACAAGACTCTATCTCGGTAGCACAGTAGCTAAAGTAGGGTCGCTATGGGGCCAACGAAAAATATGACCAGAGCCTCCGCAGCACAGGGTTTTCGCACAGTACGTATGTTGAACTAGCATGCTTATCGCCCGATGATGTACACAACAACAGTAGTATGGTCCGAAGACGCACACAAGATAAAATCTTCGAAATGAGAGACGGTGATGGATGACCATGAAGTAGGATTGGCGTGGAGCATTACAAACATGCCGATCGCGCCAGAAAAGATTGACACCTATAGTATATCTCAGCGCCAACTTCCCATGGCTGGATGCCAGATACTCATTCGGGGTACTCGTGCCACACCCCACCATTAGAAGGTTCATCAGGACTCACCAGCTAATAGATGGTGCTCGACACCAAGGCGGGCCATTTTTTTACATCAACGCGTCGAACCGCAAAAATAGGTGCAACAAGCGTACAGAAGTCAAAAAAGTAAAGTGGAAAACTGTACTGTTAAGGCTCTTTAGTATATTAACAATAACCCGGGGGCTAAAAGTCATGCTGTAGCTTGAAATAACGCACTTCAGATAGTGCAGCAAAATGCCCTCAACATGCTTGTTAGGTTGTTAAGGCAGCGGAGAAAGTACACTAAGCGCGTGATTTTTGAAGCTGCAAAAAAGATATACTAATAGCGGTAGACTTCCGTACTAGATGCACTAGAATTTTATAACAAAATGGGCGTAAATTATGTGCGGAATAGATGTGATGTTGAAAATTGGCCCGCCTTGGCCCGCCTTGGTGTCGAGCACCCATCTATTAGCTGGTGAGTCCTGATGAACCTTCTAATGGTGGGGCGTGGCACGAGTAGAGTATACATCAATGGAGCTGGTAGTTATTCCAAGAGGTGTTGGCCAAATCAATGGACCGCCACACCCAAAAGGCAAAAAAAAAGCCAGAGTGCCGCGGTGAGTAAAGGGCCATGATGAGGACTTATTCTCCCTCGAGCAAAAATTGAAATAAACCACCGTGAAGTCTGGTTAATCTCAGAGTGTAGCCGAGGGTCCATGCTGCCACGTTGCATCATGCCATCAACACCGTGAGGAATCCGAAACTGAATCGCAATGTGATATAGGTGAATACTACGCTGCTAATGATCCGCCATCATCACTACCCATGGAGCTGATTGCCAACGTAGCCTGTCATACACGCGTATTGTGCTCTCTCGATCGATCTTTACTCTTCGGGAACTGGATTGAACTGTCAGCAAAATTTCCTGGCCAACTCTGACACACCGGGGAAAGAGGGCCCAGAGAGATAAGTAATGAGACATACTGTCAATATCGCCATTGTTGATAGCCTCAATGATAACCTTAGGAGCCTTGCCGTCTACCTGGCAACCAACACTGTAGGCAGTTCCCAATATCTCCTTAACTGTACCCTTGAGTTCTTTGGCGAAGGACTTGTGCCGCATGGTACGGGCAATTTCGATGATTTCGTCCAGTGTGACCGACTTGTTGTGCTTGATATTTTTCTCTTTCTTCCTATCTCTCGGAGGCTCCTTCAGAGCCTTGATGATCAGAGATGAGGCGGTAGGAACGACAGAGACAGCAGCCTGACGGTTCTGGATAGTAAGCTTGACAGTCACTCGCAAGCCTTTCTGATGCTGGAATTAGCAAATCTGCCTGGCTTCGCACGACCACAACGCGAGGAAAATTACCCAATCTCCAGTTGCCTTAGCAATGTCTTCTCCAACTTTTTTTGGCGACAGGCCCAGAGGACCAATCTTGGGAGCCAAGGCAGACGAAGCACCCACCTCACCGCCAGTGGCACGGAGGTGGCTAATGAAAGGCATGTCAGTCCAAGTTTCTTCCGAATGTTTACATGCGGTTTCACGAACATGATCTTGATCTCGTTGGGGTCGAACTTGGGAGCTGTTGAGCTGTTAGCACCTGTGAGGGAATGACATTCCTTAATTGATTAAGACTTACGCATATTGACTGGACGGACCTGGCAGAGGCTCGTGGTTTGCGTGCCGTTTGTGAGTTGATGAGGAGACGAATTTTTACCTGTCACTGGAGGCTGACGAAAAGTATGTGCGCCCCACCAGCCAGCCCTAATACACCTTCGCGTGCGCGCAGCGCACGCGACTAAATGCATAAACTAGCACCGTTATTACATAATCACACCAATCAAATGAGTGATGACTTTAGCAACTGAGGAAAAAGATGCCAACCAGCCTACTGTAGATTGTAGCTTGCAGTAATATTGTTGCAAGTTACCACTTTTGACCTGTGAATCTACATGTAATTAACTACCCAGGTGCCTAGGTATTGCCTAGCTTATTGTCTCGACAGCAAGAACCATTGCATCACAACTGTATGCAGCAAATTAAGGCGAGCCGCAAAGTCTACGTGTGTACCTGTTAATTCGTACCACTGACCGCAAGCCTATTGCAAGGGGTTAGCTATCACGCGACCCCGGAAGTTATGAGAGACGAGTCTACTTACTTCATGAGGTGATCCATAAATGTCTGCAAAGATACATCGTCAGTGAAGATAGTTTGAGCCGAAGCGGTTGCGCCACCCCCGTATGGTCCAGTGGTGTGGGTTGTCGAGGGGTTCAACTTGGATAAAAGAAATCGCGCCTGTGAACCGCCCGCATCACAAACGACGAATCGTGGCAAGGGAAAACGATCAGTGATTAGGTCCTGAATCTAAATTAGCATCGACAATATTTTTTCTTTCTCTTTCTCTCTTTCTTTGTGTTTGAAAAGCCTTTCTGCACAACTTACCTTTGCGTCTTCTTTTGGCTGCTCCAATAAGGCAGCAAAGTTTTCGTATCCTTCTTGGTCTTGGTAGCCTGCCTTTCGCCACTCTGCGATGGTCTCTCCGTGGAAAATGAGAATATGGAAAAATGTGTCCAAAAGCAGAATATGCGTCGGCTGGATTGAAGCTGAGTCGAGCAATACAGGCTGTCCACCTTCCTGGTCAAAAGTATATGAATCCAATGTTGGCTGTATCATGATGAGAGAGTTGCCGACATCTTCATGATTCAAGACGTGTCGGTCAAACGCTGTCTCATCCGGGGAATTGTTGAAGACTTGCAAAAACTGGCTTCTCCGCAGATGAAACATAAATTGTGGATACAGAGTGAAGTTTTTCTCCAGTCTAAAAGATGAAGGATCATCCTTCCTGTAATCCGCGAACCTCGAACAAAGGCGAATGAGCATCCTGTCTACCCATCGGAGCACGTCTGGCCCATCATCAACCTCTGACTTAAAGACTGCGATTCGAGACATGAGTACAGCAGCTGCCTCTTGGTCAAATGACTGAGCAATTGCAGGGTCCCCAGCCGGGCCGCTCAGGTTTCGTGCAACAGTGGTGACACGAAGATGAAACTGTCCAGAAGAATGTTGATAGTAAGTTAAGAATTGCATCATGCCTTTCTGTGGCGCCTGTTGGTGAGTCGCCGGGCCCTGGCTTGCAACTTCAAAATATACGCCATAACTTGCCTGTGGATCGATCCCGCACATTTTCCAGGAACATGTGTTGCCAATGCCACATTCTGTTTCACCTACAGATACAGACTTCTTATTCAGTGACACGGCATGTCCAATTAGGCCAGTGACTTTCAATTCCTTTGTAGTGAGCACTTCCAGGACCGCATTGAAACCCATCAAAAGATTATCGTCACCGTCCTTTTCAAAAATGCGGACAAATGACTGCTTGAACATCGATGATGTGAAACTGTCTGTCAAAATCATATGGCCGCCTGTAGAGTTGCACAGGCCCTTCATTTCCAGAAGACCAACCTGATCGAGACAACCGGCAAATATATCAACAATGTGGCCATTGTGGGCCGTACGCTTCGCAAGGTTGTCATAGAACTGCATAGAATAGAGTATCGTTAGTAGTCAATCTGCTGCGCAGTAATTTCGAACTTACCTTCAAGGCCTTCTTGTAGTATTTCACGTTGTCACGATCAATGTCGTGATGCGACCTGATGGGCTCGCGAAGCTCAGGTCCAACAACCATTCCAGGTCCTTCAGTCGCAGGTCCACCGGCAAACAGCATTATGCGACCGCCGGCATTTTGGAATGAAGATTCCATAAGGCCAATGGCAACGCTCAAAGCCACGCCTGTGCACCTTAGACTTCGCCGGTCATTGGCAGTAGGCCAAGGATCTTTCTGAAGAGATTCCAAAGCCTTTGTGAGCGAGAATTCAGCCTGTTGAACTGGAAGCAGGAACCTCGAGGCAGGGCCCATTGGTACGGGGCGTCCGGGTTGGGCCTGGCTCCCAGGACGAATCCCAGAAGAGGACAATCCCAGCATCTCCTGAACCTGCTTCGCACTGTAATCTTTACTACCTCGGAAGACGTAAGACTTGGCGCAGCCCTCATATCCAATTTCATGTACTTGAGCCTAGAGTCCTGTAGTCAGCTGAGAGTAGACACACCGTTTCAATACGTATATCATACCATGGTGCCAAACGTGATGAGCCCAACGAGAGCATTTTCGGGCAACAAACTCAAACTCATGACAAGAGACTCCTTTAACGAGTTCAATCCATCTTCTTCTTGGCAAAGGTCAACCAAGTATAGAAAAATAGGCGGAGCAGGAGCTGGCCGCGACAAGCGATATTCAATGGTAGTATTAGCTGGGTGTAATTCCGGCGGAATTGCGTTGGCAGTAATATCTTTATAATGTGGAGGCAACTGGTTTCTCGAGAGGCAGAAGGGGCATATCCAAACCCTGGCCCGAACATCTACTTGGCTACCGCACGGGTTAGATAGAGGCTTTCAATATCGACTTCGCTGAGTGATCGGCGGTTTCCGCCGTCACATTATCTGGCCTTGCGACATCGCGTTATAGAGAACTAGTCGGTTTGAAACGCACCAGAAAGGGTTCAGAACGGAGCGACAAGGTTGTTTGCAGGTCACTGGCTCAAATTGGAGCAAAGGCGTGTCTGGCTTTTCTTTCAACGGCGTGTAGAGAGCTCCAATAGGAACCACGAGCCTCGACGCTTCCTGAATCTGTGTCAGCAATCCAACATGGCATCACACAAACATTTCCCCACTAACCATACGTGAGCTGGGGAAAACATTCCAACTCAAGCGTACACCATCACGCTCTTCGACCTCGCTCCATTGCTCTTTGAGCGCGTCGTAGTCCATCTCGACTCCTCAAATGGTCGTGGACGCGGGACGCGGGGAAAAGGGTTTGGTATTGGGATAAGAGTGAGATGTCCTAGAGTTAAGTTCCAGTTCAGTAACCGAGATCAATGGTCATGAAATCCTCGGAGGTCAAAACGTATGGGAGAGTTATTGGTAAGGTCTCGAAGGGAAGAGAGTCTAAGTACCTAACTTAAGTAGCGACGTCAATTGAATTGTGGACAGCTGGCAGCCCCACATCTGTGTTTGTTACCTGAGGTCCCTATACCAGGGACCTAGGTACTTACTTACTTACTTAAGCACTTATTAAGTTAAGTACCTAGATACCTAGGCAGGTATTAGTTGGCAGGAGGGAGTCTGACGCCTTGGGCCTCTTATTGTGAAGGCTAAATAAAGGGTACATGAATAAAAGTGAACCGATCATGAAAAGCATACGCGCATTTAGGATCCTAAAAGATAAATCTGCATGTGTCCCTGAAAATTTTTTATATCAAAAACGCTTTACGGCCAACTCCTTTAAAACGGAACAACAGACAGCAAGCGTCCCAGCTCTTTTCGGGGACCCACACCATGGTCTTATTATTAAAAAACCCTCGGAGCGACTTGGCAGGCTTTTTCTCGCGTACATTGCAAGCAGTCTATTACATGCTTTTTCTTTCTTTTCACGCTTATCGCAAGCACCAATATGTTCATATTAACTCCTGCTAGAGCCCGTTTGAACTGCTATCATACAGTGACAACTCAGGCCGCATGGCAACTGAACAAACGCTATTTTCATGATTCTCAACCCGAAGTTGTACGACCTTTGATGTTCGATTTACACGAGCCGGCAAAGCCAAGAGTAGATGAAACATCCTCGCCCATACTGTTCTTGCATGGACTTTTTGGTTCTAAGAAGAACAACAGGGGAATCAGCAAGTACGCCACCCATCACCCCAGTGAAGTGTAAATCGCTAAAATGCTCTTGCAGAGCACTCGCTCGCGATTTGGGCAGATATGTATATGCATTGGTCAGTCCCATCATTCGGCACGAGAGATGGTTAGTCACCTACTCAACTCTAATGGAATGACCAGGACTTGAGAAACCACGGGGAGTCTCCGCATAATCAGCGGCATGATTATCTCGCGATGGCAGAAGACGTATCGTCTTTTATCAAGGAAAAAATGCTTACCAATGTTAGTATTATCGGCCACTCAATGTACGTTTTATATATGCAATCTATCAATTGACCAGTGAACTGAGTTATCTGATGAGACTTGAACTTTATAGGGGCGCAAAGACGGCCATGACACTTGCTCTTCGATCCCCAGAAATGATATCAAACGTAGTGGCGGTTGACAATGCTCCTGTTGATGTTACATTGAATAGTCACTTCGCCAAATATATCAGAGGAATGAAGATGATTCAAGATGCCGAAGTCTCTCGCCAAGCCGAGGCCGACGCAATTTTGCAGAATTTTGAAGAGGTACAATTCGTATCGCAGGCTCCCTCTGCTACCAAGTACTGTCCTCGTACTAACACAGTCACAGTCTGAGCCCATCCGACAGTTTCTCCTTGGAAATCTATACAAGGTACCAGGAGAGAGCATGCAACGGTTTCGTATTCCTTTGGAAACTCTGGAGAGATCTCTTGCCCATCTAGGGGACTTTCCCTACAAGAGGGCCCGGAAACGGAGGTTCGAGAAACCGGCTCTCTTTGTCCGAGGAACAAAAAGTCACTATGTCGCGGATGATGTGCTGCCTGCTATCGGGGAATTCTTCCCTCGTTTCCGTCTCGTAGATATCGACGCAGGTCACTGGCTAATATCTGAACAACCCGAAGCATTTCGACAAGGTGAGAATTTAATCCTGCTTAGCTAAATAGCACATAGTCTAATGCCTCAAACAGCCGTCGTTGCATTCCTGCAGGAGGATATAGATTGAAAGGGTGACGTGTGTACTGGGTAAAATAAAGCTATATCGAGTCAAGTGTGCAAAGGCTTGTTATCATCATCGTTTACAGGATATGCTCTGCTGAAATTTTTAAACTACCTCGTTGACCGGCATGAGCGTCTGGATTTCTAGCACCAAATTTGAATTGCAAGACCCTGTGCGCGTCCACTCAGGAAATAACTTCACGGCGTGATCGGGGAGTATGAAAATCAATTAGGAGCTGTCCCCATCACTGACAGACACACATAACACAGCTTGACTGCCAAAAGCATGGCAAGCACATTTCATATGTGTGGTAACAGAACCGTTTTGTACCATTTATGGAGAATTACCTTTCTCCAACTGCGCCGTTGATGCTGCGCCACAATGACCGAAATAATGCCAGAGATGAGTGCATCATAAGTGAGAACCCTCCTAGTATCGCACTTGCTTATAAAAGCACTTAAACCTCAGCTAAAACTCGTTCCTTGAACTCTCGCTCGACTTTCTGGCCCTGATCATCTGTTCCCGACTCTCCGTGAAGTGCCATCAAAGCACCCAAGTCGAACTTGGGGGCTTTCAGAAGCTTTACCTTGCGAATATGCACCTAAAATACTCATGTTAGTTGCGTGTAGACGATTGGGGAATTTGACGTTGCTTTACGCACGTTTTGCAGAGGATAGATGCCGATGGTGGACTTCTCAATCTCGCGACCAATAACCTCAGGAATCAGCTTTGATGTCAACTGAGTAAGAGTGCAGCTTGAAGCTTCGCGTTGAATAATGTCAGTCATCTTGCGTCGAATGGCTCGAATCTGAGAAGATGCGGCGTAGGTAGTCTTCTTGATTTGATTAGGACGTCGCTTGGTGAATCCGATCGCAAAAAGGCGGATGAGATAGTCATCGGTCGTCTTGACAGTGACATTGGCTTCAATAAGAGTTTGCCACTTGCGAACAAGAGATCGGAGCTTGTCGGAGGTGAAATCCAACCCATGAAAGTTGGTCAGGCAGTTCTTTCCTTGAACCTCGTCTACTCGAAGGCGAACCTTGCGGAAAGAATGCTCCTCATCCTTCTGTAGATCTGCCAAAGAAACCTCGACGATACGACCCTTCAAGGCATCATTTGCGTTCTTGAGACCAGTCGTACGGTTTACGAGAGTTTTACCCACACTATTGTACCATAGTTAGTTCCGGCTGCGACCATTGCAACCTTGGAATCGTAAAACACGATATGAAACTCACTCTCGAACACTGAAGGAGCTGGGAGCCTGGTAGGATGACTTAGTAAAGTGCCTGTAAACTGCTGTAGTAGATTGAGCCTACCTTGATCGAGTACCAGTCCTTGCGGGAGAATGGGTCAACGGTCTTCTTCTTGAGACCTTTCTTGCCTTTGGAGAGTCTCTTGTTCCTGTACTTCGTTAGAAATATTCGTTGTAAGAGTACTCGTGAACAGGAAATACTCACTTTCCAACCGCCATGATTGTTGCCCGATATGTGAGCAGCTGGAGAATTCGTTAATGCTAGAGGGATTGGTGGAGGGGTGATAATAATTTCAATTCTGTGTGCACCAACTAGGTCTAAGCGAACCAGAAAAAGTCTAACGGAGTAACTTTTATCCGACTGGTCAGTCATCCAAGAACCCGAAGAGCCTGTCACGTGCCACTCCAGCGGCCATCTTCCCCACATGTTGAGAATCGAAGAAAAAGGGAAGGAATAGAAAAAATTGTTCATCTCTCGGACATTCATCGTCGCACAACTTAATTTCAACATCTGGTGACTTTGTTTTAAGTATAAGTAGGCTTGCTCTGAGCGTGAAATATGCCTTTTTCGAAGCATGCTATCTATTATGCTGCCGTCTCAATTTGCTGGCTCTGCTCTTAAGTACGAGTTCGAGAAAGCAGTTAGATACACACCAAGTTTGAATAGAGTATTGTCAGGTGTTTTAAACTCATGGTTTCCAAACTCTGGCTGCCACCCCGATGGACTTGATAGCTGACTACTGTGAACTTTACGACCGTAAAAGCATACGCATGCTTCCATTCAGTACGAAATTGTTCCCTTCGCCAACCAATGTTGCTTCCATTGTTTGTTATGCTTAATAAGAATGCATTATGAACGATTTGCTTGGACTTGTCGATGCCCAGTTTTCGAACTTCGGAAAGCTAAAATAAGCCTCTAACGGTAACTAGTGAGATAGTTGCTGACGATACTTGCTTTTGCCGAGCTGAGGACTGACCTGTTGTAGTATCCGAATCACTTGCTATCTGGTAATCGATTGAGCTCTCTGGGCAGCATTGTTCACCGTATGACTCGCTATGGTTGTAGTGCTGAAGCAAGCCTTCACTAACCACTTCGACGTCGCTTTGGTTCAAAGAATAACCACCCATCTTGTTGAGCAGATATACAGCAGTTGGCGAAGCAGGACTTATGAGGGCATCTCGGCTTGCGCTTTGTGTACTTATAGAAGGTTTCGAAGCGTTGCACCTGAGTAATCTCGGCCTTCGAGGGGCGCTTTCCTTGCCTTTTCGGCGGATTTTCAGGTGCTCGGAGGTGGAATTTCCTTGTAGTGATGCCATAATAATGGGTGCTCGCTATCAAGATATTGATCACGTAAAAAGGGCATTTCTGAATCGAAAGTCGACTTGGGTTCAATAATACGAAGCTTTAACACTTCAACCTTTTGTGCCCGGCGGCCCAACAATGTCATTCTAGTCAAGTCCCTAAGCTGTGCCCGGATTTCGATGTTGGGTATCAAGAGGATGGTCAGCTGACAGGCAGGTCTCAGTTAGGTGTCAATGGCTACCTGCCTAAAGGGAATTTGGATCTTTTCATCCACAGAAAGCCGAACACGTCGTAGGGAATATGACTGGATCGACAACATGTACGCCGTGCAGTAAACTGCACATCAATTAGTGTCATGTGTATCGCTCACTGGTAGCACCGAGCGGAATGTCTCAAGCCATTTATTGAGCCAGCCAGGCATCTCTACTACGAGCCGCATTTACTTTCAGGCGCACGAGGTAACGAGGCACATCTGTGTCTTCACATACGATAATAAACTGAGGTGTGTGATAATGATTGACTAGTCACTAAACCATTGGCAAAATAAAACATCCCTTCACTCCTCAGTGATCGATACTGTAGCCTGATGAGCAAAGCCTCTGCAAGCTGAAAACGGGTGTCACTTACTCTTCCCACATCCTCCCCTGAACTGATTGAAGTTCCTCGGCCGTGAGGCGTTTACCAGCAGTAAAATAGCCTGATAACAAATGTGAGCTCAGTTTGATGACTTTTTACTCCGACTATACCACTCACCAGCGGTGATTTTTGCGTCGATTTCAACCCTGGAATCGGCGGGGATCAACTCTTCTGGCAGCTCGACTCTTTCTAGGATTGGGATGCTAGTTGCCGTAAGCTTTTGAAATGGGTTCTCATTGTGGTCCTTGACTATTTCAGGCGTTAGCTCACCCCTGACCGACAATTGCATCATGCTTCATGCTGGATAGTTCGGTTAGCAATGCTAATGTTGCGTGCAAGCTGCAAAATAAGTGTACAAACTTACTTGCTCATACTGAGCATTCTGTCGATCTTCTGAATGCCAAGCCAGTGCAAAATGTCGGGCATGAGAGCCTGAAAGCGCATATCTTTGACACCGGCAATGTTTTCTGTCCTCAAAAAATAGTCCGAAGCTCGATCCTCACCCCGCTTCCGAGCGTTGTAAACCACTTGTAAACCAGTTAATGTACCCTACTCAAAATAGCGTCATAGCACAAGGGACGGATTTCAAATCTGAGTAAGACTCACAATACTGACGTAACGGTTAACCAAGGCCAATTAGAGGACATCATTACATCATGGCAGAGTCACCAAAAAAATCGATGACCGTTTCCTGGACATACCTTGGTTACTTCGCCTAAAGCTCTGCCCTCCTTCCTGAAGTAAATTACTACGCCGCTCCCACCATTCTGTGCCTCTTTGACAGCTTCCTCAATACCAAATATCAGGTATGGACGGCATGTGCAGATATCAGATCCAAATACGTCGCTCCCATTGCACTAACGATGTCAGTAACACACGAGATCTTGATTAGCTGTATTCGTCCCACCTCGTCATGGATGCGAAGAGACAGCCGAACATTCTTGTCCGACATCTTCTCTGGGTCTCCGAAACAATAAACTGTTAGCCCACCTTTATAAATTGTCAGTATCTGTATATCTTAAAAACGATTGGAATGGAAGCGTTACCAATAGGGGGAAGGAAAACTTTGATGTCACCACGAGTAATCAACTGCGACTGTGAGCACTTAATTGTTTATATCGAACGTTGCGCCGCACCTCAGGATAGCTGCCGCCCGTATGTTCGAAGAGTGACCGACGAAGGGTAGCCTCATCTAAATCGTGTGAGTCGCAAATTTCATCCACGCAGTAGTTGAACCGCCTACCAATTCCAAACCTTTCCGCAACGCCTGGAAGATACCAGACCTAAACTTTCGTCAGCTTCTGTACATTGCTCATTCTGTTCTGTTCCCTCATGATTACCAACTTACAGGTTCAACAGCAAACTTTGTCACAGCAAGCTCGCCTAACTTGTTAAGGCACACCTTGCCATCAGGCACGCTGGTGGACCAATCAGTCATGAATTTTGTGGTCGCAGATTGGTTATTCATCTTACAGCCTCCCGGATTTTACGCTCTCCTCTAACTCAGGCAGCTATAATGTAGCACGTGTCAGAGGACCAAGGAGACCGCACAATGCTCATTTCGAATGATTCAGGCAAAACATACTTTCATGTGCGCTTTTGTAATTGCAATTGTTGGCCGTAGATCAACTGTTGATGGTCCAGTCAGCTAGCAAATTTGTGGCACGTCACTTCTGAGTCAAGTACCGTGCTCCTCATCCATAATATTCTTGAATGTCCATGGCGTAAGGTGTCCCCAGGGGTCCATGGCCACAATCTTATGGGGATCTCCCCACTGCAGGAAGGGGCCGATACGAGTGGCTGGTTCAGTATTTGTGAAGTCGGGTCTTCAAAAGGAGTCGGTCAGAGATCATTTTTGTCTCGACTATTAAGCTGATCACTCGCTCACCTGTGGTCTCTATCAAGCTCTTTGCTGGCCACAGCTAGTGCGTAATATATGGAATAGGACCCTCCGCTGGGTACAAATGAGTGCTTTGTCCGTAGCATATCAGGACCAGTCACTGGAGGAGGATTCTTACTGTGCTGTATACGGTTAGAACTTTTTTTCGCTGAGGTCGGTAAGGAAAAATGTCTAACCTCCAATGGCTATATGTGAAAGGACAAAGTACACGTTAGTACTTGTTGGCGATGAATTGTTTGGGACCGGGTAATGCTACAGACCATTGCGACGTCGGATGGTCGATGGAGATCTTAAAACTACAACTGGTCCTCGCTTATTCGGGTCAGGGTTGCCCCAATCCATTCGTAAAGGGTTAATTCCGATCTGCTTTGGGTACGTCCTGACATCACTCGACTTAGCGTCGTGGCAGGAAGGGAGACTTGAAACGAAGCCTTGACTTACGTGAGAACAATACGGGACGTGAATGCGGATCGGGGACTCAAGACAGGAAGAGTGGGTGCTGTTACAGCATCAGAGCATGTTGCTTCCCCTCCACCGTGCACTTCGGAGCCTTTTTTCGTATTGGAAGAGCCATCCGGATCGGATTCCTCGGCGCCTACTCTCTCAGAGAGGGATTCAACAGCCGTGAGTAGCTGTGTTTGTGTGCGCTGTATTTGACGAAGCGCATCTAGGACCGTAGCTTCCGGAGTTGTTGGATTCATTCTCGAGTAAGTATGGCAGTTTCGTAGTTCAATTCGGGTCGGGAGGGGTCGTTCGACAGTTTACAACGAGGGAATGAAAGCATTCATGGCCTTGCCAAAGGTCGAGCTCGGTTAGGGAGCGAGGTCACGCGGTTTTAGAGCTCGGGGCCAAGCAGAGTCACGTCCGAACGCTATTCCTGCATGAGCTGCCGCCTCGTGGCTTGTCTGTCACCTGTCAGGTAAGTGGTGCAACACGACGCCTGCTCTGGCCGAAAAAAAGAAGGCAAACAAGCAAGCTTGTGTGCTCCAGACGCTGGTCTTTGGATGACCAGGTTTGGGGGTCATTTATCGTCATCTATCTCGCCTTGTTTGTTTAATTCCCTGCCGTACCTAGGTACCCAGGTAGTTTTGCTGGCTTTTTTCCTGTCCGAAAGCCCTGCACGATGTACAAGCCCCGCAGCATTGTAAAAGGCGGTCGCATCCCTTACCGCTTGATGCCCAACAACTAACTGTTGCACCAGACTCCAAACGGAAACGAGCCGAACTGCAGAAGCACGGTTAGTGCAGGGTTAGTAACTACTTAGGTACCTACCAGCTACCAGACAGGTAGTCAGTACGGAGTATCAACTGTGACAGATAATGCGGAGGAGCACTTGATGATGCCAGTCCCAGCTGGTACCTCTTTGGCAGCCAGCTGGCAAGGGCATCATACTAGAAATCCAGGCACTTCTGATGCCACCGACTAGTAACCTCCAGATAGCACAACTAAACAACGCGTTATTCATGTGCCTGAAAACCGCAGATTAGGAATAGTCTTGGAGGCGGGCGCTTTAGGGCTGCGAAAAGTCAGCTCTTTGTAAATCTGGAAGTCACCAGTATAGTTAGTAGTTAGTACTCTTGTCATCATACTAATTCCTAGCGGAGCTATGTATCTTTTAATGCAAGATTTCTTATTGGCTCACATCCTTGTTCGATACCTAGGTACTTAAGCGGCGCCTTACAGCAACCAAGGGGATGGCCCATATATCCATATATCAGTATCCAAACGCGCAACCCAGATGGTACATCATACATACTCCATACTGAACCACCGAGCCTCTCTAACACATTCCCCGCATCCAAGATCCGCGATGGGAAAGCGCAAGAAGTCTTCCAGAAAGCCAATGGGCCCGAAAAAGGTTATTCCTCAGATATACTCGACGGACAGTCGGACGATATGTACCCTAACTAGTGATATCTAGTCCGATCCTTTACCAACAACATTCACATGTCTTTTCTGCAATCATGAGAAATCCGTCAGCGTTAAGCTGGACAGGAAGGCCGGTGTCGGCCAACTGGATTGCCGTATCTGTGGCCAGAAATTTCAATGCGCCGTTAACTGTCTGTCTATGCATCATTTCGGCGTAAAAGCTCATCGATTCAATTACTTTAGCTGACGCCAGAGCTCTCGTACAGATCTCTCCGCAGCTGTCGACGTCTATGGTGAATGGGTAGATGCTGCCGGTGAGTAAATTGACGATTACATTCATTTGGTAGGCGTTTATCAATGCAACCTCAGCTAATCTCCATACATAGATGCAGTTGCCAAGGCAGACACGGCACCGGGTAACTTCGACGGCACGACGGCAAGAGCGTTCAACGCAACTAAACGTCGTCAAAGCGGTAGAGCTACCCAGGAAGGGGACGAGGACGATATACGTTTGGAGGTCCGTGGGGACGCTGCGGACAACGAAGACTATTGATCAGTACTGCCATGCCTTCGTTCCCACAAATGATCGAACGACCAACAACCGAAGCCGCCATACAATGCGAAATTTCCGACTTTCCACGCCTCAAATGGTATAGAACCTGTCACCAAAATCTCCCAGACCTGGGATAATATAGCTTACGAAACGTTAGCTCGAGGTTCGCTTTGCTCGTGGTTCATGAATAAAGTTATCATTCCATACTTCTTCTCATCCAAACCCTGCGTTGCCCACGGATCAGCACATTACATCAAATCATGGAGGCGGCTGAGTGGATGGTCCATACCTGGTCGATAAACGCAGTCACAACTTTCAGCTGGGGAAACTTCGTGGCAAAGTTCTTAACGCCTTCCGGGCTAGCGATGATGTTGAGGAAAAGTATGTGGTCCTCTGGTACCCCACGTGCCTTTAATACTTGCACAGCCATGATGGCAGACCCTCCTGCATCATAATGTACAAGCAGATTAGCATAATAATTGATTGCAACTTACTTACAGCCAGGTGGGACCTAGTAAGGATGATTCACCTGTCGCAAACATAGGATCCAACAAAAGCACCCAACGATCAGCAATATCCTCTGGCAGCTTATCGTAAAAGAGTCTAGGTTGCGCCGTGTCTTCGTCTCGTTGAATAAGAATCTTGCCGATTCTAACGGACCGACAACAGTCTCTAAGTCCTTGTTCCATTGCTTCACCGGCTCGCATAATCGACACTCCACAGATCTTCCCCTGAAACATTAGCCCATCATAAGTGCGGCCAACTGGTGTTGTTATGGTCTGTGCTATAACAGGAAGATGATTAAGGCCTTCCTCCACTAGAAGGCGAATGATGCGGTTCGAATAGAAAATGAAGTCGGCGCGCTCGGTGTTTTTATTTCGTATCATTCTGGTACATTTCTAAGTTGGTAAAAAGAGTACTCTGGCACGCACGTCTGGAAATTCCAACTTACGAGAGGAGTGCAATTAGCTGTGGTGTTTGAGGGAGGATGCGAACATTATCAAAGGCGACCTCCGCTGAGAGTGTGGCACTGGGTTTCTCACCAGTTGACCGACCAATGCATTGTGTAGAAACTGGTTTGTCCGCCATGGCGATATGGATGGGGATGGGATGTGGTTGGTGTTTTGTTGTCGAGAGGTAGACACTCCACCCGGGTGTGTGTGTGTAGTCTTTTTTTTTTCAAGTAAAAAGAGCAAAAAAAAAGGGTCTTTTTGAGAACAGCTTTTTAGGGCGAAAAAAGAGCAGAGAAAAAAAAAGGGTCTTTTATGAGAACAGCTTTTTAGTAGAAAAAGGGTGATGTTCTTATAAATAATTATTTTGACATTCTCTAGGTCCCCCTAGAGCGCTTTTTTTTTTCGTTATGCATCTTTTTCTTGCATGAGATAAAAAACAGCCCGTTTCTAGCACACTATTTTAAAAAAAAATTTATATTCCAGGGGGGCCTTGCAAGATATTTATTTAAATCACAAATTACAAATTTAATTCTATAAATAATAGTTTTTTTCAGCAGGCTCTATTTTATGAATAATAGTTTTTTTTTTCGGCAGGCTCTATTTTATGAATAACAGTTTTTTTTTTCGGCAGGCTCTATCTTATGAATAACAGTTTTTTTTTTCGGCAGGCTCTATCTTATGAATAACAATTTTTTTCAGCAGGCTCTATTTTATGAATAACAGTTTTTTTTTTCCGCAGGCTCTATTTATTATTTATTATTTATTTGTCTTTCATTTTTTTCACTGTCCTGCCCCGTAAGAGAAAAATTTAAATGCTTCCAATCTTCTAATTCTTCTGTGACCGAACGCATCCTGTCCCGAATGCTCTCAATTGCATAGCTCCCCAGCAGCAGCCTCAGGGGAGGGTATGTGCAGTGCGCCAACTGCCAAACAAGTTCGGCACATTTGACTGCACTGGTCGGCTGGCGGTCTCCCAGCCACTGAACCATTCTCCTTGCGTGCAAGGCCGGGGAGGTTGCATTTCCGTAACCATTACTTGAGGGCTTAATGAGAAAATGGCCCCAAGTTGGAAGAGGATTTTTGTCACCGGTGTCCGGTTCATCCCGTCTCACCAAACCTGGCTCAATTAACGTGGCTCTGACGTTAAAAGAATCGGTTTCATATAGCATTGCCTCAATCAAGCCTTCAACAGCATATTTGGTTGCACAATAAGGTCCTAGCCCTGGGACTCCGAGTGCTCCAGAAGTTGAGCTGAATATAAGATAGCGGCCACTGTTCTGTCTGCGGAAGTAAGGAAGCGTAGTGTGGATGATGTGAAGCGTTCCAATGAAATTTGTCTCAAACTGATTGCGAAGGTCATGCTCATCTTGATCTTCGCACGAACCTATGACGCCGTGACCGGAACAGTTGGCAACGACGTCAAAACGTCGGAAGCGATCTAATGCAACCTGAACAACCTTGGCAACTGAATCACGAGAGCGAACATCGCAAAGGGCGCCAAGGCAATTGTCATGTATATTTGCCAAGTCATCGAGGCTGGATTCATGGATTCGTCCGACTGCAGTGACCAAGTCCCCGCGGGATAGCGCGTATTTCACGAGCGACCGGCCCATGTGGCCAGTTCCTCCGAATATCTGAGTGAGAAGAATATGAGCATATATAAGGGTATATAATACATCTATAATAATAAGGTAGGATGAGGGCATCGGGTTATTGCGCTTACTATCCACACAAGCTGCTTTGCAGGTGACCTCGCCGACGGGGGTTCACAGCTCGCTGGGAGCTGGAGTCGCGGTTTATTGGAACTGCCTTCTGGCACATCCGCAACATTCTCAGGGGGCTGGGAATCCATGGTGTGGGCTAACTACCCGTTGCCTGTGGGGTTGTTGTAGGTACTATGTCCAGTTGTTATATATCTCTGGTTTCCATGGCCACAACAAGATAGAAGATAGATGAGAGAGCGAGCGAGACAAGACTATGCGCAACCAGATCTGGCGCAGTGGCCCACACTCCTCCCGAGTATACATACTAGGGGCCTCATAGGTACCTACCATTGCCCGCCGGGGGGCGAGGAATGGCTAATTATTAGGTAGTCAGCGGCAAAGTTCTACGCCGGGGTGGAGGCCCCTCGTGCTGGGGGACCGACTATTTTAGCTTCGGTTGGTTTATAAACAGAACTTCACGAGAATTAAGGTGCACATATATGTATGTACGTGTGTATGTGTGTGTATGTGTGTGTACACACGTGTGTGCGCGCCCGCTCCCACTCAACCCATACTAATTTGATTTAGTCTTGTTGTGCTGCTGAACATGACCCGGGATCCTGGCAAGGCCAAGCAACGTCCCTCAAGATACTGTGATTTATTGGCTCAGAAATTGCCCAACATAAGACTTGCGAAACGAGTTGTCCTTCAACTCTGCACTTCTGTTCAATGGCGTCCACTTGGGCTCGTCCTTGAAGAGCCTCATGGCATGTACGTACTATTCCAGGAATCTTGATTAGCAGTCGTAGAAAACAAAAAGGTAGTGAGTACTTGGAGTATTAATAGTGAGTGGGACACGAACATTTGCTTCATCCGTGGTGAAGCGGTGATAGATACCAGCGGGAAGGATGAGCAGGTCGTCCTTCTCGAGCCGTACTCGAATCCAGTCATCATCCTTGCTCCGGACATCAAAAAAGCCTTGGCCGCCCCGAATATAACGAATCTCCTCGTCCTCGTGCAAATGTTCATGAAAGAAAATTTTGACTTTTTCTTCGTACGTGTCGCCCATGTTTTCAGGAGAGACCGTGATCTCATCCCGATTCTTATATCCACGAGCAGTAGCTAGCCCGTCTACATCCTCAATGTCGGGAAAGTGGTAGTATAATACGCCTAGATTCCGAAGTGCTTCGACGCTGATGGCTCGGCCGGAATCGTGGGGTAAGCGCTGGTCCCCCTACCCAGTGAAATTGCATGAGAATTGTTGTGATATGTCAAAGAATGCCCATACTTACTGGTTGATTATCGTACATATAGGCTTTCATAATGTCTGGGATGGTGGAGCGGTGTCCCGGGAGAACAGCGAGCGGCAAGCTTGAGTGTAGGGAGGCCGCTGGGTTTGACACAAATGATGCCCCCTTCTGCAAAGCCAAGGGCTAGTCCAGTCTCGGGTGCTGCTGACAACCCGTGGTTAGAAAGAACCATGCAATGTGAGTTTGGATATGGGAGTATTTTCGGTCGAAGTTCTCGCTCGTCCTTGGTAAGAAATGCCGAGGCTCGGCGGGGGTTGGTCGGTTCCGCGTTAAGACGCACGTAGAAGTTGATTTTAGTTATCTTACTAACCTTGAGCCAATGTTCGTCGGTGGAAACACAGAATGGCGTCATTCGAAGCATCGATTAAACCGCGGATCCACCACTATTATTCCGTCCGTTCTACGGAGTACGGTTCATATCTTGCAACCACTACCCGTGACTTGGTCGTCCAAGTTAAGATTTTTTTTTCTTCCCCTCATCGAGGACCTGGTGCGTCATGTGAAAAAGATAAGATTCCAGTTCAGTGACCACTGAGCGCCTTCGGCACAGCCTGGCTGTCTGCTATTTTCAGCCTAGCCTCTTCATTTTCCCCATATCTGGCCTGGCGACTACAAAGCAGGCTGCAGAGCATTGCTGTGCAAATACTCCAAGGAGTTCAAACGTGTCCGTGGAAATATACCACGATCATATATTTATATTGTCATACGCAGCGCTGGAATACAGCTGAGAGTGAGCATTCATAACTCACCAAAGCTCAAAGAAACCCAGACCAACGCCCGTGTCCATGCCAAAAAAAGGAGAACAACGTCAGGATAGTTCATGTTGTAATAACAGTGTAACATTGCCGAAATCCGTCGTCTATGTGCTGCAGTCAGCTGAAAGCGCCGGTGCAAGCACGACGTGTTATTTATTGCCGTCCTCTGAGCCCCAGAAATTGCTACAAAACATTTGCTGCTCGTGGTTCCCTCCCGCCAGCCCCCGCGGCATCGATGAGATCATTGTTCAGCCCATCTTGTGACTCCTCTGTCTCCCGGCCGTCGAAAAAACGCCGCCACCACACAGGCGGATCCAATGGGCGAGACCCGTTATGGAGAGGAGGATAGACATCGTTGAAAAAATACCAAATGTGGCCTATGACTACGCCCATGATTTCATCTCTCGGGATGGACCCATGCATGAAAAGGCTGAAAGCCATGAGAACCCATGGTAAATATGGCGCAGAAAATATCAGGAGCCCGAGAAAGCTGAGTCTGGTGTCAGGGTTGCGCCGAGACCAAATGTACACCAGTGTCGAAGAGAGTGGCTGGCCGAGAAATGGCATGGAGACCAAAGGCGACAATACGATGAGACTAGTCATGGCATAGAAAAGAAGCCAGGAAAAGTGAGCGGGTGATCGGCCTGATGACTCCTCGAGTAGTCGGGCGTATCGCTGTAGAAAATATATGTGAAATAGCAGGTCGAGGGAGAATGGTCCAAAATACAGGAATGTGGTGAACAGACGCCAAAACTGAAGCCAGACATTAGCCACGGAACGAGTGAGATATCCAGGATGATCCAATTCAGAACAAAAATTCCACCTACGCCCAACCGTAGGGAGGCATACCGAGCTGGGTATCTATCGAAGGGGCAGGATAAATGGGAAATAGACTGTGCTCACATACCTGTGATTTGGAAAACACGGCACGAAAGCTGTAAAAAAGTTGAAACGGAGTGACCATGTGGCACTGGACAAGAGCACTTGTCACGATAGTTGCGGCTGTCCACCAACGGGTACACACAGGCATTTCCCAGAACCATTCTTCCAGTGGCAAACGGCCGCCATCCATGACTTGATCCATGATGAGCGACTAGATCAGCGATTGTTTCCGAGTCTGACTATCCACTCGAAGCCCCCAGCCTTGCTGGTGACGGATCTAAACGTCTGCGCTGGGGCAGACAGAAAATACGGACGGCTTGGAGGAATAAAATTCAATCGTAAGCGACCTCATTCATTTCAGTTACGTTGCATCCTGAGATAGGGAAGGTTTAGAATCAGGAACAAACAGCTTCTTGCTCGGAGTGGTCAAGCGGGTCAACTAGTATTATGTAGAGGTGGCCTTTGTAGAGGTTGTGTGCAAGAAGGTAACGTTAGTACGTACCCAGCTAGGTTAAGGACCAGGCTGCACCAGGCCGACATTACATAACACGACCTAACAGCTCGGGGAGGACCCGGGGTACCTGCACTGTGTCATTACTGTGCACAAAACTTTACACTGGCCTGTGCGGGCTACTTATTGCAACGCGTGAAGTTCGCGGTCCGACGTGCCGGCACGGCATGACCGACGTTGTCATGAATGTGTTCAGCAAAATACTTTCTCAGACTGAATCTTAAAATTGCATTAACTTCCAGCATTTCCGCATACTTTGGGTGGATCCTTCTACCTCCCACTCACCACTCGCTTACTCACTCACTGTATCTAAAATATCAAGAAACGTTGAGTGACTTCCCCTGAGACCTCAATTTACGACGGACCTTCTAACTTCATTTCGCAGTTTACCCCATTCGATCTTTTTGAGTCACATGGGGAGCTACTGGCTCCTCTACCTCTTGGGACATGGCCATGAAGGCGAGAAAAGTCAGGCCAACCCCGAGATGGAACCCTCCTCGGCCTGGGGATATTCAAGGTTTGTGATGAACGTTCCCTGCCGCATAGAATATATATATATATATATATATATATATATATTATGCGTATACTGACCCTTGATTTATCTGACTACCTTAATAGCTGGTGATCCTGTTCCTATCAGACAAAAAAGACGGTACCGCCCCGGTACAACAGCTCTTCGTGAAATCAGACAATACCAGGGTACAACAAAGCTTCTGCTTTTAAAGCTCCCATTTATGCGCTTGGTGCGTACGTATGAATTGTCCGATGTCTATGTGTCTCTACTTACACGCCGATTATGTAGGTGCGCGAAATCGGCATGAACTGTCGACCAAGAGGTAGAGAATTCCGTTGGCAGAGCCAGGCTGTCCAAGCGCTGCAAGAAGCGGCTGAAGCCTTCATGGTTCACTTATTTGAAGACGCCCAGTTGTGCGCCATTCATGCGAAAAGGGTAACCATTATGCAAAAGGACATTCAACTTGCCAGACGAATTCGTGGTATCTGGGCGGGCTTGGGCTAGGCAGAAACTCGATACTTTGGCTAAAGAGTTTGGAGTTTCAAGACAACTCCAGTGTCTGGTACTTGAACGTTGGTCATTATCGACTTCGGGAAGCGTGGTTTGCTCTTCGTGTACGGAGAGTTCCTTGTCTCTACAGGGATGCATGTGACTTGAACCCGTTTGCCTATCCTGTCATGCCGCACCTCTCATTGTCGTGAGCAAACCAGGAAAAGTTGAAACGTCGGTCGCTGTGATCGTGTGAATCCAGGGATATCCCGATATAGTTAGCATGTGCGTTCGTGGATTGCCTCGCGGTCACCCGAGATGGATGCCGCAGCGCGTTACCCCATGTCGGCGAACGGAGGGATGACGTAATTGAGTCTCCATTCATCGCACACCCCTCTTACCTTGTCCAGAGATACTGGCCACACTTCCTTACACCGCATATAGATAGGTAGCTTTCCTATTCTATACGCTTTACGATGAACCGTATTTTCCTCCTTCCCAGTCTTCGGCGTCCCGCCCGACTCCTAGCCATTGGAGCTGGCACATGTGTTTGCACCGCCAGCGCAATCCTATTAAGCCAGTCGAATACCCGGCTTGATGCCCGGCCAGTAATCCATGCGGCCTCTGGACCACCACGGAGTCAAATTCGACGCCTTGGGGTATCACCTGGGGCTGTTCGACAAGTATCTAACGGTAGTCTTGCAGGTTAGCAACTTCCTTTATGACCTTCTGTCAATGAACGCCCCAGACATTGCTGATACGATTCCGTTCTCCGCAGGCTTATTAACAGGACTTCTGACGGCCTATTTTTCTCGAACACTTGTCTTCCTTGGTGGTGCTATTGCCCTATCCATCCACGTGCGGAAAGCCCCTTCCCTTTCCCCTTCATAATTTAGCTAGCTAGTGGACCTGAAAAATCCCACAAAACAAGGCCTTGCTCGAGCTGTGAGCTTCACATGCCACTTACTAACCGAACCAGTTTGCTTCTAGATATGGGTATGACCTGTCACACCTGCCTGGGGTTGGTCGAGTTCCCGGATTATTCGCCATTTGTCACGCTTGCGCAAGAAGTCCATGGTTCACAGCTACGTTTGCTGTAACATATATATTGGCTGCGTTTGTTCGCCTTTGAGGGACAATGAATGCTGTGGTTCTTTTTGACGATAGGAATAAATGTGTCTACTCAATTGGTCTTGTCTCCCGTGTAAGCCAAGTCATTGTCAAGTCATCACCTTTGAAAAATCCCCTAGTGCTCTTCAGGATTTCGTCATTGTATGCATTCAGCCAGCCTTTTTCATCTGCAGTAAGCATGTCCTTCTGAATCAAGCGTTGACAATAAGGCACCATGGTGACATGTTCAAAGCCCAGGTACGGCTTGTCTCCAAAGCAGTGTTCCGTCTGAACCTCCCTGACCATCATGATATTCTCGATCCGAATACCAAAATTTCCGTCTTCGTAGTAGCCCGGCTCGTTGGAGAGCACATTGCCAGGCGCCAATGGGACTTCAGTGTACTGTACGCGGGTTCCAATACCAATTGGGCCTTCGTGAACGTTGAGATACGAACCCACGCCATGGCCCGTGCCATGCCGATAGTCAAACCCGTTTTTCTAAATTCAGGGAGCGTCAGCGAATACAATTGTCAGACCGTTAAGAATATACTAACCCAAAGATGCTGGCGAGCTAGACAGTCCAGGGCAAACCCCGTAGTCCCTTTAGGGAAGACTGCTGTGTCAAGACCGATGAGACCTTTGAGGACAAGCGTGTATGCTGTCTTCTCATCGTCACTGGGCTTCCCAAAGTGCAGAGTCCTTGTTGTGTCTGTTGTCCCATCTCGATACTGCGCTCCGGAATCGCAGAGATACACGCTTCCCGGGTCTATTATTGCGCAGCAACCTTTCTCAGGGCCATAGTGAATAATTGCTGCACTATTCGGGCTGTACGTCAGCGAACAACTGCAAGGGGCGCAAGAGACATAGACCTGACGTGTGTCAATTGCCATGCGTTGGGTTCGGTTCTTACTTTGCTCCGGTGGCAGATATGGTGGGAAACGACAGGCCGACGAAGCGTTGATGTTTCGATCGCAGTTCTTCAAGTTTGTCGGCCGCTTGCACTTCGTCGATAATGACCTTCTTGTGGAGCAGCTGGTCCTCTAGCCAAGCAAAGAACTCGATTAGGGCAGCTCCGTCTCTGACATGGCAGGCTCGCATTCCACTCATTTCAATTCCGTTTTTTATGGCCTTTGCATCGCCGACTGGGCTCCTTATCTCTTCCACTGAGCCGTCGCCACCAAGCGCTCGGCTCATTGCCCATGAGCCCTTGTTCGATATGAGAAAGTTGCCTGCCACAGTATCGTCTCCACCAGCCTGCCGCTTTAACTTGACCTCAGTGTGCAGCTGGCGGGCATCGGGGAAGAAACAGTCATAAGGTTTGACCTGGACCCTGTTCGCCCGCAAATGCGCCTTGCAGGACTCGTCCAACTTAGATTCGTCAACGTATAGGATTGCTGCCTCCGGCGTAATGGTGGCATATGAGAAAAACACGGGGTTGTATGGTATGTCATTGCCCCGGAGATTGAAGAGCCACGCAACCTCGTCCAGCATGGACACAAAAAAGCCAGGACAATTTTTTTTGGCCAGTTCCTGTCGCAGTTCCTCGATTTTTGTCGTGACCGACTTCCCGGCAATCTCGTCGGGTAAAACCCTGACTGGTCGACAAGGTCGATCGGGGCGGCTGTCGGCCCAGGCTATATCTACAATGTTCTCATCGAGGGGAACCAACTCAGCACCGCCAGCTTTGCGGACCTGGTCATTGAGTTTCTTCGCAGCTGACCCGGGGAGGAGTGACGGGTCGACGGCCACTGTTTTCCCTCCCGCGGACTGGCTAGCGGCCCATTCTTGCCACGTGGGAACATCCTGTAGTCCTTGCTTCAGTAAGGTCCAGTTGCTGTCTAGCTGTTTGGCAGCTTGATTGAAGTATCGACCATCCGTAGCAAGCGCGGCGGCCCCAAGTGTGACGATGGCACACCCTGCCGAACCCGTAAACCCACTTATGAACTCCCGGCGGGCATCACAGGCGGCGATGTATTCTGAGCTGTGGCTATCTTCGGACGGGATAACTAGAGGTTGACGTGTTAGGGCGGTCGACGTCAGTTTGTTTGCAGGGTAAATTCAAACGGTCAGATTGCAACCTACCGTATACATGGATCTTCCTTTCCCTCATCAGGTCCCTCAGCCTTGTGAGCCGCGGGGAGGAATTCGCCATGTCTGTGGTTGCACGACGCTTTTGGTGATTGTACAGATGGTATACTCGTAATGTGCGTGATACAGCGGGGGTTGGTCGGACGAGCATGGGCCGACCTATTGTTGTGCCAGCTGGCGGTTATTTATGTAAACAGTTGTTTTTCTCTTGTGTGAGGCTCTACAGCTGAGGAGCCTGTGTTGTTTTTGTCTGTGTGGCCCGGGAGGGGAGGATATTTGCATCCTTTAAGTAGCAGCGTGGTTTCGGGCCAGTCAGGCGCTTCTTGGCCGCGGAAAGGGGCGGCTCTGGACAGCCCATGGTACAGTTAGGTGATGACAAGGCGGGAAGAGCGGGTCAATGCAGTTCGCGGAATGGTGGGCCGAGCATTTGCATCACGACGACGAGAACAATTCCTCTGCAATAGTAGTAGATCTAGTATATCATCACTCGGCCAATCACGCCGGGGTTTGTAGCCAGACAAAGCTGCACATAACATGAAACTAAACCCACTGTACTCCAGTGCAGTAAATAACTACCAACAAGCAAGTTGTGAAAATTCGTCGACATATTGATTGGTGGTGGGATTTCGACCTACCAACAGAACGTAAACGCGGATAGCAAATGGGGTGTCATTCGCGCCAGCTCGGGTGAATCTGAAGACGGGGGGGTAAGCTCTGGCTCTACATTGACAATGATGTCAGGTGTCTACCGACAGAAGTATCCAGCAACAGTAAACTATTCGGCCAGGGAATGAAAGGGCCCGGGCTTGCGCTGCAACACATGAGGTATGGATCTGAGTACCTGCTTACCCAGGTAGTTACTTAAGTACTTACTTAGGCATCCATCGCTTCATTGTCTGAGTCAAAATGACAGTAGCCCGGTGGCCTCTTCCCTGACAATTGCCCCACTCTTGTCAACCACCTGACAGTAGGTCTACTGTCTAACTACCCGCTCACTAAATGTAGGATTTTACGCCTCTCTGTTTTCTTCCTCTAATACTACTAAAAAGTGCTGCTTAGATATGAAATAATAACACTTTCGATTTACTACTATATATATATCCCTTTTGCAGCCGGAGAAAGTAGATCTACTGTCATGTCTACTGGTATTATGCATAAGAGTGGAGCCATTGTCTGGTCAACTAGTCGTAAGGCGTCCAGCAACATGCGTGGTCAGGTCAGCTCCAATTGTCTATGCAGGGACGCAAGCCTATACACATCACGTATCGATCACCTCAGGCCAAGTTCGGCTCCTGATACATCAGCAGAGCTCCCGCCAGCTCAACCAATTACTCAGGATCCGAGAGGAGAATGCGAATAGCCAAAGCGCCACCAACAAAGTATCAGTCCCCCTCTGCCGGCTGTTTAGCGAGAGAGACACGGCCCCTTTGACCCGGAACTTCACGTCCTACACTCGAACCGCCTGGTAAAATCGAACAAGATGCAGCGTCTCAGCAGTAAATCCACAGCCACACTACCCAGGGTCGTGTTCTCAGGAATACAGCCCACTGGCATACCACACCTGGGTAACTATGTTGGTGCTTTACGGCAATGGGTGCAGCTGCAACACTATGAACCCAAGGACACAAAACTGATATATTCTATTGTCGACCTCCATGCCATCACTACGCCCCAACCACCGGAAAAGCTGAAGCGGTGGAAGAGAGAAAGCCTTGCCGCGCTTCTAGCCGTAGGAATTGACCCAGAACGCTCCATCGTCTTCCATCAGTCGTCAGTGAGTTCCCAAACAACGCCCATCCCAAGACGTACGTACGCAAGCAGCCCGAAGCCAGATGGCCTAACAAATACATTGCAATGATGTCAGGTGCCTGCTCACTCAGAGCTCATGTGGATCCTAGCCTGTACGGCGTCTGTTGGATATCTCTCTCGGATGACTCAATGGAAGGTGCGAATGCTGCCCCTATTGATCGACGAAAAGGTCGTTTCTTTAGTGCATTGGCTGAACCAGGCCAGCAAAAACTCAACCTCGCACCAACTTCACACGTGGCGGAACGGCCGGCGGAGAGCCGATTAAAGCTCGGACTTTTCTCCTATCCAGTCCTCCAGGCTGCCGATATTCTCGTGCACAGGTGTGTGGCTACACCCTAATCGTGGCGAGAGCCTACGGTTGAATTGAACTCGCAATTTCACAGAGCCACGCACGTTCCCGTTGGACATGATCAGCAACAACACCTCGAATTCGCCCGTGAGTGCGTCACCAATTTTAACCACGCATATGGAGAATGTCTAGTTTACCCGAAAACTATTACTTGTAAGCGTCACATGTGAACCCCGTCTGCTCCATTACCATAGACTCATCGCATAGTCTATCCAGCCCCGGTACATCGAGTTATGTCCCTCTCAGACCCAACATCGAAGATGTCCAAGTCACATGAAATGGCTCGATCTCGAATTCTGATCACAGACACCCCTGACGAGATTCGGCTGAAGATTTCCTCGGCCTTGACTGACTCGGTCCAAGGAATATCTTATGATTATGCTCTGAGGCCGGGCATATCAAATCTCTTGACCATATTCTCCATGTTCGACGCCGAGAAACGAAGCCCCGAGCAGCTTGCACAAGCATATCGTGACATTCACCCCCGCGTGTTCAAGGATATGGTATCAGATGCGATTATTCTCGGGCTACAGTCAATTAGAACTCGGTATACGGAACTTATTGACGGCGATACCCGCTACTTGGATTACGTGGCTGCTGAAGGTGCGCGAAAAGCATTGCATAGCGCGGAAGAAACAATGAGCATGGTCCGAACAGCTATAGGACTGTAATCACCCCTCGCTGTCAGCATTAGGATTGGATAGTAGGAGGGCCTTTGCCTTCATTGCCTTTGACGACGGGATTTGCCTGTGGTGGCGCTGCTGGCTCTGTGAGCAAGGTGATCGTAGACGCCGCCTTTTCGGGCTCCAGAGCCACGGGTCAGGGAGCGCATCAAGGTCTGGTCGAGGCGTTTTGCAACAATACAATGTCATGCAGTAATATAATCGGGTGTCGAATTATGCTTCTCACAGTTTTACTCAAGGCCAACATTCATGTGACGCCTGTAGATGCGAATGTGATGCGCTCGGTCTTGTTAATGTATGGAAATGCATGCAAGATGGCCCAAGAAAAAGTCTCATGCTCTTTTCGGCTATTCTTCTCACTCCAGAGCCAAAAGAAACGAAAGTTTTGTTGCCTTTGGGTTTTGAATGTACATCCAACTCCCAAAATTCCTTTATTCACATGCACAACTTCATAATGTCAAGAAGCGTACGCGAAACTACTTCCCCGGGCGGACAACCAAAAATCACGCACAACCTGGTTCGTAGCTCGAGAGCCCCTGAGACTATTATTTGAAGCAAACTTAGCATACTGACGGGCTAATGCGAAAGGTACAAGCGCAGACTTGCCTTATTATCTTCTTGACAAATAATGCCTTTTGTTCCGATGTCACCTTGGAACTCGGGAATGAAGTATGGTTGAGCCCGTCGTGTAGCCACTCTTTTGCCAAAGGATAACAACTGACCAGTCTTTTGATGGGTTCGCTTAGTCTATCCAGTTCGCTCCTTGAGGCTTGACCTCCAATATTTCTGACCAGACTTCGAGTCAGGAGAGGACCAAGAGTCCCCATCGCCTGCTCTGCTGCATCTGATGCTTCTGGGCGATTACCCCTTAGTGCTATGAACGTTGTCTAGTAATGACGAATCATTAGTCCTCAGCTGCTAGCTCGAAGAACTGTGAAGCTTTCACTCCAAAGGGAAGGAAAAGTAGTCAAACAAGGTAGACTTGTCAAAACAAAAAGTCCAACAAAGTGTGGAATGTCAAATCTCCACGTATGCAAGATAGTCGGGATACATACCCAAAACTCCGCCGCCGCCGCCTTCGGTAAGGGCTCACTATCGTCTAAAACCCGTATGGCGAAGATGAAAAAGTACTCAGCGGCAGTTGTTGGCTGTAGGGTGAGTAGGGTTGTCGGGCTCTTGCTCAGCAACCGGCAAGCAAAATCGATGCTACTTTGGGATAACTCGGGATCTTGCTCTGCGCCCATTGCAGTCGGAATTGAAATCATGAAGACGTTAGTGTCCCGATAAGCGTTACGTAGACAAGCCAGTATTTTCTTACCCGATGATTGTTGAAGCAGACGTATCACCCACAATAGCAATGTTGTATATACTGCTCCTTTGTTGGGATTCCGCTGTGCATATAGCGAACTGACAAACGAGCAAGCAGTGGAAACAAAGATCCCTGGCCTCGGAGTATTTGTAACGTGATTTGTCAAGTATCTGGTGACATCCTGGAAACCAAGCACAAACGGTCCTGGTTCACTTTCCGAGAAGCCACAACGGAGGACGGCACAAACGAGTTCGGGGATCTCGTTATCCCTACCAAAGATATCTTCAATATCCATGATAATCTGAAGAACTTGTTTGTGAAGCCCTTCCAACTGGCCATTATAATCAGCTTCCGACGGGTTACTTGCGTCAAGATCAATGGCCGACTCTGCTGGAGCCTGGAGACCTTTCCCGACGCCAACTAAACAGCGCAGAGTCCTTAGTGCCACATGAAGACCGGCTGGTTCGTCAGGGGAATTTTCTACGCATCTCTGACCAGAACATGGCAGTTTGGTACGTAAGGGAAGCTGAACTAGTTCAGTTGCGCGATTGCTATCGTTTCGAATAAAGTCAAGTAGCCTTGTGCATGCGTTGTATCTCCGAGGAGCGTCGGGAATCGCTTGCGTAATGGATGCAATGGCAGCAAGGACTCTCTCGGCGGATACACAATCGAGTTTCTGTTGCTCAACTAAGTTCTCATACTCATCGAGGAACCCGTACGCTTCTGAGTGAAGGTGATGCCGACAAGAGGAGCATAGTCGAGAAATTGATCTTGATGCTGGGGCTGCCATAGACGGATTGCCCAGCAGACTGAATAAGAGCCTCAGAGCGGGGGCAAGGGAAGAGATATTTCGTTCGAAGTAGTCCGTATATTGTTCTATAAGATGAAGACATGTCTGGCTTGTCCGCAAGGTGACATCGGTATTCGGAGACGAGATATGCGAGAATAAAGAAGATTCAAAGACCGTTTTAAGTTCCTGGTCTAGGCGTACATCGTCCTTGCCACAGTCCGCAAGGCCAGCAAGACAGAAGGCAGCTGTTTCTAGCTGTAACCAAGCGCAGTCGTTTAATGCAGTGAGTATAAGACTGGAAAATGTGGCTACCAGCTGAAAGCCTGATACACTAAATGCGGACTGTAGCAGGTCAATAACATCCTTTCGAGCATCTGAGAAACCAACTCGATCGGAAGAGTCCCACTGGCTGAATTCTTCCGCTGGGGGGTAAGTGATTTTGCGACATGCGACTGAAACGACTTCGAGAACCTGGAATAACGCCGCCTGCGCCCAGGGTGTGGCAGAGAGATCATCCAAGGAGAAAAGATCTGACATGACTTCGGTGAAGGTGGACCAGAATTCGATCGCTGGCACGAATACTCTGTTTTCGGCAACAGGATAGCCATCGGCGCCAAGCAAGCCGCATAGTCTGGAAAGCAAGACCTTGCCTCGAGGGTCTTCAGATTGCATTAGCCACTGGCATTTTTCTTCGCCAAATGCCAGGAGTAGCTGCCCAAATTGAACTGATTCGAATTCCATATCGCCTTGAAGGAGACGGTTGTAACGTTCATCTGCCCAAGAACTCACGAACAGGGCTGCCAAGAGGTTGAAATGATGATCTGATAGCAGGGCAGGATAATTAGACAAGGTATCTACAAGTAGCTCAGCTGAAGCACCGAAGCGATCCTCAGGAACAAGAGACTCTATAACACTAGGCATCAGGTTTCTCAGTAGGGACACCACGTGACTGTCGCGACAGGATATTCTCTGAGCAAAAGAGATCCATGACTAGTTATGGATGTGTTAGAAAATGAGAGCGCTTTGGTTGCATTTGCAGTAGTGGACTGGAATACCTGAAGACACTTAATACTATCGTTGCTGACTGCAGCCAACTGGGTCTCGGCTAAACCTTTGAACAATAGAGCTGCTACATCGGTGGCTTCCCGAACAACGGAGTTGTAAAGTTGGACCCTTGAGTAGATAAGTATCTGATCGCTGTGCGTCGAGTTTGGACTTACCTATCCGCCGTATTCCAGTCAACCCTGATGACATCCTCCACGATGCTCGTGACGACCCATAAGATGGCTTGTAGTTTGTCCGGATCTAGCGCACCCCAGACAGCGGATATCTCTACGGAGGACTGTAGAGATAGAGGATCATGATACTTCCGTGAGACTAGGCACATGCTCATGTGGCGAACGAAACTTGGCCATAATTGATGGAAATGGATGAAGAAAGTTGCTAGGGCTGATGACAGTTTGCGTGGCACCAAGGGACCGCAATAATGCTCAAAAGAATCACGATACCATCCAATGAGATGTTCGAGTAGTTCTCGTGCATTTTCTTCGCTAAGTGTTGAGCTAAGTCAACTATTAGCTTGAACTTGTTTACATCGGGAGAGCATTCGGCATGGCCAACCTCTCTGTGTTGAGCTTCACGATAATGGTGAGAGCGCCAAAGAATTTTCCCTTCTCTCCCGGTCGCCTAAGAAGCTCATGCGCCAGAATCCATGCCTGAGGAGAAGATTGGAAGTTGGATAGTAGAGCTTGCGCCTCGGCGACGGCATTGGGCTTCCCAGGCTCATAGAGTGAGGAGATCAACTATTGTAGGCTTTCTCAGCAAAGACTGGGCGCATAGAAACATAGGATATAAGGAAAAGGAACCCGTGAGTATTAGCGAGGCCACTTACAGATTCAACTCTGTCAAGATTCCAGGGAAGGGTGTCGACTTCCATTGCTTCGATTCCTTATTCATATGTCACTGGAGCCGTTTGACATGATAGATGGACCGATGGATGGATCGTGAGAACATTGCTCGCCAGAAGTGGGGTGTGCACAGGCCGAAAATGGCCCCGCGCTCGTCCTCCACCAAGATCGTCCTGCATGCCCAAGATTGATCCTCCGCTAAATCGAAATAACGCCATGGAATCTGATTTCGCCGACAAAGCTTGCCTGTCTACAAGAATTTCACTAGTGCGTCCCTAATGGTTACCAGTTGGTCGGCTCAATAACGACACATCAAAGAAACTGCTAGAATTCCCCGCCGTTTCTGACCTTGGTCCGTGATGTAACGGAGCCTTTAATTGCGGACCCTCATGAATAAGAAGTTTGTGACGGCGCTCAATACGTTCAGAAATCAGGTTGGTCAAATGCTCATGTAGCCTCAGTTGAAACAGTACAAGCTGTCACAGTGTAATAACACAAGGCGCTCAGGTAGGCAGGTACGGAGTAGTTAAAACACAATTGGATATCAAAATCATTGACCGAATTTCAAAGAGGGAGTTTCCCCCATCGTAGATATACCAGCGAACAGAGAAATAAATAAGACCCAAAGGTGAGCATTAGTTGAGTGTAGAGCCAAATCGCTCAACACTAGCCTCGTGAGATCGAAAAATTGCTACTTCCGTCTGGTATTTCCATTTTACTTCGAGAGTCGAGTTTGGTTATGTAAGCAGCGATATTTGTTGATATCGTATGTGATGAACCCTGCTACTAAATTATGGCGCAGAGGCGGAGATTGCAGATGGTAATCCAATCATGGTACCATCGACATGTGGGTAGAAATACAATGCAAACCGCTTGTAAATACATATGATACATAGAGGACGCCAAAATACACCAGCGTCGCTCATTTGTGTGTAGCCAGTGGTTGTCTTAAGCCAGCCGCATCCTTGGAGCGACGGCTATTCAGCATCTCTTCGACCTTTTCCGGAGTGCCCAAGCCATCTATTTGTCCCAAATGGGACCAGACATCACCAAGCTGACCCAGCTGCTTCTCTCGCACGTCCTTCGAGAGATCGAGACCTAGCTGGCCGAATTCCCAAACATTGGCCTTCATTCCGACACCATAAAGCTGACGCTTTCTTAGGTACGCCAACCAAAGTTGCACTATTTCCGGATTCCCATCCCTGATCTGGATCATTCGACGCAAAGTGACACGTTCAAAATTCTCTTGGGCCTTCTTGAAGATAAAATGGCTTTTGGGCACGGTCCATCGTTCCGTAATCCTTGGCAGTGGAATGGGCCCGTAGGCTGGCAATCCGAGGTAATAGGCAGCTCGTAATGCGAAATCGGAGAAGAATTCGAGTGGTTGGACGCTAAACGATCGCAATTGCAGGTCGCACGATGGTATTCCAAACTCCGCCTCCCGCTTCAAAGGTTTGAGGTGCACAGCCTGGAGGGACCTGAGTTGGCGAACTTGGCCTACTTGGATGGCTTCAACGCACGACACCGAAGTGGAAGAAATGGGCTGGGAATTAGATTCTAGATCTGAAGTGCTAAGAAGTACCGTTAGCACGGACACAGCTTCACAAACTGGTAGCGTTGCTTGACAAACATAGATGCAAAAGCTTTTCTTGACGTCCCAACTGGAGCAGGAGGGAAGCTGGTCAATACCGCCCTACATTTGGACCTCAAGAATGAGCCAGGCATTGTCACGCTCGGGGATCAAGCCAAGACGTGGTTGAAGTCTATCGCTCTAGAATGTTGATGTCGCAAGGAATGGCAAATACGAGCAGAAAATATGAGCCGCACGGACCAACATACGGTTGCTGCCCACCAATTTACTAATCATCCTTTTAGATTGGGGCGCGTTTAACCAGGGTACATGACAGCACGTTCCATTTTTCTGTGAGCACCCGTGATGCATCCACAAAATGTTGCTCATCAAATTCATATCTATCTTTAGTTTGACCATATTATCCGCATAACTCGTCGACAGTTCTTCTGCAATATTAGCTTAGCTTAGCTACGCATCTCTTCCTCCAGCTCCCTCATTCATCCGTTGGTACAAGCCGTTATTGTTGCATACATCCGCGGCTTCTTTCATCTTGAAAGATGACTCAAATACATGACGTCTGTCTGTCAGCGCACTGAGACAACACAGCAGCCGCCCGATGAGTCGTTCATTACCCGAGAACAAAAACCGGCGGAACAAAAGCCATGGGACTTTGATCGAGAGCGGTCCATTCTAGTCAAGAACTGCCCTGTAATTCTTCAAATTCACCTCTTCCGTCGTTGTGACACAAGTCTTTGATAGAACGCTTTTTTCCCAGAAGCCTTCGTGCGCTGTATTCCTGCGTATTTTGTCTGTAATTTCTGCCTGTCCACGGCTCCTATCATCTCTTCTGCTAGAGTAATTTTTCGATCTCTTTTTGTAAGCCTGGCGCTGAAGAAATCCGCTGGACCGGAAACGATTTCTCCGATTTGGGAATATTCTGGTGCAGCTGCCTTAAGAGTCTTTTTTTGATGCTTCGGGTCTAGTAACCCGCGCATTCGTAAAAGCTGCCATTCGCGTTTGAATTGTGGGGTAAAGGTTGTCCTGGGTAAATTGAACCACTCAGACCCAGCAGTATTCTGTGGATTTGGGGTTGGCACAGGTAAGCGCTTGCAACAAGAGTAAACGGACTAAGCGGTGCAATGACAGGGAAAAACACAGCGAAGGATTCAGAGTAACTATGATATAATGAAAATCATGAAGCCCTGGGATCGTGACCCAAAACGGGTACTAGTCCCAAGTCAGGGTGCCGAAAACAGCGATTCCTCATCACCATCTTACTGCAGAGAATGTCGAACAGGGCCAGGATGAATTTATAAAGGCCAAAGAGGACGAAGTGATAGGGTATAGTGCTGTCAGTATATCCGTACCTTATTCTTTTCCGTTACACAGGACTGGATTTGAGGCTGGCGGACAGAAAGTTTTTCTTCTCTGGATCTAGGAGCGCGTAGACTGTCGGGAGTTTTGACCGTACATGGTGATTGATCATGCTGTGGTGTTGACGATGACTGTGGTTTGAGTCGTTGTTCAGCCTGATAAAGCAAATCATCAATATTGCCATCTATCATGCTAGGCATTGCACCGAAAAATATATGCCCTACCGCCTGCGGTACGACATGTCGTGAAGTGGCCCCTTTGAAAGAAGAGGATTGTTTGTGCGTCAATTGACAAAGAAAAATGTTATTATGAGCGTGGGGAGAGCACAGTGCTATGTAATACGTTCTGTCCAATCAGAGACGAAACAACTTGGCCCCGCTACGTGCTGGTGGTTGGGACACACGGTTGGTTGGTCGAGTGAACCTTGCCTAAACGGCCTTGGGCGTCTGTGCCCACTACTCTACACCTACATCGTCTCAATCGGCGCATCTTGCCTTGGTCTCTCGACGACGAACATAATTGACAGCCTTTGATAATCACTGTATCTTCATCCGAAACCCCCATCCTCAAGAGTATTGATACAGGAGACTTGGAGCGCGAAGACTATTCAAATACTTTCTTAGTCTGCGAAGTCGAGATCCGACGCTAAAACGACAGCTTGACGTGCCATCTCATTTCTGTTGACGGCAACATAATCAACGCTTGGAATGGATACGCAAGCCCAGTCGCAGCAGTCCCATGCACAGCCGAATCGTTCGGCTCCAGCCTATGATCCTAGCCATGGCGGACACTATGGTAGGAACTCCTACACTCCCCAGCTTTCGCGGAATTTGCTAACTATTCCGTCGTAGGTGCATGCGCAGCAGTTCGTCCAATTCTATCCAACCTCAGTTATAGTACTCTAACTCTCTCTCTTTGTTTTTAGCTCGCATCTCAAGGCTTTGCACCGGCTGAGCTTTACACTGGCCCTTGGGCAAATGTTGGTGTCGTTCTCCTTACGTGCTGCACGCTGACCCTCTAACCGTGTCGACTGTGTAATAGGTCCATCAAGGGTTAACTGGCCAATATAAAGACATCTTAACGACATATTGGCAGCAAACTATAACCCACTTGGAAAGCGATACACATGACTACAAGATTCACCAATTGCCACTTGCGCGTATTAAGAAGGTAATGAAGGCTGATCCAGAAGTAAAGATGATTTCGGCCGAGGCGCCAATTCTTTTTGCCAAAGGATGCGATATTTTTATCACTGAGCTTACTATGCGTGCTTGGATTCATGCTGAAGAGAACAAGCGCCGGACTCTCCAGCGCTCAGACATTGCGTCAGCATTGGCTAAATCTGACATGTTCGATTTTCTAATTGACATTGTTCCAAGAGAGGAAGCCTCTTCTCATGCGAAAAGAACTTCTGCACAGTCTGCTGGAGGCCCACAGTCTGTACCTGCACCCCCAGGGCAAGCTCAGATGACTGGTCAGCATGCCAATATGGCTCAGTCCAACCATGCCTCACATGCCATGGCCACGGCTGAATATATGGGGGGCCACCATCTTCCCACTGATCAGGACTATCGACAGAATCCAAACATGTATGCTGGCCAGGTACCTCCCGCACCGTCAGCAGCTTATGGTCAAGCCCAAGCGCCGGCAACGATGTACGGCGAGATGGAAGGCATGTACCCATACTCTGCCATGCAAGCGCAACAGGTAAGAATATATCCTTTCTAATCACTTGTCTAGCCCTGAACTAATTTGTGGTGTGTTAAAGGCGCCAATGGCGTCCGAAGAATTTGAGTAGCTGAATTTGCAATCGACCAATTCGCCGCTGCGCCGAAGTTTGACCCGTGGGGAGCTCTGCATCGCCTTTGTATATATGGCGTGACGGCGCGACGTGGCAGGTATTTACAGTTGTTGTGTTGCTTGGGTAGGCGCATATTTGTTTGGATTGTTTTGAAACTTTAACCGGTTTTGTTAAAGGTTATTGCGAACAAGTACGCTACTTGTGTCTTGTGTCTTTTGTAAGGTAGTCTTGAAAGAAGCAATTAAGTCTGTTTTCGGAAATGACTTATTTCATCATGCCAAACCGTGATGACAAATTTGACAGGGGTGCGGCTCTGCCAGCACCTTGCGATACAGGAATAATTCTGTTCAAGTTATCAGCAAACGCACATTCTGCGAAAGTACCAGACAACGCACTTTTCCAAGAGCATCGGACCATTTAGGGCATCTACGCGGCCGTATTTCTTGTTTCGAGTAGAGATATCAAAAAATTCGTCATGGTTATCTGATTCCATCAAGTTCACGGTCTGCTGAAGCTCATCCAGATTTTCGCGTAACATCTGCCCATTTTCTAGACTACTGACGAACTCAGTCAGGTACTGAACATCCAGTGCCAACGCAGCAACACCGTTGCTGTTGATATTATGGACTTCAGGAGACAGGGGCAGGGCCTAGGAATAGAAATTAGCGGAGAAGCTTCCTTGATGTGACATTATGGTGAGGCCTTAAGGCGCGAACCAGAATCTTATTAGCAGCGTGAGATAAGGCATCGAAGTAAATGAGCTCCTTAATCTCCCGTGGTAGCCCCAATAATGTCGAATTCATAATATTGGACAGGTAACGAGTCAACGTTTGCATATAGTTACTTGGCTCCGGTGCAACAGCCGCCGCCAACCTAAACGATGAAAATCAGCCATATCTCAGGCGGAAAAAACAAATGGCACCATTCTCACCAGTCATATTCTGCTGTGTCAACTAGGTCGTCAATTTTGCTATTGACGAGCTCGAAAATTCTTTTCTCAGCAGTTTTTTTGTTATTGCGAAACTCGTCGGTCGCGTTCAGTTTCAAGGGCCCGCCAGCCGAGCTTGACGATCGAGCACGGATAAGAAGCTGTTCAAGTTCTTGACACGCAATTTCGAAGTGCTCAAGATTGATGAGAATCTGTACAATTTGTCCCAAATACTGGGAAGAGAGTCTCTCAACCAATGATAGACAAACTTTCTCAGTGAGAAGCTCGTCTAGTGACTGTTCGATTCCATCAGCCAAGTGTGGTATTGTATAACCTTCGCGATGAGCAGTGTTTATGTACCTTTCGTAAAGTCTCGTCAATTACCTCTGCATGCTGGAAATGATCATCGGAAAAGAAATAAAACTGGTTGAGAAAATTTCGAACATCTATGCAGCACAAAGGGTACATCTGTGAGAAGGGTAACACACAAGGGAATCTAATGCGGTCAGTTGACGAGTGACGAGGCTCATTAATTTTTTGGTGACTTACATCACATCCTCGACAGCTTGACTTTGCATGAACCAGCTGACATTAATGACCTTTTCATATTCCTCGCGAGAATTAATCGCCATTGGCATGTAGTCGTCTGTAGATACAATCTATAAACAAGCATGATCATTAGTCGCACAGTGAAGAAAATTTGACAGCAGCCGCTCACCTCCTGAAAGTCTACACTGAATCGATGCTTCAGAAGCTCAGCATATTTGTCAAACAGTGTGAGTAAAAAGCTGTCAAGAGTCGAGATCGAATAACCCCAGCCCTGTGCGAGGTTAGGAAATAGCGATCAGTAGCTTGTCAAGGCACGTACCTCCATGGTCTGAACAAAAAGGGCGATGAACCCTTTTATTTTAAGAAGAACTTCAGCGTTATTCACGTCGTTTAGCGCCCGAGATGTCAGGCTTATGGCAGCACTGCACATTGACTCCCAAAGCTCTTCGATCTGTCAAAAGCGTATGCGCATGTTAGAAATTGCTCATAGGCTTAAGGGGGAGGTTGGTTGGGTGGTTGCGGACTCACGTCAGCTGCGGAACGCAATTGGGGTACACGACGCATGGTTTCTTTTTCAATGATAGCGAATCCTGCGATGCCCTCTAAAAGGCTGCTCAGTGAAGACTCGTCGTCGGTGAGTAGTTCAACTGAGCTGGGTAGAAGGAGATCTTTTTGCTGCCTTCTAGTAGCGGCATACTCTGCACGAAATCGATCACTTTGACCAAGTGCATCATGAATGTGCAATGCCTCGAAAAGGGGTTCGAAATTAATTTGCAACTCTTCATTGTCCAGTACGTCGAACTCTTCGCTTTCATCGCATACGAGTTCGATGGACGAATTGAGCTTGAAATTCGCTAGGAATTGGTCTTCCTCAACCCGCTTTCTCTGCCGGGATCGTCGCATTTCGGTGTGATAAAACGCCACTTCACCAAGAAATTGCGACGTCTCTCGAACTCTAAACAGCCATGTGTTAAGATCGGTCATGACAGCTTCCGAAATAGCCTTTCGCGAGCCAGGTATCGATTTTTGAATGACATCTGCTAAGCGATGTTGCGTAGCGTATCGATTTTGTAATATAGGAACTAAATGCTCGTTTTGCAAATCATCAAGAGATTTTAGAGCAGAATAATAGTTTTTTTGGCGAATTAGATCATGAGCGTGATTGACAGCATGGAGTACCTTCAGGGATTCCCTTAGGGCCTCAGTGGCATCGGCGATATTCTGTCGAATAGCTTTGGTATTGACCAGAGCACCTTTCTGCTCAGCTAGTTTCTCAGTGCTAGCCTGAATGGATTGATTGAGTTTCAAAATCTCTTTAGTGAGGTTGACAGTGTCTTCTCGAACATGTTGTAGCCTTGAGACTGAATCTAGGAATTGTTCGTGTTTGGTCAAGCCTATGCGTTCAATATCAGCTTCGCGGTCCTCGGCGTATCGCGTGAGGCATTGTAATAGGGCCTGCGTCCGTCGGGAGTGTGCTGCATCTTTGAGAGCCGGTATCAGATGATCGAGGAAATCGGAGTCGGTCGACGCGATGATGATCTAGTGAAGGTCAATGACGGAGTAATGATGAGGCACCGGCTTCCTAGAAGCTTGATGCACGAGCGCTTCGTACCTGCGGAACTGCAGAGCTGTAGTCGTCAAAAACAGCTTGGTGTCGTGGCATTATGGCATGTGCAGGCGTAAGTCTCTAATTGACGTACTCTGTGGTTTTCACCACACAAAAGGATGACGAACTGCTGTAACCAAGGCTTTTTGAAAGAATGGATTACTGGTCTCTGTGAAGAGTGGACCATGGTAGTATGCGTCCCACCCCACCTTATCCGATCTCACGGGACACTTACGGAGTTACAACTGCAAACAGAGCTGGCCACTCAGAATTGAGGTTTGAAATACTTTTCAACAATCTCAAAATCCAGCCCTACTTTTCGACATAAAATATATCCTGTCTAAGAATTACCGAAACGAAACGCAGCCTCGGCACAGTGTCTCAGACCGAAAAAAAAAAGGAGTTGGCAATTGATGCAAGCTACTGCTACTCAAACGTTGGGAACGACCGACTACTTCTATAAAGTACAAGAAGAGGCTTGGAGCTTGCATGTAAGCAGGAGATATTCTTTGTAAGCCGTCATTCCATAAAGAAGTCAGGACTATGTCAGACACCTTAGTATTACTTGCCTCTCGATTCGCATAGGCCTCACAGCCAGCCGTAAGAGTTACTCATTGCCTGCCTAGGTAGTTTGAGGAGCGGGACGTGCTGTGCGATGGTGGATGATGAAAACAGAATTTCGACCACTTGTCGATTATATGTTGGGCATGCAGTGAATGCGACGTGAGGAGGACGTCGTGGCAGATTGATGTCGAAGGGAAGGAAGGATCCGGGTACCTGCCCAGAAGCCAAATGAATGTGATGAAAGTCCCAGATGCTGGACAGGCGAGGCAGGTGCCACTGTCTCGCTTACTACCCATCTCTTCCTCCATGGCCACTTTTTATCCTGAATCACGCTTTTACTTCCGCATTTCCTCCTCTTGAGCCACCTTCGGGACTGTTGTAACGGGTTTTCTTCCAGCATTCTTGCACCTACGCAGGTCTTTGACCAGGATTTGATCTTCCTGGACGAAAGAAAGGTGCAATAACACGTCTGTATATCTGTTCTGTCATGGCTCTACAGCATGACAATCCATCGTCTTCTCCCCAGTCTTCAAGTGGGATTGAAGAATCACTCAAGGGGACACCAGACACACGATTGACGACAATTTCACCAGAAGGGACGAAAACGAAGACTACTAGCTTTCTTCATGTGCTTCCGCTCTCTAATTCAGTCACCACGTCGCCAGTGACAATGGGAGCAGCTGACAAGCAGTTTTGCCCTGGCGTCGGGCAGGAGAGGGATCCATTTGTAACTCCTCGCCATAGGGTCAGCACAAGATTGTCGCCGACTGCTTCTGCTTTCAACCCTTTCACCAACGTCAGCAGTCTCGGCGAAGCTATTAAATCCAACCCAGTTGCAACTGCACTCAGCACTGAGCTAGGGCTTTCCCGATGCCTTCTCGTCTCATCAGATACCCATTTGACGGCTGAAGAAGTCAACATTTGGTTGAATGTATGTCTGTAGCTCACTCAAAATGTATAGTTTCCAGAATTCACGCTTATATGACTCGATGTCAGGACCTCGATTTGCATGGACGGCGGTTTCATGGAAGTAGGAGCATTGATACGAAAAATGGAAATGTCTACGTGCATTTTCGAGACATACGAGATTCTTGCTCCACTCTTGCAACTACTCTGATGTCTAGGAAAAGCTGGAAAGTCGAATATTGTGGTTCTCTCTGCAGAGATCTAGTAAGAACCCTTTGTCCTGCCCTGTCCTATGCTGAGGTTAACGGCTGTTTGTAGCAAAATTCTGGCTCGGAGCCTGAATCTTCCGCATTAAGCACTGGTCAGATTCTTCTGGTAGCCACGGTCTCTCCCAGTGTCAGCCTTGATCTTGGACAGATATTCGATATCGCACAGAACTTTCTCCATTCTTACGGGCGCTTGTTTGCCTTTATAAAAATTCCGACTCCGCCAAAGACCCCTTCTCTTAGAGCCATTGCGGAGTTTTGCGACGTATCTCACGCTACGAAGGTGATAACAAACTGTACTCATTTCACCACACCCGAGGTATGATCCCCTATTTTCTATATTAGCTGTGAAGTACGTCTACTGACGGACCAAAAGGGAGTGCATCTGTCGGTTTCACATTACGATATTTGTGGTAATTTGGTGTTGTCTCCAAAGCCAACCCAAAATGTCCCCGGAGCAAATACACAAAACTCCTTCCAACAGCAACATATGCACATTGGTTCGGCCTCGCGGTCTGTTGTGCCGGTAGAAGGGCGAGTGAGCCAACCGTTCACCATGTACCCTTTGATGTTCCAGTCACCATTTGTTGCAAACGTACCATATATTCTGGACTCTCTTCCTCCGGGAAGTAGTCAAGGTCCTGTATCGCCAATCACTACCCTGGCCCCGTCCTATCCAGTGCTTGGTCCTTTGTACCATGCACCTCCATCGCCAGCCCTGACTGTGCAAAGCAATTATAGTCCGTCTAGGGCAGTGGCCAGTTTTTTCCGCTCTGACGGCCGCAGACAAAACGCTTCGCGAGTTACTAGATCCCCATACACTCACTCTACCAACCACCACAACTATGTCGGCATTAACCGGATTCGAGACGGCATTGACGTTCGCACTACAGTACGTTTGGATTGGTTATTTATGGCTCTGAAGCTAACGAGCGAAGATAATGCTTCGAAATATTCCCAATAAAGTGGACCAGGCAATGTTAAAGAGAATCATAGACGAGTCAAGTTGGGGCAAGTACGACTTCATGTACTTGCGCATAGATTTTGCGAATGACTGCAAGTAAGTGCTGATGAGAGTTTTCAACAGTTCGTTGCATTGCACGAAAGACAAAAAATGCTAACATTGGCTTCAGTGTTGGCTATGCATTCATTAATTTTGTTGATGTGAGTGAAAGCTTCTGTACTTAAAAGTGCCCGATGCTAAACCCAGTTAGCCACTAGACATCATCGATGTGAGCTCCTCGAACCTCGGAGACAATTGGCGATAGCTAACTGAGAACATAGTTTGTGGATGCCAGAGGCAACCAGAGATGGCATGTTTTCCCGCATCGTCGACACGATCTATTAGCTAACGTGCCACACGCAGGAACTGTTTCAAAAGTGACAAGATTGCCGAGATATCGTACGCAAGTAAGTTTCTGCCCCTCTTTTCTCATCAAGCAGCAGACTTGTTTACAGATGATTATGCAGCCATCCAAGGCAAAGACTGCTTAGTCCAAAAATTCAGGAACAGCTCTGTCATGCTCGAGGCTCCGCATTATCGCCCGAAGGTAATATGAAATTTCACCCAGGAGGGTTCGGATATAATGCTAAATCACCGCAGCTCTACTTCACTTGCAATGGCCCTTGTCCTGAGTTAGCAGGCCAGGAAGAGCCATTTCCGGACCCTGACAATCAATCTAAAATGAAGAGGAGCTGCGAGAACGCAGAGCATGTTGGTGAGTCCGGGGCTAACAGAATGGACTGTCTTCGAATCCATCGACCTTACGCAGTTATAGGACTCTTCACGCCGAATGCCGGCCAGCACTATCGTGACGAGCAGCGGCGCAGACGATCTCAGTATGACCGTGGAACTAGGCTTGCCGCCCTTGAGGAATACGACTACGAAGCTGCAATTCAAAATTCGTACGCCGTCGCACCACATTGAGAAGCCGACATTGGGCAGGATTTGGTTGCAGGGCGCGTGAGTGGATGCACACTGGACCACTGTGTCGCTCATTAAATCTCAAGTCAAAAATACTTGCAAAGATTTGAACAGATATGCACTTGCTTGTCGTTGTATTCGCTCCTCAGTTTTTATGTCAATTCATGTAGATAGGCGGAATCTTAATGAGGAAATCGCCCCTCCTCTCCTGAACAGGGGGAGCGAAGAAAGAGGTCGCGAGTCATGACAGAGCTGGGCGTAATGCACACACTTAAAAGCCTATGCATAACAGAAACGCATCGGGTATTAAGAACAACCATTATTCATTATCTAATTGTATCATTTTGAGAGATGTTGGACCACATAATTTATCCCCCTGGTTGCCGTTTGTCCAAATGCAGATCTACTACGCCTAGAAGTAATTGATATTTCTACCTCGACTATCAATTTGAGACCAGTATCATGACTCATCCTCATCTAATGAACGTGGATGCTCCGGCAGTGATGGCAGGGGCTTTCTAGAGCTGATGCGTGATGTCCCTCCCAGGGATTGTGGAAGAGCATGATTTGACCCAGCCACAGGAATAGAGCCAGATGACAAAGAAACTTCGCCCAGAAGACTGGGAGTAGGCGGTGGCGACAGACGCTGAAATACAGAGCATTCGTCTTCTGCTTCATCTTTGCTATGGAACGGCACTGCCTCAAATGGTGGTGCCTGAGCAGAGGAGTCGCTACGAGCCTCATCAGGACAGCGCACCTGTGCTTGACGTGAAGGATCAGGCGGTTTAAAGGATGACTCTCCTTCTCTATGGTGCCCCTTACTCAGCCGGTAAGAGGATTGCCGTGACGTTCCTGGCGACGTTGATGTTGCACTGGAAGAGTTGGAGGGTTGATCTAGCAATGGCGCAAAAGATGGAAGTGAAACTCCCCGTGAAAATATAATGAGAAATAGGCATGACAACAGGATAATGGCTTGAATAATGGCCATTCGCTTCTGGAATACCACTTCATCTGCAAGAAGGTTAAGTCTTGAGCTAAGGGCCATCATGTCTCGCTCTGAGCGATCCCGTTGGCTCTCTAAAGCTAGGACTGTAGATTGCCATATTTGATCGTACTGCTCGCGAACAGTACGGAGCTCTGCAAGCACCGTTTTGTTCAATTCATCTAGATAGTAGCTGATTTTTGCACGCTGCATGTACTCTCGCGACTGCAAAGCTTCCTGTATATGTTTGGATTGATCCTCGACATACTTCATGGAGAGAGTCAGATTCGACTCGACATGTTGAAGTCGCTTTGTGATGGCGTTGAAAAAGCCCTCCTGCATGGTCGGAGACGCGGCCGAAGCCCCTGTGGTACCGCTGATTCGTGGTTTACCATTATGGCCACTCGATGCCGAAACCTTCGCTGTCGAGGTCGTGGCATTATGTTCGCGGTCCACGGTCGTTGTGTTGACATTTGGAGCAGTTCCGTTTGGAACCCCGGTGTTGTTGCGCATGCGGTCATCCTGTGACGTGGACCGAGGGGCCGAATAATTTGTGGATGCCGTGACCAAAACAGTTTCTGCTTGTACCATCGATGAATTGCCTGACTTCTCCAGAGATGCGGAGCGAGCCTGTGATGCTTCACTGGGGACCACAGCATGTTCTTGGGATGTCCCAAGGCCGCCTGACGACAGCTTCGGACCCGCGACTGGATAGTTACCTCCCATGGAAGATGACGCGGGGCAGGTAGCATTCATGTATGTGAAAATGTCCAAGGCGTAGCTCAAGCTCTGTGCACTTGTGGAATTCGACGTCGCCACATGAGCGTGGACATCGCCCGATGCAACGACATCAGATCTATCCTCTTCGCCTTGATGAGTGTCAGCCCCACCGGATTCGTCGCCATCATCAATCAATGCCTCTTCGTCTCGGGCACCCTCGCTATCTTTCCATGAATCGAGCATGCGGGAACCATGAATTCGTATCAATGAGATGGGACAATAATATTCATTGCCAAAATGGGTTAAGAACTCGATTCTGACATACTTGGCCCAAATCTGTGGATTTTGAACCAAGAACGGCTGGATGTCACGAGAGTTGCGCGCCTCAAACGTCCCGAGCTCACGCCATTTGTCCATCTTCACGGGATATCGGTCGCTTACACTGACGCGAAAATGTCGTACCATGCTTGAAAAGAACTCGAAGTTGGCCAAAACAACCGTGTCCACAGAAATGTCGTCGCTTAGCTCGACAATGACGTATTTTGAAGCGGCGTCGCACTCCAGAAGCATGTACGTGTCCTTGTTTTCGACCAAGATGGCTCTGGCGTTCTTAGCTCCCGGCGAGGTCTTTAATATGGTCGCGCCAGCGTCAAAAGACGAGTAAGAGAATCGCTCTTTGCAGGTTTTACCCGCATCCTTACTCAGATGCACAGTAGCTGCATTTCCTTCCTCATGCTGCAACGCATCGCCCGCGAGTTGCTCGTCAACACCGTCACCGCGAGGGAATCCCGTAGACACAGTTTTTTTATGGTCTCCGTCGCCATAGTCGTCAAAGTTGAGGGATATCTCGCCCTCTTCCCCAAGCCCTGCGTGACCAGACTCCGGTGAGTATCTGTCGTCGGTGCTGTGCTCGCTCGGTTTTCGAGACCGGAGGTCCTGAGGATCTTGCCCAGCCCGCCGGAGCATCATTTCCTTCCAGTCCTCAAAGGACATAAACGTGGTCGCCGCTGGTTCCGTGAGCTGCACTTCGGTAGCATTGTGATTGCATGTTGGCGTCGGAGGCGGTGGTGGCCGGGATTCGGTTCCATGATATGACCCGTCGTCCCTTGCATGTTGTGGGACTGCGGATGCGGTAGACGTAGGGGCTGGACTCGTCCAGGAGCTCGTGAGGCAGGACTGGGGCAAGGCATGTGTGATGTAGTTGATCGTCCTGGCCTCGCAGACTTCTTGCGTGGTGCTTCGTGGGTGGACAGGCGGAGGCAAGCTAGCAGTGACGTTGGCTCCTCGCGGGACCTGGGGCTCGTGAATAGCGCTGCTCATCCTAAATGCGAGAAAGAGGGCAGCGGGTAAGCCTCGAGCAAAAATCGCGGCGCGTACCATGATGATGCGTGTTTATGAGCGCTGTCCATCATCTGGAATTGCTCGGCAACTCGGTTGGTTGGAAGGGGATGGTAAGTTATGAACAGGTCGACGAGCCGGCGGGTGGAAGGAACTCAGGTCAGGTCATGTAACTTGGAATGCGATGAGTAGTAACTACGTACTCCCTCCGTCCCGACTCCGACTCCTGAGTGACCCAGTTGGAAGTAGCCCCACCAGCTTGTGTGCCCCACGGAGTACGTGACAGCCACCTGGTGCCTGGGTAGGTAAGTACCCTGGCAGGTAGTGGGTACTAGCTAAGTAGCTACTTAACCTACCAGTCGGCAAATTGAACCATCGCGTTTGTGTCGCCTCTCTTCCCAGCGCTGCAGCGACTACTCCGATGCCATGGTTGGGCTTCAACCAACCTAAGTACTCTCCTTGTTCTTGATGTATCACCTGAAAGAAGCAGCCACACTAGTTGCCACGAGGGAGAAATGCTAACAGGAGGAGATACACAAATGCGACACAAAAGCAAAGTGGACTTGATAGCAAATTACCCTCCGTGGCTAGCTATTCGTGACTACGGAACAGACGTCCCTCCCATCCCTAGAGGGTGCTCCTCGCACTCGCATACCAATTCAGAGTTTCAAGTTGCCTCTTAGTATTGATAGAGCGACATCGTTGTTTCCAACTGTAAGCAATGAGATCAGAGTGTTGGCCAAGATGAGAGTTGAAAGATCCTTGGAACCTCCTCCGTTTTTACATATATCCAGAGCCACGGAGTAATACGATGAGCTCAGATAACCGATTCCAAGCAGTTGGAAGAGGCGACCCATGTTGTAGTAGCGTTCGGCCAATGCGTAGTCACCGCCGTTTGTAACTTGTCTAGCATACAGCGATAAAAATGACTGGCCTTGCAAAATCAGATACTGACGGTTGCTTGACTGTCTCTTCAATCCGTAATGCACATAGGCCAGGCCGAGGCTGAGATTTACCATGGCATTAGTCGGGTCCAGTGATCGTGCCCGGAGAAAGTAACCTGCGGTAGTCACAGTTAGCAGTTTCACCGTCTTCCCGCACCTCTTCCCCCAACAACGATGCATACCTAATGAGTAAGAATAGCTAGTGGAGGTGAATAAGATATGACCGTAGAGCATCAAAAGACATACGTCCATGTCCAAAGTAGTTTTGTCACCTACTTCTCCGCTCACCCCTGGCCCGCCCCGGCCGCTGGCCGCTTTCTCATGGCTGGCATCGATGGCTTTTATTTGGCGCAGAATATACTTTTGCGCTGGCCCTGACGTGTACCAAGACACAGGTGATTGACAAAGCATCGATAGTAAGGCGAACATGCGATAAGAATCTGTCGTGGCACCTTCGCGCATCAAGTGCCTCGCGATTGCAACACACCGCTCTTCGTCGTTGGTGTAGATAGCGCATACTGCTCCTGGTCAGCGCTACGCATGCCGCTGTAAGCTGAGCATCACCTTACCGCTCCATGCCACATAAATTATGAATCCGTGCTTCGGAGACTGGAAGACTGTAGAGTCTTTGGCGGCCTCACAAACTTGGTACGCTTCCTGTCGTCGATGCGCAATTGCCAGACCAATAGCATAGTCGACGAATAAGTCCAGCCAATCGTCGAATAAAATTCCTTGATGTGTTGCAAGACTAGCAATAGCCGATGTGTGGCTAGATTTTTCAAATTGGGGAGCAATAGCTTCAATGGCCATCGTGTTAACGTCAACTTGTATAAACCAAATCAATAGAATAACTGGCTCGAATACATGGCCCGTGTTTGCCCACTTACAGCGTGTCAATCTTTGGTACATTTGAGAGAGTTCAGTCTCGGGCTGGGTTGAGCTTGACATGGACCCCTTCGGCCCAAGGAACTGCAAATACTTGTCCCAGCTGTAGAATCGCTTCAGAGATCTGAAGTCATCGACTAGCTCCTTGGAAGATGCCATCCAGGCGGGTATCAACTCTTCCTGACCTTCTGAAATGCGCTGCTTCAGATCCCGCACAACAGCATATTGTTGAGAGAGTTTGAGAGTATGTATTTGCTCGTCCTGCCGACGTCTGTCAGGTCCAGCGAGCTTTTTTGATCGATGTCTCCTGGGAATGACTGATCGCCTGATCCCGCTACCTGTAAGGCTTGATCTTCCTGCTTTGTCGCCGCCCCGAGGTCGCCTATGTGAGGCTTGTTGCTTATGGCTGGCAGATGGCCGCATTCGGCCTTTGCATGCGCCGGCATCATCGAAAAGATGATCCTGGTCTTGAACCCCACGCAGGGCCAAAGCTTCGGCTGCTAATATCAAAGCTTCCTCATCTTCTCGAGCTTTCTCATACACGTTTGCGAGTTCAATGCGGGCGTCTATGCTGTCTTCGTCCGCATCCAACGCCGCTAATAAGTACTCCTCGGCCGTTGCAGCCTCTCCAGCATCGAGGTAGCATCGCCCTAGCTGCAGTAAGACCGCAGCGTCAGGTTCCCCAGGCATATCGCGCAGCAGTTCGAAGTATCGGATGGCCCTTGATGCTTGTCGACTTTTCCCCAATTCCACGGCCAGGTCGTATATCAAAAATGTAAAGTCGCCAGCAAAAGCTCTGGTGGATGGATCGTCAGGGTCTAGATGATCTAAGTGATTCTAGGACATTGATTAGCATGGTTACATTCTTGGAAGGCAGAAGTCACGAAGAAAAGGAAGAATTCGTATAACTACCCTGGCCTCTAACTCGTCACCATTCCTAAGCCGATATGTCGCCAAACGAATGCGGAGGTCCAAGGGCAGAGATTGTCCAAATTGAGTCGAGTTATTGCTGAGACGAGAAAATTCAGGAACAGATGCACGCCGGTCGTCTGATATATCCCATTCCCTGTCGTCGTCTCGCCAGTCGTCCCAAAACGTTTCGACAGAGCGTCCAAGTAGCCATCTTGAAAGTCTCTTCAACTCTGAAATTGCTTCTTGATTTCTCTCCACCTGAGCAAGGAGTCCCCCATAGATGCCAACATCGTGCCAAAGCATATATTGAACTTCCTGTTGTGACTCGCTCATTGCATGATCAAAATACTGTCGGTACGCATTTACGGCGGAAGGCACCAGGGTCGCTGCGTTTTTCGAGTCGATGCATGCCTCCGCAAGCTTTCGTATGGTTTCAAGATCGTATGGACGACGTTTGAGAACGTTGTTATACTCTGTGATGGCAGCAAATAGATGGCCTTGCCTATGACATACATCGGCTTTACCGAGACGAGCCTCAATATTTGTAGGATCTGCTCTCAGAGCTGCGGAGTAGCAGAGTCGAGCGGTGTGCAAATTCCCGGCCTCATCATCTTCTCCTGTAATGGAATCCAATGCAAATGAGGCGCATCCAAGCCACCCAGATACTTCCTTTGGCCGAAGATGTGCTGCATATACCATGGCCGACGAGGCCCTGTCCATTTCACCGCGCTCTCTGAAAATTGAAGAGAGGGCTGTCCAAGCTTGATGTGTTTCTGCATTGATCCTAATGACTTCAAAAGCAAGGTCCAGGGCTTGTTCATAATCGCCACTCAAGAATGCCTGGTTAACTTTGGAGAGTCTGGCTGTGATATCGCCTCTTGGCTTCGCTGCTTTATGCGGTCCCCGAGGCCCTCTGCCCTTGGATGTACCGGACGGTAGTCCGGAGACATCTGCAGTTCCTTTTTGGGACGCGAGAAATTCTCTGACGGATTGATCGAACTTTGCGATGTCACCTTGAAGCTCTTCAAGGTCAGAATCCGCATCTGATACCTCATCGAGCGTTCTACTTCACATCAGTTAGCCAAGCGATAGTACTGAGAAAGAAGACAAGGGCTGGAGCCTACCTCGGGGACGGACCGTTATCCATGGCTTCCGGGTAGAGTAACCATTTGATAGCCGTAAGCTGATGTTTCTGCCGTTCAAGCCCTCTCTTGGCCAAACCCACGTCTATGAGAAGGCGTGGTACATCCCACTCAACGATTCTGACATATAGGGTGTGATACGCATGAGTATTTCGTCTAAGTCTTGCTGAACTAGAATTTTGTCGTAGATTGTCAGGAATGGAACGCCATGTTGAGGGCTCACCAACATTAGCGGCAACTTGGTCTTGATGCGATTGCATTCAAAGGCGCTCTCGTGGGACCCACCAAGGCCGGATACTTAAGTACGTTATTAGTAAGCTCGAACTTCGGGAAGCTGGTAAAGGCTCAGGCACAGAGCACGTCGCCGTTAAATATGTGGGCATATACAAGCCCAGTCAGTTTAATTGTTAAGTATGTGCATGTCATGGACGGATAGATCTCGGTACCAGATCCTCGAGTGCGAGACTGTAACGCCGAATATCATGTAGCAAGTATAACAACAGATAGTTATTCAACATGTGCCAACGCCGTTGCTCAAAGAAAATGCCCATTCTAGCTTGTTTATTGAATAGATTCGGAATTTTAACTACATATTAATCATGTCACAAATTCTCACCAAGTAGCACCGATAGGTAAAGTTTCATTCTCATAGCCTGCCTTCGGCTTTTGCTTCTGCAATTTGAGTCAGCCCACCGCATTAGCTTAGTTTGTCAGAGGTATTCAATAAATACCTTTGACCTGCTCAAAAACCTTGAGCATCTTTCTTCGTGCACCTAGTGCATTGACGCCTCGGGCCTCTAGCGCCTTGTCATCTAGCTCAATGAGCTCTGTCCACTTCATGTCTCTCAGGTTATCTGTGTACTTGTGCAATCGAAGGCTGCGCAGCCAACTTGGAATGTCCTGGAGTAAGGTCGGATCGGCCGGATCTTCTGGTGCCTTCGAACTACCCCTTCGACCTCTTGGTGAACGACCTCGTACTATATCCGAATGGTCTGACAGGTAACCCTCGTGACCGGTCATACCCAGATGACCTAAGTTTACGGCCGGGATACCAGTGCCCAACAGACTTGACGAGCCATCGTAGGCGCTCAAAAAACCGTTGTGTTGGGGCGAAGAAAAATGCGGCACAGGCCCCAACGTCTGATGCATCGCTAAACCAGGAGAACTGGGGCGGGATCTTTGCCCTCCGAGCCCGCCATTCTGTTGTGCTTGCATAGCAAGCACTTGTTCACGGGTTAAAACCTGACCATGCTCATTGATCATCACTACATTGGCACCCGATAGGTTTACAGCCTGGCTGGGAGGCGATACCTGAGCGTGGCTGATGCCCGGCGCCTCGTTAGATCTAGCACGACGATACTTGCGGACGTCATCCAAGGCAAAACGATTGTTGACGGTTGAGAGTGCAGCTAGTTTCATTGCAGTGGCATTTGCCACCATATCGGCTTGGTTACCACCGGTGTTGGCGGCGTTGAACGTCGCCGCCATTGGGGTATTCACCATGGATGCCCAGTTACCGCTACCGGACTGATATGGGGACAACAAAGGCAGGTCAGCGGGATTCTTTTCAGGAGCAGTAAGTGTGGTACTTTGTATGGAGCCGCCGCTAGTCATCTGCGGCCGCGGGGACCGCAGGCCACCCGAAGGCGGCGGCTGTACAAACTGGCCCATGGGCACCTGTGATGTGTTTGCTTTGGCAAGTGACGGCTCGGTTACCACGCCGGCACTCCATGGGGAGGCTGGGTTCTGCGTAGCAGCATCACGGACTTCTTGTCCGCCTGAGATGGACACACGGGCATCGATGGTGGCTGAGTTGCGATTCGAGGATGGGGGGTTTCCAGTTTGCTGTGTGAATTTTGCTTTCTCTGTTGCTATCGCTGCCGCAGCGTCGGGAAACATAGCATTAATGGTCGAAGGGTCGAGGCCGGAGTTTCGCTTAGTGGAGGCTATGATTGAGTTTCGGGAGAAGGAGTTCCGGGCCGAATCAACATTCAACTTGCTCATGGCATCGCTGAGGCGATTGGACATGGGGTCTGTGACTAGTCAGAGAACGAGACCAGACTTGCGAAGGCTGGCAAAGAATACTGTGGCGACATACCCTTGTCAAAATTCGCAGGCGACAAGACACCAGACATTGGGTGGTTTTTGCCCATCTGTTGAAGCACCTGAATGAAGAAGCGAATCTGTACCTGAGTGGTTTGCTGCAAGAGAGCGTACAAGGCGGCTGTCCGCTCTGCTTCGCTCAAGACCTTGAACCACTGCTCTATAGCACTCAACTCACCCTTGAAGTCCTGGTCCAAAGTTGCAGCGGCCATTTCTTCCAAAGTTGTTTCATACTGGTCAATATCGGCAATCCATTGCTGTGCGATCTTATCGTGAGAGTCATTTTCTGCATTGCCTTGGCCATGACCTTGCTGAGTCTGACCGTAAAAATCGGAGGAAGGCCGAATACGACTAAAAGAGGATGAGCCTGTGAGTACAGTCATGTCGGCAGAGGCTCGAAGGGAGCTTCCTGACCCGATTGTCCTGGACGAGGGTGGGCGTAGGGACGAGGTGCTATTGGCCTCTGGGGTACTATTTCGATTTCCAATGATGTTGTTACCGGACATATTGAAGAAAATTGTGTTTGCTTGTCGAGTGTGAGCCTATAGAACGAGCCGGCGTAGGTATCAGGCTTGGGTCAGGGTCACAGAGGGAGAGGCTTGTGTAGACTCCTGCAGTGACCGGCTGACCTCAAAGGAGATTGTACAAGAAAGAACTAGCAGGCTACTGCATGGCCCAGCAGACGAAACACGGGTCGAACTAGGAACTTGTTACCCTCGTTCATTGAAGAGCATCCGTAGGGACGGTTAGCCGATCATTGACCCGAACCCTCTTTTCAAGTTGGGCCAGGACCAACGCTCAGTTCACGTGTCCAGAAGATACTTACCACAAAGAACAGAAGAAACGTTCCCACATGTGACTAATGAAATACACTTTGTGTCCGTCTGCTTCCAGGCAGGTCAAGTGAGATAAGCGATAGATTCTGCCGCGTGTCGTGCGGACCAGAGCCCTGTTGGTGATGTTGTAGCAGGAAAACGAAGTGCTGGCTGAAACACGCTGCCTGCAATTTGACAAGCTCTGCATGGGGGGCTAAAACACCTTAGGTAATGGGAGGTAGAGGAGGGGGGGGGCCGGCGGGGCTGGGCGCCAGTGCCTGATACTCAGGGTTGTGAACATCGACGCGACGAATCAATGAATCAATCTGAAAGGAGAGGAAGGGCAGGACATAATGTAAATACATCGGGCGAATACAAAGGAAAATTCATTAAAAAATTCCGCGCATCGGATCTTGCCTTACTCCTAGGTATCTAGTCACCCAGGGGAGATTTCAGTGCATATCAACTGGTGCAAGCCACCATATGATATCACCTTGCGGCGTACAAAATTAGCATATCACAAAGCTCAATCAATGTTCGTTCCGGCAGGGTCGTCTCCTCTCTGCGAAGACATCCACTACCTATTTAGGCATACGTCGACACATATATACTCGAGTGGGTGTGTACATAGAAATATATATACGTATTTGATACGGTTGGAGTCGCCAAAATTTGGCTGAAAATTTGGTTGAATATCCTGGGGAGATGGGAGGTGCCGCTTCGTGCTCCCTCCCTGGTGTGAGACAGCCAAGCATGAAAAGATGCAAGGAAGACAGGACAAGAGATCGAAGAGACGCACAGACATCAGTTATGCGATCCTAGATTCAAATAGCATCATTTTTTCTTGTCGTGACACAATCGCTGGGAACAACTTGAAAACAAAAGAAACAAAGGAAATCAAGACAAGGTAAAACCAGAAGGGTCTCATTGTACTGCGACATACAGTCCGATCCATGTCTGGGCCTTTGCTCTGATCACGACGGTTGATGAGACTTCTTTAGTTAATAGTGGTAGTCCCAGACGCGACGCTCGACGGGGACTCCAGCTTGCTGCCTACATAGCCGGTAAATTGATCCCTGTGGCTTTTGGATGCGCCTCCAACACGTAAAGGCTTGGATCGGGCGGGCGCCATTCGGATGTTCATCGATTTTCATCAGGTGCTACCAGCCAAATAGAGTCTTCCTTCCGCAACAGGTGAATGCAAATTTTGTTGGACATGGCCCCCGAATATTTTGATTGGTAGTTTTATTGTTCTCGACTACGTCTTCTGGACTGACGATCAGCATAAATTGAATTTCTATTACATGCCGGTATGAGCTTCTTCTTGGCGGTCCAAGAGTAGTCCAGCTCAATCAGTGATCACGGCGGCTTAGCCATGGTGACACCATTACACAACATCTCGCTTGCCCTCTTTCGCCTCTTTCTTTTCCATCGGTCAGTTTCGAATAGACTCAGTTTCGGGGGCAAGGTATCGCATACCAATGCTTTAGCGGTGCCGTGGAGAGCATGACGGTGATTTCGTCGAAACTTTGGGTCTGTTCCCTTCAGAGAGGGATATCTCGAAGTCTTGGGCTTCTTGATGCTGTCAAAATGTCAGTATTTTGCAGTGGCAATTTCGTCGAGGTTTGACGAACCCGTTGCGGTGGGCCTTGCGCCACTGGTTGTGCTGCGAGGAATTTTTCGACTCTATTCGTCGAGCATCAGTACGCAGTATGATAGGAACACAAATCCGTCGCATTACTTACTCGCCATGGCTGCTTCCCAAATGTTTCTTGTACAGATGGCTTGGTGATGTTCCAAATCTGCCTGCGAAAAAAAAAGTGTGTGTTGCCACAAGCCCTAGACGATTGCTTGTGGACCCCATTGCTGACATAATCAAACATGCCCGCATTTAGTCAACCACGGGCCCAGCATTACGATTGACCCTGCGATCTCTCAGATCCAAAGTGCTAGGTTGCACGCCAACAAGGCTCCTCTCTACCAATATAAGTAGATTCACAGTAAGTTACTTGGGCAGTTTCGCGTTTTCGCCTTGTTGTTAACAGAAAACAAGGGCCTCATCATTATTAGTAAGCACCTAGTTGGTTTTTGATTCAATGATTAGGAAATTAAGACGCATAAAATCTAACTGTCCTAGTCATGCCTTCTATTTCTACCTAGCAAATAATTCAATTTGCCTACACATCTAACAGTACTTCTCGTCAAGAAAAGCAGCTAAATCTCAAGTACCGATAGCGTGTTTACTCTAGACTGTTATAAAATAGCGCGGAGCGCAACGACTTGCCTAAAAGAAAATTTACATAAACATTTGCAAAAGCGCAGAGAAAATACAGGGCGATTTAATAATCTAGATTCTAAACCAATCAATCGTCTGTCCTATGTCCGTCATGAGGTTACAAGTGGCTTCGAAAAATCAAGAGAGCTGCGTCGCGCCGCCGCCGATGCAATATCCGAAGCCTTGCGCAACTGATTTGATCGCACAGATTGCAAGTACCGAAGGAATAAGACGAACAAGAGCTCGACCCTGTTTGCGTGGTTAGTCCCTATCCTTTTGTGTGACTGACTGGCTGTCGCCCTTGCGTCGCCCACGTACCTCTCTTTTGTCATCATCAGGATGCCCTGGACGAGAAATCCCTTGAAGATCTGGGGTCCAATGCCTTTGAACAGCGACAAAAGTCCTTCATTCTCTATGATGAACTGCATAACTTCAACAAAACTCTTGAACGGCTTGCCTTTCCTCGCCGGTGGAGGCTTTGATTGCAGACCAACCTTGGCGACAATTAGAGGCTGGGTGGCGATAGTCGCCAGGGCCTTTGATAGAGCCCCCAATACTAGAACGGGTTTTACGGGTTAGTGTTATGCAGTTGTGGTGCGCTGAATTCGTTGCCCACTCACAGAACGCCTCCCATGGTCGCAATGAGGATTTTCCGTTGAAGAAAACGGTCCTGAGTCGTTCGTATGCTCCGTATGTGATGGCAGGGTTGACGACAAGCACCAAGCTGGCCTTGAGGCCGCGCCATAATCCGGACACGCCGTCTGGCCCCTCAATAACCTCGCGGGCTGTGGCTAGGAGGCTCTTTCGCTCGTCGGCTCGCGCAGTTTGCTGGCGCGTTGTTACTACAGCCACAGGAATTGTAAAGAGTTGCGCGAGGGCACCGGCAACAGCCCCGAGAGCGAGTTCCACGGCCATCGACGGTGGCGGACCAGGAACCTTGTTTGTTTTCACATACAAAGACCTGGCGACAGTATACCAGTAAAAGTATGCAAAGTTTGTTGATGCAACGCCGATAAGGGAGCCATTTATACCCGTATACAAGCCTTGGATTCCATCGTCTGCCACAATCCGCGAAATTGCATCCCAAGTCGACGTGTAATGCGGGCTGTCCGAGTCGGAGGAAGCCTTGTCTTGGCGGACTTGCACCTGAAGCCTGGTCTTAACACTGTCCCAAGGATTCAGAATTAGCAACATGATAACCGTTGCAAGCAGACAGCATGTTGCAGTTGGGTACAGTTACATATCCAGAGGGTACACCAAGGCGTTCGCAAGGACCGCTCCCGTAGCTCCTGCCGATGCGCGTGCCCAGGGCGAAATTTCGGGTTTCGATTGTGCTCCCATGGCAAAGTGTCGTCGGCTTCGTCTGGTCGAATGGCTCGTTTCGGTTGGTCAATCTAGAAAGAGTTGAAGGTGGTTAGTAACCGTCACACCATGCACGCTGTCATGAAGCAGGGAATAGTTGTTGCTGCAACAGAGCGCAGAGCATACCAAAAAGACTGGCTCCAGAGCTTAATCGAGATGGTGATTGTCATGAGTTCAGCGAAGGGACTGGCTGGGGGAATCCCTTGAACGGCACTATCCTGATGAAGTGAAGGTAGTTGTACTGAATTAGTGACCCTTCGTCGATAAGTCACGTCGGGATGAGATCTTGGGGTCCTTGGCCGTTTCGCCGGGCGGCGGATCAAGCCGTCTCTTTGGACCTCGGTCCACGGGCAGATGAAGAGCATTAGTACTGAACCGGATGGCCCACAGTTTAGTGAGGTTGCGGGACCTCGGTTCGCAGGTGCATGGCGGCACGCTCTTACTAAGCCAAGTATACATGCGGCCAGTTTCATCGCGGCTGAACTATTAGGTCGCCTCCAGTTCGCAGTAAAAAGCTTTGCCAGGATACTGTCAACATGTTAAACCTGGCAGTTTAGAATCGCCATTCGGAGCACTCCTACTGCTTGCCAACACTACACCGCAACACTGCAACACCACCCCGCTGCGACACACAGTCTACCTCGCATTTTCGAAGTCCGCCCCACTTGCCTGTGCCCCGCCATCAGCCCCTGGGCCCTTCAATATTCGAGAAGGTAGTTAGTTATCTGGATTCTAGACCTTCCAGCCGTGGAACTTGTCTTTTTCACCCGAGGCGCCTTTGAGGCCAAGTAGTTTCACCATCATTTGACCTATGCAATGGTATACTGATGTATGCAATATTGGCTCGGCATGGAGAGGAGAGCGCAGGTAAGTTGTTGTTGCCGAGTTGAGAGCATTTCTCAACTCGCAGCTCTTTCCATGACGAGTTGGCATCGTGCGTCCTGCATTACCGCCCCGAACTTGATACCCTCTGTAGAATCGTAAGCACCAAAGAAATGCTGGAGGGGATCCAGAGAGGGCTAACTTTATCATTTTCCCGTATAGGCCGCAGAATCTCTAGCGACTGAAGCCGCCGCTGGCAAAGATGCGCTCAACAATGCTATCAACTCAGCCGAAATGTATATGAGAGCCGCAGAAGAGGCTGGTAGCAAGGCCGACGCTGCTCGTCTTCGACGAAAATGCCAGGACATGATTACCTACGCTGAAAGACTTAAGGGTGCTCTGGCTGTGGGAGCAGATTCCGTAGAATTGCCTGCCACGCGGCCGTCGCCGTTCGAGTCAACATCGGCATCCATCTTACGGCTAGGCTCGCAGCTCCATGGAAATGACTTTCCCGCTTGGAAAGAGAGCCCAGGAATTGATGAGTTTGAACTTTTGCCAGGCCAAGATCCATTCACGTGCGTTCCCCCAGATCGCCACAACCAACACAAAATGCCGTGACTGCTTGACTGACACCAACCGTTGGTATTAGAGATGATACAGAATTCTCTTTATCCACAAACCAAATCGACAACTTTGCGGCTTGGGTAAGACCCCCGGAATTGTTCAATTTGATTCAGCAACATGATAGAACGACCTGCGAGGATGCCATGATGCAGGTTTCTGACCACAGCGATCTGATGCAAGACATAACGACGGACTGCTCCGTGGTCGCTAGTCTCTCGGCAGCCTTCAATGTACTCACGGGGAAGCACGCGGTAAGTATACCATTGATAGCCGACGGTGCGGTAATTGCTGCTCCGAGGTGTGCTAATCTCGAAACTCCATCTTTGCCGTCAATAGGTTCTTTCTTCAATATTGCATCCTTACGACCTTGCGAACAATAAGCCAAGACTCTCTCCTTCGGGCAAGTATGTGATGAAACTGAACTTCAATGGGTGTGCCCGCAAAGTCATAATTGACGACAGGTTACCCTCGTCCCGGACGGATCGTGCACTATTTGTGGTCGACAAGCAAAATCCATTTCTTCTGTGGCCAGCTCTGCTTGAGAAAGCGTATCTCAAGGTCCGAGGCGGCTACGACTTTCCAGGGAGCAACTCCGGCACAGATTTATGGGTGCTTATAGGGTGGATCCCGGAGCAACTCTTTCTACAAAGGTGACTTTTCTGATGCCCCGAATGCGAACTGCTCGATAATCTACCGCATGGGCTGGTTGACTAATTCTTCAAAAGAGAGGACATTGATCTCGAGAACATCTGGGAGCGGATACGAGCTGCCCACAAGTCTGGAGATGTTGTGATCACGCTTGGAACTGGTAGGGTATCGGCCGAGGAGGAGGAGGTAATGGGTTTGATTGGGGAACACGACTACGCTGTCGAAAATCTTGATACCTCTGGCTTCGGCCGGCGGCTGTTGATTAAAAATCCTTGGTGCCACGCCCCGTCTATGACGGCACTGGAGTGGCCAGACTCTGCATCCTCTCCCACCCTCAGCAAGCGACTCAATGCCGCACCGTCAAGAGAAACGCTGACACATTACTCGGATTCTACAAGCAGGCTGTGGGTAACATTTGAAGATGTTGCGCAGCATTTTGAATCTATGTATCTTAACTGGAACCCAGCATTGTTTCCATGTCGTCAGGACCACCACTTTTCATGGGAGCTCCCTGCCAAGGTATACAGCGCATCATTGTCTAGAAACCCCCAATTTTCGGTCACGTCTCCAAGGGCTGGTAGCATTTGGGTCCTCGTGAGTCGCCACTTCGTCGACGCTGAGCTGGATATTGCTCGTGAGAGGCGGGATTCAATGGCTGCTGCGGCCCGTCAACTCGGTTTCATGAGCGTATCAGTCTTCAAGAACGGCGGGAAAAAACTTCAAATCGGTGGTGGCGAACTTTACCGAGGCCCCTATGTCGACTCACATCAAACGCTGGCCCGCCTTGTTACAGAACCTGGACAGCCGTACACAATCGTCGTTGATCAGCACGAACTCCCTTTGCCTCGTTACAATTTTACAATGTCGCTTTTTTCTCACAGCCCGCTTGAAGTGAGAGAAGCCTTGGAGAACATGTCACAGTTCACAGAGCAGCTTGGAGCTTGGACGAGGAGAACTGCCGGTGGCAACTCGTCATGCGGAACCTTTTTTCAAAACCCACAGTATAACCTCTCCATTAAAAGTCCGAGCCCAGTCTCTATTCTACTCTGCGCCGATGCTCACGACGTTCACGTCCATGTGGATGTCATATGGGGGCAAGGCCGTCGGGTAACAGCTGTGAGAGTCAAAGACTTGGTAGCTTCTTCGGGAGAATATCGACGTGGGTGCGCCGTGGCAGATATTACGATGCTTGAGCCAGGCACTTATACTATAGTGTGTTCTACTTTTGAGGCTGGCCAGTTGGGCAACTTTTCCATGCGGGTTGCCGCAATGGTACCGGCCTCGATTACTCCTGTACCGGCAGACGGAGCAGGTAAACTCCTAACAAGATTACCACGTGTTCACCTACGAGAAGGAGACGAGCGATTTCGGTTACCGGTTGACGTGTCTCGGCTCACAAGGGCAAGTGTTTCTCTGAACGCTAGTGCTCCGTCACAACTTGGTAGCAAGATGCAGGCCCCCTCGTCGCAGGTGGTTCGTGTGTCAGTAGTCCATCGCTGGGGACCAGAACAGGTCACAATAGCAGTCTCTGGTGAAAACGAATTTCAAGACCCTGGAAACCCAATTCGCACTCCCCAGTTTGACATGGAGCCTGATCGCATACAGAGAGACGGTCTGTGGATACTACTCGAAAGTATGGGGTCTCATGGCGCAGCCCTGGCAATCGATGGAGAGATTCTTAGCGACTCCCCTGTACGGATTGGCGGCTGGGAAACAGCGTGAGTAGATGAATGCGTCGAAATTGATTCAACTGGCACATGTCAATGTCTGATATTTGGAGCATTCTTACATGCTATGGACATGTATACCGTAAAAAAGTAGTTTAGGAAATTCCGCATGGTGAATCCTCTAATCGTCCCCCAATACGGTAACCAAAGATTTGGTCTTCATATCCTTTCTAACGCCTAGATCCTTTGGTGCCACTAGTTTCTGTTGCTAACATAACGAGTCCTCAAAACACAGAGGACCCGAAGATTCAAGAAAATAAATACATACGTGCATACATATGTACATATGCAGCAGTTCAGACGCTTGTGACCGCCCCCACCAACAAACATGACTGTAGAGTCCCACTGGCTATGTAGGACAGACTCGTAATGAATAAAGACAAATGGCATATTTAGCCTGGTATATGTAACCTCAACGCCGAGCAAGTCTGATGAACTTAAATGAAGAAAAGAGATGATAGAAGAGCCAGAAATATCAAGGACAAACAATGTCCACATTAGAATAAGGGAATGCGTTTCGCAGCTGTACCATGTCGAATGCAAGGATGGCGTCCCTGTACCCGTCTTAGACTGTTCACGTACTGAGCCCAAACCCGAGAGCTCGCCCGCCAGCCGAAGACAAGAGGGAAGATCAGGAAAACAAATGCCTCTGTGATGTTCGTGGATCTCGTGAAATAGAACCTGGCGCCAGCTGGTATCATCAGGTCCACCTATAGCAATTTTTGACGATTGGCCTCCAACAGGTGACACATCAGTCAAACCTCGGTATGATGAAAAACCAAGGCTACGAGGCAGCCCCACGCCTTCTTCTACCACGACTTGGCCCGTCAGGTCTCTGAGATAATACTTCGCGAAGCATTGGATCATCCTTGTCCTTGTCAACATGGTGCACCCTTACGTGTCTATAATTCGGACGATATTAGTATTGTATCCTGATATTTTGCCAACAATAAGGGCCGTACCGTTGCAAATTATCAGGTCGTGGGTACTTATGTTCCCGATCAGGACAGAACGGGCAGACGTAGCCGGGTGAATCGTGGACCAAACCGTGCCTTATCATTTCGTTTTTTCGCTTAAACCCTTTGCCTCCTTCACTCCGAGGACATCCCTGGACTGGACAATAGTGTGGACGGGCGGATGAATGTACATTGGCGTGAGAATTTAGCAAATACTGAGTCTGAAAGGGCTGTGCGGTGCATCCAGCAAAGTTGCAAGGATATAATCCAACGGATGGATTGGTTATGCCGTCAATGCTCATTCTATCCACCACAGACGTTGTTGATGGCGTTAGGGCAGATTGGTCCGTGCTGGGTGTTTCGCTGCAAGCGCTTGAGACATACTCTGTGTTGGGTCGATGGTTAAGACTGTTGGAAGAGTTGGAGGTGTAACCGCTGTAAGGACTTGACGCAGGTAATGACCTCGGCGATGGCAAGCTTAGTTGGTAAGGTTCATTTGGAGAGATGGGAGGAGAAACATGTGGTGCAGACATGGGAGGTAGGCGCCTCAAAGTCACGGGTGGGGAGCGGGAGAAGTGAGTGTTGGACCCATGGAGAATCGGCATATCCTTTTCGGCTGGGGTTGGCGGCTCGGGGGGAATGTTTTCAAGATTGCCGAGTGTAGACCGTATAGATGGGAGAGTTTGACCATTGCATTCGGATCTTGGGGATCCCATCTGGAGAGGTGGTAGGCCGCCGCTTGCTGGTGTGGACATGGCGATGGGAGATTTGCTCGCGCTGTTGGGTGGACCGTTGTGTTTCGACGGATATCTAGACGACAAAAGATATGTGGTGTTGTGTGATCGATCATCACTTATTGATAAGTGACGGGTTGACAATGCGATATCTGGCGTTTCCCTTGGGACAGAGGCACGGGCAGGATCTGTTGTGACAGCCTGCAGAGCACCAACCGCAAGGTCTTGGAGTCTGGGGCTTGTCATGGCACCCAACGACTGCGGTCGGCTACCGCTAGCTCGGACATCTACCGGCGATCCTCCAACCCGTCTAGAGGAAGAAGGGTCTCCAGAGAGACCCTCTTCCTCCTCGTCGAGGCCAGGAAGTGCTTGATAGCCAGCAGCACGAGCAATCTCCGGGCGACGACCGTTATCGAGATATGCAACAAGAACGGCATCCCCAGAGCTGGGGCGAATCTTTGGGCGATTAGACCTTGGAAAGCCGTCGATGGGAGGAGGACTAAGACTGACTTGTGCGGGAGGAATGTCCGGCGGTGGACTGGGGGAGAGCTCGAGCTTCGGATGCAGTGCTTTCATGAGAGGACTGCCTCGTGGAATAACTTCATCAGGATCGAAAGCCTCGGCAGCCAGTCGGTTCTGTAGCTGCTGGGCAGCCGTAGTCATACTTCTCAGGTCTGCCGTCAGTAGCTCAATTGGCCATGGCCCTTGGATCGAACGGCAACGATGGCATCAAGCAAGCTACAGCTCCGATGAGAGAGATGAAAGACGAGTACAGCTGGAAAGAAGAGGAACGAGGTGGCTGAATAATCCGGGTGCTACGCGGAGCAATGACTGTGATTGACTAAGAAGCTGGTCTTTGCGGGAACGGTGAAATGGCTCTCGGGACGATCAGAAGGCCAAAAAGCCGACGCTGGCACCGGTGCCAAAGAGAGTTCCTTTGCGTTTTTGTTGATCAAGAATGGTGTTCTCTCTCATGTAGCACCATACACGACGTAAAAAATTCCGAGTGCCCGCCAACCCTGGCAACAGGAGGATTGATGGTATATGTCTGTCTGTATTTCTGTTCCCAAGGCAGGTCTATGCTGATCGGGTGCAGACAAGTACACCACCTCAAGTTGCAGGCTTTCAGAAACTAAGCAAACGATATGAATTTATGAGAACCTTCGTATTGATGAATTGATCAATCAGCAAGACGGTTTACGCAAAAGACAATGACGACAAGAAGACGGCGTTGCTTGTAGGGTAAAGCCCAGTCACTATGACTTTGGGGGTCGAGGTAGCGAGGAGGAACCCAAGGTTGATTGATTACACCTTGTTGAAGGAGTATTGCGAACCTTGGATTTTCACTGAAGGGGAGGGTAGACAAACCTCGATAATTTTGGTAAGGGTGGGCAAAAACCCTCCCCTCCAAATGGGTTTCAAGAGGTATCGGTCCTTGCCCGAGAGGTGTTTGCAATTTGGGCGGTGAAATACTCGCTTTGTGGTCGCGCTGGGGTTGAGAGGAGGCAGCCTCAGCCTCGGAATGTCTAAAGGCCGGCAGGGTTTAAGTCGGCAAGGAAGTGATGGAACCAGAGAACCAAACACAGATTGGAAGAATAAAAGAGGTCGAGGAGAGAAACAAAGACCTCCAGAGTGGGGGAGGATCGAAAGATTGGAATGACCAGCGCTTGTGAGTTGGGAGGTGGTGAAGACAGGAAGGAACAGGGTCGTTGAGGGCTTGCAGAAGACAGGGTGCGAGCGAACCAGCAAGAACTCACGGCCGGGCGGCTGTCATCCCTCTCGACCCTCTTCGAGATGGTCGAAAGGGTCGAGCGGGGCGGGGGCGGGCGATGAGGGCGGACTGGCGGGTTCGCGAGTGGAGGAACAGGCACGGCTGGATAGGATAGGATAGAATGGGACAGGATGGATAAGACAGCTTGAGAAACGGGAACAGCTCTGGAAAATATAATGAATGGAAGACAGTCAACCAAGTTTCCTGACATTGGCTTCGCCCCAAGGTACGGACGGGCCCCACCCCTACAAAGAAATATCTGAACCGACCTGAGGCTGGTGCCAGAGCCTGAGCTCTCTACATACGATGGTCCTGACTCCTGGCAACGGCGGGCATATTCCAGGGCCTGGGGACGGCAAGGACTTCTCTATTTGTTGAGTGAAATGAAACTTTGTCAGTTAAGCTGGAAAGGAGCCCAAGTAGAGATGGAGTGGAACTGACTGTTGATGCGGTCATGAAGCTGGTATCAACATGCATGCTTCTGAGGGTTTTGCTGCAAAGTCGAGTCTGACGGAGCGCACTGCGTACTGCCCACATGAGCAGGGTGTAGCAGATTCGGTCATGGATGGGAAGACGGGACTTCTACTGCATTGTAAAGCCTGGCCCGCATGAAGAGCCGACTCGTCTCGACCAACAAACATTATAGGACAAGCATACAGTACAGAGACATGAGACCAGACATCAAATGTCAGACTCGAGGCTCCCCCCCCCCCCCCCCCCCAAATAACATGACATGACCTGAGGCTAAGTACTGAAGTGGTGTTCAAAGTACTTGGATAAGTAGGTACTTATTCACTTAAGTACCTCTTTAAACTGTCAAGGAGAGCAAGTTCTGCTTCACTGCACCGAGTCAAAAATTGCCGTCGTGCCATGGGCCGAAAGTGCTGAGAGCGATCAGGGCCTGGAGGAGCAAGAAAGCACCGAGGGCATTGCTTCAGGCTTAGACACGGCAGTTTGCAAGGGGAGATATATAGTATGCAAATATCTTCATTTCGTGTTGCACCCCGACCCGTCGTCCCACGTGCGGCTGGCTGGCTTGGTCTCAACCGACGCTGGCGGGCAAACTAGCGAGCAAATCTCACATAATGTCGGAAACTTTGCGCTATCAGCCACAGAATATTTGGTATTCTGGCGCTGTTTCGTGGACATGTCCCTCCGCTTGGGAATCTTGAAAGGCGAGGGCTGAAATGCCCAACACCAGATAGGGAAGGGTGATGATAAGTACCTAAGTACTTGGGTAACTACCTACTCGGTACTTACTGAAGTAGAGGAGCTGCCGCTCACTCCCTGTGGCAGAACCCCCGTTCCTCCGTACGAACGTCGCTACCTTGGGTCTAAGTAGGAAGTACTCAAGGACCTACTTAAGTACCTAACTGAGACCTAGGTACCTAGCTACGTACAGGGAACGCAAGTAGGAACATGGTCAGGATACCTCACTCACTAAGTACCTACCTACCTAGGTACTTAACCCGCGACCAACGGCAACATAAAGGTCAACACCCAACCCCACTCCTAGGAACCTAGTAGTCAGGTTCTTCCTGGTACTACTACTTAAGTAGTTATAGACTAAGTACTATGGAGCACGGAGTACTGGTAGGTCCAGATGCCGTTGGCTGGCAACGGGTTCGGTCTTTCGGTCGGTACGGGGTACGTACTACTACTATGCTACAGCCTCGTGTGCTCTACCCAGGGGGCCCCTGGCACTATTGTACGATGACAGGTTAACCATGACAGCTCGATCATGCTCCCGGCCGCTTTGAGCCCACAGTCTGGTTAGCCAAATAGGCACCATGTCCAGCTCCGGCCTCAAATCAACGTGCGGTCAAGTCATTCTCTTGAAACACCAAGCGATGTTCTCCGTGCGCGTCTTCTCTATTCGGTCCCCACTCGGGCTGGAATATTCGAGTGGTAGAGACCAGACAACCCCGGCATCGTGTTGCTTCGCCATCAGCCGCGAAAACGAACCCGACTTTATTAGAGCACTGTCGGAGGCTGGAGACAAACAGAGCCATGGTCTCATGAATACTCGACGAGTTAGCTGTTGTTTCGGCAAGAACGCATCCGGCACACAAGACCACCAAACACGTCCACCACCCACCCACACGACGCTGCGGGAGTCAGTCACCCTCCAAATGTCACCCACTGGCAGACAGGAGAGCCTTCGCAGCCCGCGTGCAACGACTGCTGCCTCGTACCGGAGCAAGCCAGAGACGACAACATGCGCGTCTCATTGCACCATGGATCCGCGGATACCTTTGAACCAGGCTGTTGTGACTGCCGCACGGATCATTGTGAGAGTTGGATGTCAGCAAAAATCGACAGGAGGGAGGAGGGAGGGACACGGAGGAGGGGGAGAAGGAGGGGAGGAGGGCACGACAGTTGCTCTGGCCTCAAGTGCTGGTTTGGTTGATGTGGAGCATTGAATGGTTGGCGTCGACTGGTGCGCAAAACACCGTTTGTGCAGCGTACGCCCAATTGTAACTGGAAGTCACCCAAAATGTCCTCCCAACTCCGGAGGCACGGAGGGAGACTCGGCAAGCACGACCTGTTGACGCGTTGGTAGCCCTACTGCGGAGTACGATTCCTGATGGTTATTCCTCCCTCCGCCCTCGACGAGGAATGCAGTACGGAGTGCGTCCTACAGTCATGGCGCTGCGGTTGGGCCCAAGGCATCTCTAAGCCTCACACGGGGGTCATGTATGCCAGGCTTATGGGGTTCATGGCCGCTGCCACCCTCCATCCGCTTCGTCGGCCATGAAAACTCGGGAGGCGGCCTTTTTTGTTGACTAGGGTGCGGAAATTGGTCCAGAAGTGGCCCGATTTTCTCGTCAAGGCTGCGTCTGACTTAGAAGGTACCTCCCTACCTGGGTAGCTGAGTTCTGCGTACTATTATCTACTAGTTAGGTACTTAAGTATGCATGTATGTTACTCCGTATGGTCGTCCATATACTCCGTAGCAGGGCTTGGAGAAAAACTGTCTCCAGCGCGCGAAATGCTCAAAGCAAAAGGGATGGGTAGGAGTCATAAGACCCTCTCAGTAATAGCTCGGGGCGGGACGGCGCGTCAATAGTGGCATGGAAAGCCTTTGACCCTGAAGATATCGCTGCTGTTGTTACTTGTTTCCAATGCACTCACATCATACCTCAGAGACTGTCAAGGCAACTATTTATGATGCAGGCCCTTGCAAGGAATTTGGAGACCATTAGGCTGGGTTGTAGCACATCGCGCGACCAAACCCTAATGCTCAGCACATTTGCAGGAGTGGTGTCGCAATCGCAAGAGCCACGACGGTACTTCGTAATCGGCAAGGCACTCCGCGAGCAAAGTTCCGTGAAAGCTGGAAGCGAACAGGAACAGGGAGCCAGCGAGCGAGCGCCTGTGTTCAACCGTAAACAAACAATCACCTAAAACAAACGTTTCGGGCATGATAGATGATGGTCGGTCCATCTACACTGTCATGATAGATGGTTTACTACGGCCGTGGCCCTCATTCTATCGTCGTCCAGTTTCATGGCCACTGGCCTAACAAGATTATTCATAGTGGAGGGCAAATAAAAAGGCATATTACCACATACCCAAGTTGTTAGGCATTGATGCGGCAGCTGATTCGTCCAAGAGTTTCCGTCCTGATCAGCTGGGTTCTTTCTCATTGAGGACCTTATCGTGAGGTCGAAATCACACACGCCCATCAGCCACGACAAAGCAAGGGGGAATCTAGGCTACTGCTGCTTACATATTGTACGAGGCAATTCGGGCTTGGCGTCAGGTACTTTAGCTTTGCGGAGCACCGTCAGCGTGGTTGTGGATGGAAGACGCTCTTGAGGAATCAGCAAATGGCCATGAGCTGTTACTTTTCGCTAATTTGACGGCGTCGATTAGTGGTTCTCCACGT